GATGACTGTAGCGACATCGGGGGCTCGTTTTGGGCCATAGCAGACCGGAGGATCGGTATGGTATCTACTCGAGCGACGAGATTAGCGACATAGAAGCATCCGATAGGAATAGGACCAGAAAAAACCCGCCTGGAAATGAGGTGCCCCGCACACGACAGTGCGATAGATCCTTTTTGCTCGCCCGCAAATAACCCCCCCAGAATCCCAGACAGGCTTGTGGTGGTCGAAACAGCCGAAAACCGGGAACGTTGCAACCCAAAGAACGAGACGGGCTGAGACGTGGTATGCCGCATGCGTTGACTGGGTTGTCCGCTTCGATGGTGGGAGGACTGGCAATGGTTTTGCCAGCAACAGAATAATGTGTCGGACTTGGTGCTCTATGTAAAGAGGATTGTGTGACCAAGAAAAGTTGGATACCGTATCGATGTCAATGGTGATACTATATTGACTCGATGCCGATAACCTGACAGCGAACTGTGACGGAAGGGGAAGGAGCCAAGCGATCACCTGCCATCGTCCGGCTCTGTGACACTTGCGACTTCCTTCTCTGGTTCTTGCCATTTGAGCTGAGCAGCGGGGTTTCGACCGCCTCAGTCTCGTCTCTGCGACGCTCGAACGGAGCAACTCCATCTGCTTAGACTTGGAGGGAACCAAGCTGGTCAAGTGCAACTACCGATGTTTCGACAGAAATGATAGGGCCTTTGATCGCGTATGTACCTGTTTTAATTCACATTTTAATCATATGCTGAGAGTTCGAGTTCTTTGCTTCGAATAGGTGTGTGGGACTGGCCCACCCATACCTTAGTTTTACGATAATTAGATACTCCTTCGCACACCAACAATGGCTTGCAGATATACTACAAGACGTCCAACCCACATGGGATGGGAAAGCTCTAAATCATACTCTCTAGAATATCCCAAACTGAGGAAGAAGCGTGGTGGCATCTAACAGGACGATGGCAGACTTGGACCCAGATGAGTCTTAGCGGTGTCCGCTCAAAAGTCATCGCCTCGTGGATCACAAAACTGCCCGTTGATACAGTGTCATGCCCGAGTAGCTTATCTGCCATCTCCTCGATTGCCATGGTAATTGATATGAGCTTGGTGGTATGGGCATGTGCCTCACAGGATACTTGTCCCTGGAGAGACGTCTGTCTGCTTGGTGTTTTCCCGGATCGATCGCCGTGCGGATGGCCCGCTGCATTCCCATTGAATAAAATCGAACCGACTGCTTCTCAATTCAAAGTGATACGACGAGTATGGAAGGAGCGAAGGGCGAAATAAAACCAACAGGCACACATCTTGTAATGGCACAAGACATAGCGATCTCAGCGCCCCCGAGTTAAGCTACAGAAAAACTGTACACAAAACGTGATTACTACCAAAAAAAGGAACAAACAAACAAACAAAGACCAGAGCGAAGCTGGGAAGCTCTTACCTGGCAGTAAGTTATGCAATGAGGATTGTCTGAAGTCCGAGTTGATTATCAGCCTTGGCCAACCGTGAAGACTGCATCATCTTGTTCCAACATCCAGAAAACGACTAACTCATTAAGAGCATCGACTCCTGGATTCATCCTCACATTTCAGATACTTGTCTTTGTTACACCTAAATATTTCGGTGGCCACTCATCTCTGCTGTTCACCGCCGGCTGACCGATGGCATATGAGGTGTTTAAAGCGAGACACTGGTAAATAAAGCTACCATTTTCTGAGTAGCAAGCTGTGCCAAGTGGACTTGAGGTAAGTGTCCAGAACGTTTATAAGAGAAGCTGCTGATTAGATCTTTTATAGTGATTGCATTGACCCGATATCTCCGTCACTGGCCAAGAAGCTATGGCCCGGATGAGCCGCCCAAATTGAATGATCATCATTAGAACTATCCACGAACAAGAGCTTGGCCGCGCTCTTCTTCGAAGTCTTCTGATCAGCCTCATCTTCTAGTCTTCAATGACCCGAACATCACCAGGTCTAAAGAGTTCGAGTTTGAGGCCAAGAAGTCAGAAATCGAAAGGTTTGATACTGCAACAACCGCAAGAGATCGAGGACCAAGCAATCCTTGGCTACTAGCAGCAGCACCCATTGTATCGAGGATTGCAAAAAGCTCTTATGAACGTTCCAAGATTGTAGTAAGGCTGGACTTTGCTACAATTATACATGGCCGGTCGCAGTCGGTATCCCCAATCTCTATACCTCTGGCTACAAACCCCACTCAAGATTGAGGATTTCAGCATGGTGGGAGCTTTTTGAATACTCTCCAGGTTTCTTGTCAAGCAACCAAGACAATTCTGATCAGGAACCACCACAAAGCTAAGCTTTAATATTGAGTGGGTGTGTCAATTAATAGCTTCTTGCCTGAGGCCACATCATGAGAATAATCCTGCTTCCGCCTCCACTGGATACCTCAACTGCAAATTCTATTATCCAGAAAAGAGCCTTAGGGACCTAATCGTCAGTCCATCGTTCTCTGGATATCCCAATATTTATTAAACCCACGCGGCTTCCACCGGGAGAACCGCACACGTACCCAAATGATCCAGGAGTGGAACTTCACTCTGATGGCAATCGAGGTTAACGTGAGCAATGTACTCTGTACGACGGAGAATATCGACCACATCTCAGCACCATGATCTGCGCACCGGACCAATGAGTGGATGCCTCGTACAAGCAGAACTTCAGACGAGGTGTTATTTCCGACCAATTTCAAGCCAGACTCATGTTCGATCCAGAGCTAGCAAGGGGCTGAAGCTTGAGCAGCTTGCGACCAATGATATAAAGACATCGGGATACTTACCGCTCGCTACTGCGACCCCCTGCTAGGTTGATACAGTCCGTACGGAGTAGATAGACTACGGCGATGAGCCCGAGAAGATCAGACTCTAACCATTCTGGGATTTGGGCGTGGACTGGACCGCCATCGAGTTATCAATAATCGCCCACTGGGGGTCTATCTACACTATGGCGTATCTACTTTAAGTTCATCGGGGAGGCATGGCGACCCGACGGAGAGGGTTCAATGAGCACAGGCCGCACCTCCTCCGGCAGCAATGGGAGGCATGATCGGATAAATCCGCTGTTTGATGCATCACACCCGCAAACTCCCCGGACATTGACAACGGGCGCTTATCAGCCCCGGTTGGGCCTATCACGGTGGCGAGATGGGGTAGGCACCACTGCATATCCCACTCGTATCCATGCCGGTTTGTCGGTAACTAGATAGCATGAGGGGGTTATGGGAGCAAACACCGGTCAGTGTGACCATTTTTAGCCCGACACGGTCCATGGCCAGTCTGCTAGTGCCACAGAGGGTCTGAATACGATGACCTGATGATCTGGTGCCCTCGGCTCTTTTTGCCTCTTGGCGGACGTGGTTATTAATAATGGGTGAGTCACTCAGGGATGAGGTTGAGCATACGCAACTCATGCCAACTGAGACAATAATAGTGGTGAACATTATTTCCCAGCGTGAACCTTAATGAGGTGGGTTGACGGACGGCACGGCCGAGGACGGCCAGGCCGATGGATGATGATGGACCATGATCACGGCATGGATGACGGATCGGATCATCAGCCCTGCTGCCATGATCTTCGGAGGGCGAGTCATTCACAAGAGACTGCCTCTTGAGACTGAGCATTGAGTAGATAGACGGATATCCATCCATCTACATGCAGTCCATCGACAACCTGTTGGGGCCAACTGCCAGCTATCTAGATGTCGAAATTAACCCGATTAGCTGGTCCTTAGCCTGTTACACAAAAACAGCCTGGTGATCCACGAAGGATCCTTCGGTCAGACAATGTCGGATGTGTGCCCCAAATGAGATAGATGGACTGGAGATTCCGGACGAATCAGCCGAGCCGGAGGGGTAGCGTTATGTGGCATTATTTGGCCAGCCTGTGCAGCCTGTGCAGCCCGCGGTTGCACACTGCGGCACACTGCTGCACACTGCCTGCACACACCGCAATGTGCGGCCAAGCCTCTCTTATGCTGTCGGAGCCCCTCCGCCTGCCGCCTTCTCGAACCGGCAGGTGTGGTCCCGCCTACCCTGATCGGGCCTAGCGAACCGCGGATCACCTGCCTTCCAGAACCCCGCTAGCCCAAAGGAGACTGTTATGCGATAACCCGTACTTCACAATGCAGCCGCGCATTATTCTTCTTTATTCTTATTCCTCCCCTCCCAGTCCCAACACCAAGCCTTTGTCGTCTTCTGCAACAGTCCACCTTTGTCTTGTCGCTCCCTGGCTAGACACGCGGCATTCTTGTCTCTGACACTGACATCTTGCAGGTCGCATCTAGCAGAGCCTATCCGGACCTCGTACCACTTTGCCACGATCGATGGTTCGTCCCTGGCTGAGAAGGTGCCTGGTCGTCTATCGGATTCTGGACCTCGGTACTTCCCACGTCGAGGCGATAGCTGCGAAAGTTCCTCGCCAGTGGATCCCCCCCCCCCACCACCGGGATTGGTCGGTGTAGACTAATCAAAGGCGAAATTGCATCAGAAATTGCTTGCACTGGCTCCATAATGCCACGAGGCCCGCGAATTCGCCCATGGATCCTGAGCCTCTTGGCCCACCTCGGCCGAGCCCGCTTGGTCTCGAGGGGAGTCGAGGCATCGCTCGCGCTAGGATGCGGTGCATAACTCGCTCCGATGCGAGGGAATCGGCTGGTTGCCCCCTTTCTGACTCGGTTGGGTTGTGCTTTCCCTGGTTCGAGCTACTCTTGGCCTTCGGCGCAGCTCTTCCCCATAGATACCTCGCTGAAACCGGTGTTGATCCGAGGCTAAAGCAAGCCGATTAGTAGTGGTGACGCCGCTTGGCAACCACCCAGGAGAAGGGAACAGAAATTTCGTGGGCCCGTCATATCGGTATATATAACCAGGGGGTCCATCCCGGTTCGTAGGCTCTGTTTAAAGTTTGTGATCATCCCGGATAATCTTATTCCTCCTCGGTGGATGGAATTTTGAGGCCATACACCCTGCAACTGACTGCCATAGCAGCCTTTGCCGCTTCCAGTCACCTCTGACGAGTTTCACCATCCGACTCGACTGCCCCGACGCCGAATCCCGAGCCGATCCCGACCTCAAACGACTACTTTCCCCATGGCAAGCGAAAAGGGCGCTGGGCTCGAGAGCCCCGAGAGTCGCGAGATCCCATACTGGCGCCTGCTCACCGATCAGGGCGTTCTGACCCAGGAGATTATCGACCACCACTACCCTGGCTCCGGCACCGACGAGGATCCCTACGCGGTGACATGGCTCCCGCAGGACCCCCGGAATCCGATGCAGTTCAGCGCGAAGAAGAAATGGACCTATACCATGGTGATGGCCATCGCCACCCTCGCTGTTGCCCTGGTTTCCTCGGCCTATACCGGTGGTGTTGCGGAGATCGAAGAGCAGTTTCATATCAGTACCGAAGTCGCAACCCTCGGTGTCTCCCTCTTCGTCCTTGGCTTTGCAGTCGGTACGTCTCTTCTCTTCCAATCCCTAAGCATATCTAACGAGGATCAGGTCCCCTGCTGTGGGCTCCCTTCAGTGAAATGTTCGGCCGCCAGGTCATCTTCTGCATCACCTATGCCGCCCTCACGGCTTTCACCGCAGGCAGCGCCGGCTCCCAGAATGTCTGGACCCTCATTATTCTTCGCTTCCTGGCTGGCTCCTTTGGCTCGTCTCCGATGACCAACGCTGGTGGTGTGATCGCCGATATGTTCACTGCGAAGGACCGAGGTGTTGCCACGAGTCTGTTCGCTGCGGCGCCGTTCCTTGGTATGTTCAGCTTGTGGACAAATAGCACCGAGGATTTCTGCTAACAAGTTACTAGGTCCCGTTCTGGGTCCGATCATTGGCGGCTTCCTGGGCATGAATGCTGGGTGGAGATGGGTGATGGGCTTCCTGGGTGCTTTCTCCGGAGTGGTCTGGATCATCGGCTCCCTCGTGGTTCCCGAGACCTATGCGCCGGTGCTTCTCCGTCGCCGCGCCGAAAAGCTGAGCCAGCTGACTGGTAAGATATATCGGAGCAAGCTGGACATCGACCAGGGCAAGACCACCCTCAAGACTGCCTTCAAGACTGCCCTGTCCCGCCCGTGGCAGCTGTTGTTCCGGGAGCCGATCGTGTTCCTCCTGTCTCTCTACATGGCGATCGTCTACGGAACCCTGTACATGCTGTTCGCCGCGTACCCGATTGTGTACGAGGAGTACCGTGGTTGGAACCAGGGCGTTGGCAGTCTTCCCTTCCTGGGCATCATGATTGGCATGCTGATCGCCGTCACCTACAACATCCTCGACAACAAGCGTTACATCCGGGTTCAGGACGCGCATGGCGGCTTTGCGCCTCCGGAAGCCCGCCTGCCCCCGTGCATGGTGGCGTCCTTCTCTATCCCGATCGGACTCTTCTGGTTCGCGTGGACCAATTACCCCTCGATTCACTGGATGGCCAGTGTTGCGGCAGGGGCTCCCTTCGGCTTCGGGCTGGTCTTGGTGTTCCTGAGCAACTTGACGTACCTGATCGACACCTACACGATCTTCGCGGCGTCTGTCCTGGCGGCGAACTCGGTGATGCGGTCCGTGTTCGGTGCCGTCTTCCCTCTGTTCACCACCTACATGTATAACAACCTGGGCATCCACTGGGCCACCTGTATCCCGGCGTTCCTGGCCCTGGCGTGCGTCCCGTTCCCGTTCCTGTTCTACAAGTACGGATCGGAGATCCGCAAGCGCTGCAAGTACGCGGCCGAGTCAGACGCCTTCATGCGCAGGATGCTGGCGCAGTTCATGAAGGTGCCCGAGCCCCAGGAGGAGACGCAGGTGGAGGACGAGAAGTTCGACCGCACCGAGGCGCCGGCCCCGGCGACCGACGTTGTCAGCGGCGACTCCGACTCGGGAGAGGAGCACATGGCGGCGGCGCACCGGGTTCACACCAAGGCATCGACGCACACGGTGATGTCGCAGCACGAGTCGCTGTACGAGGGCAACCCCTACGACATCGACCGGGTGCACACCCGGGAGTCCTTCAAGCACTGAACCACCTGAACCAAAACACCCCGATACCTGATACTGTGACACTTATACTACACACTACTCCCTCCCTACTCGACGATGGGGATAATATTTAGTACTTATTACCTCCCGACTCTTGAATCCAGACACGGCTCGTGTCGATTTCGAAATGAGATGCGAATGACGGCAAGAACAAAAAAAGGCCGAGGGGAGGCGCGAAGGAGGCTGAATTGTTAAGACGACTTGCATGTTGATATACCCCGTTTGATGTTTCTTTTTTTTCTTTTTTTCAGCTTGCATTTGCATGATAGACGGCGGAGTTCTAATGCCCGGGCCATGCGCCCTACCCGATCCATATAATGAATAATTCTGCATTGTATTGTTGCTGTCCGGTTGAATAGTAACTAGTTAACTAGTTAGTTAACTAATGTGGATGTTGATTTGTAAGACGCCTCGGCTCGGGGTTGCCGCGTAGATAATCGCTGGTAATCTCGGAGATCGAACGGGCCCTCGGCTACCGCGGGCTTATGCGATCCCGGATAATCGATCTTTTTTTCCCTTTTTTCCCTGAAGACGGATACAGAGCACAGTATACTTGGATTCGGACCTGTTCGATCGGTGCGGTAGCGGTAGTATCTCTCTTTCTGCCCGACCATCCATCCCACCCCATCCCATCATCGAAGACGTGGCCGTTGGTTGTCGATCGATCGAGTCAGTCGTTGCGCCCGTCGGTCGCCCGCAGGACAGACAGAGAGAGAGAGAGAGACTCGCCATCCACCGCCATCCATCCATCTATCCTCCCTCTCCTTTTACATGCGTTGAGAACACTCACGTACACCCATTATACAAATATACAAATCAATACCTCTACGAGCCTCTACGTCACCTACACCCCAGATAACCCGTCCAACCGCAACAATGAACGCCACCCTCATCCCCCGCCGAATAACGCGATCACCATCCTCCCTCCCTGTCCCTCACCCTCACCCTCACCCTCACCCTCTCACTCGCCAACCACGCCGACCCCTCTCCTCCACACCTCCCAAATCCGAACCCAATGTCCAGAAACACACCCAGACCCCGACCCCGATCCCCCACCCCCGCCCTCACCCCACAGCCTCCGCGCCCGGCGCGAGCGCGAGCGCGAGCGCAGGCACAGGCGCAGGCGCAAGCTCGGGCTCAGGCTCCCTCATCCAAACCCTCCAGGCCGGCCCTGCAGGACGACTCGTGAAGGCGTATTCGCGCGTCCAGGATAGACGACCCTACGCGACGCAGGTGGTCAGCTCGATCGTCATCTACCTTTGTGGGGATTTGAGTGCGCAGATGCTGTTTCCGTCGGATAAGGCTTCTGCCGGGGGGGAAGAAGGTGAGGGTGAGAAGGAGGAGGAGGAGAAGGGGGGAAAAGGAGGGTATGATCCGTATCGCACGATGAGGCATTTGGCTGTGGGTGTGGGGTCGAGTATTCCGACTTATAAATGGTGGGTTTTTTCGTTTGTTTTTGTCTGCTTCTGTCATTCTGTTGTGTTTTGTGTGTGTGTGTTTGGAAGGGAGGTGGTTATTCGACCCAAGAGGGAGAAGAAGAAAGAAAGAAAGAAAGAAAGAAAAGCAAGCTAACTGTGTGATGGCGAATAGGTTCATGTTCCTCCACCACCACTTCAACTACTCATCCAAACTCCTCTCCATCCTGACCAAGGTCTGCGTGCAGCAGGCAGTCTTCACGCCCGTGTTCAACACCTACTTCTTCAGCCTGCAGTCGCTGCTGACGGGCAAGTCGTTCGAGGAGACCTTCGAGCGCCTGAAGCTGGCCCTGCCCGTGAGCATCACCAATAGTCTGAAGCTGTGGCCCGCCGTCACCGCGTTCAGCTTCATGTATGTGGCGCCCGCGTTCCGGAGTATCTTCTCGGGCGTGATTGCGGTCGGGTGGCAGACGTATCTGAGCTGGTTGAATCAGAAGGCCGCGAGGGAGGTTGAGGCCGAGAGGGCGATTCCGGTGGATGTTGTGGGCGCGGTGGCGATGAAGGTGTAAGTAAATATTTGGTCGGTCTCATTTGTTGGTATATTTGATATCCTGGTGGGTTTGGTTGCTGGTATAGAGGCTATAGATTTAGACAGATTATATAGAATAGACGTCGATACAGGACAATGACCGTGTATATGGATTATGGTTGAGGTTGAGGTGGTTAGTAGTTGGATGGGATGGGCTGCTGATGACGTGTGGATCAGCCGAGCGCGACCGGAACTCTTCATTCTTCTTCATTCTTCTTCTTCGCTCTCCTCCTCCACCACCACCACCAGATATCTCCACCCATCCATGGCATGATCCCCCCCCTGCTACTGCAGGCATGTCCTGCTCTCCCCCGCCATCCACTCGAATCCCCCCCGGGATCCCCGCCACCGACACCGACAGCAGCAGCGACTACGGCTCCGACTTCACCCCGGAGGAAGAAGCGCTGCTGGCCGACCTGCTGCAGGTCGCCACGGACCAACCTCCATCCCCACATCCACCTCCACCTCCACCTCCACCTCTAGCGACCCCAGCACTCCCGGTCGTCCAGGACATCGAAGACCAGTATGCGGATCCCTCGAGTACTAGCAGCCGGGCGCCTCGGGTCCTGGGGCGCGAGAAGCCCGCATGGCAGATTCGGCCGGGTGGTCGCGGTACACGACCAGCGCCGACACCAGGCTACGGGCGTGTCGCGTCTGGTAACATACCCATCCCCCTTTTCTTCTTTCCTTTCAACCCTCACTAGCACAGATCAAGACTGACACCCTACCCCCCGAAGCGATTAGCGGAGCACCCGAATTCCAGCGAAGGACGCGAGAAAGAGCGCGAACGGGAAGCGGCGCGCCACCAGAAACGAATCAACGAAGGCGGCGATGAGACGGACACGCGATCGCCCGTCGAACGGTTCCGACGGGCCCCCAACAAGGCCTTCTCGGTCACGGATCTAGTGTCGCCCGCGTGGTGCGAGCTGCAGTACTGGTACACGTTGACCAAGTTTGGGCGGAAGAAGCGCACCCCCGCGATGAAATTGGGGAGTACCATCCACAAGACGCTGGAGGATGAGATCTACACGACTGTTTCGGTGGAGATTACCACCAAGGAGGACGCCATGGCGCTGCGCATTTGGAATATCATCCAGGGGTTGCGCATGTTGAGGGAGTATGGCATTACGAGGGAGCTGGAGGTCTGGGGCTTGGTGGATGGGGAGTTGGTTACCGGGATCATTGATGAGCTGTCGTATCAGTGTCCGGATCGGAAGCTGGAGGCCACCGCCGCGACGCATTATGCTGATATCGAGGCGTCGAGGGCCATGATCCCCGAGTATCAGATGTCGTTGACGGATTATTTGCTGTCGTCGGGCGCGGGGAAAAGGCTGTCCGATGTGTATGAGCGGGATAGTGAGCGGCAGGATGCGAAGAGCAGCAGCGGCAGTAGCAACGGCAGTAGCAGCAGCCAGGAGTCGGATGTCCCCAACTTGCCTCGGATCTATCTGACCGACGTGAAGACGCGAGGCAGCGGCAGCGCCCCAACGGTCAAGAGCGCCGGGTTCCGGCCGACTCTGCTCCAGCTCCAGCTATACTACCACATGCTCAATCGCCTCACCACCAGCGACGACGTGACCATCGAAGTCCTGGCCAACCGGTATAACCTCGACGCGAGCCGCGCGTTCACGGACGCCTTCATCGCGGAAGTCGGCGGGCTCAACGACCAATTCTTCGACGCCATGTCGTCCCAAGAAGTCGACTCGGACCCCAGCGTCCCCCTCTCCTCCTCCAGCCAAGACTCCACCAGCATCCTCCTCACACACAACAACCTCGCTTCCCTCTGGAACCTCATGAAAGACCACCTCCGTCTCACCTTCCTGCCTCCCCCGGAATCCTCCCTCTGCGTCGCCCCCTCCATCCCCTCCGAGTTCCAGCCCGGCATGCTGGAATCCTACCCCACCATCCTCTCCCCGCTGCTCACAGCCCGGTATCTCTCGTCGGCGCAGACCGAGGACCTCCAGCCCCGCGTCCTCGGCAGTCGCTCGTTCCTCTTCGACCCCACCTCCATGACCTCGTATCTGGCTGACCAGCTGGAGTGGTGGCGCGGGGAACGCGACCCCCGCGGCGTGGAGGTCATGGAGGCGTGGAAGTGCCGGATCTGCGAGTTCCGGGATGAGTGCTCGTGGAGGCAGGAACGGGAGCTGTCGTATGGGAGACGGCGGAGGGGGGTGGAGGCCGAGATGGGTGTTACGGCGTGAGATGGATGTTATGAGGTCCGCTAGATAGGATGTTAGATTTCATGGTTGATATAGCGTGGCATATATACTAGGTATGTGATGTTGGCGGGTTGGCGGATTGGCGGTTAGTTAGATAGATCGGTAGGTGTGTGTCTTTTTTTTCTTGGATGGGAGGTTTGCTGTATCTTATTATTCTATATTTTATAACTATTCTATATCTTATATAAGGATATCCTTGAGACAGACAACCTGGTTCATAAATATTCATATCGGCATCATAGTAGTTAATATTACTTCCCCTTATAAGTACTTCAACAAACACGCTCATAAAAGCAAGACAATCGCATTGATATCGTTAACCCCACCCCTCAGCCATTAAATCAAAATGGATACTTCCTCCCCTCCCCATCCTCCTCCCCATCATCCTCCCCCACGACCCCCTCTCCACCTGCTCCCTATGCATCCTATCCAAAAACTCCAACAACACCCCCCCATACTTCTCCCTTCCCTTATACCTCGCGACATCCTCCCCCCAGCTCCTCACCGCACTGGCCAACCTCCCCGGCACGCCCGGCTCCCTCGCAATAGCGGTGACCGGCTCAAAATACGTCCGAATGGTAAACACGACGGCCCCCGTCCTCGGCAAGCGCCTCAGCGACTGCCTCTCGGAGCGGAAGAAATGATGCTCGACCGCGCGATCCTTCATCGCCGTATCCCACGACACCTCCTCGGCGTCCTCGGCCCCGATACTCTCCGACCACGCGAGCTTGTCGTCCACCTGCAGGAAGTAGTTGTTGCGGACGACGGGGTCTTCGGGTCTGAGCCGGCGGAAGAAATTCAGCATCCCCTTTTCGAGTTTCGATGCGTACTGGGGTACCGCGCCCGTGGTGTGGATCTCGGACAGCGTGAGGTTGTATTTGTCGCTGAGGCGCCAGAAGCCGGCCAGGAGGATTGCGCCTGCTTTCAGCCGGTATTCGCCGGTGGGTTGCTCGAGCATGAGTGCGATGTCGTCTTGGATGAGACGCGCGCAGGTGGTCATGGGGTCTGCGGTGGGGTGGGTGAAGGTTTCGTGCGTGAGGAGGTTGGTTATTCCGGTGGGGGTTTTGCGGAAGAGTGTCGGGTATCGTTGGGGGAGGTAGGTTGTTCTGTGGGGGGGTAGGTTAGGGGGTGGTTGTGTTATTTTATGTGGTGGTGGTGGTGATGGTGGTGATGGTGGTGATGCAGTGATGCAGTGATGCAGTGATGGGGAAAGGGGAAAGGGGAATAAACAGGTAGAAGGGAGACATACAACTCCTCCAGCAACTCCATCGCCGCATCCATCGCCTCCGGCGCCGTGCGACAGCACTTCTCCCCTCGTTCTTCAATCCGTCGGGCCTTGTCGGCGTGGAAGCGGAGGTAATGGTTGTCGAGTTCTGGGGCAGTCGGTTAGATATCCATTAGAGGAAATATCATGGAGAAAACATCCATAGCCATAGAAGATAGACCCCCCCCTGAAAAATATGATATTATAGAAAGGGAAATAAATAGGATGGGATGGGATAAAATGAGACATAGAACACAAGAAAGAAAGAAAGAAAAAAGAAAAAGGATACCTACCAATCCACTCATCCCACTTCATGCTCCTCAGGCCCATCGTGACAAAGTATTTCCTGTTCCTGGTCAGATACTGCCATTCCATTGTATCGTATCTGGGATGAATCTACTCACGGCCCATATCTAAACGGACGATAGGGAATGGGTTTCGTCGTGTGCACGTCCCAATCCGGGTACGGGGCTGCGGGGGGACGTTTGAAGTCGGAGGGGATCCATTCTGTGAGGTGGTTAGTGTTTATTTCTGTGGAAGTGAGGTTGTGTTGGGGAGTAGTGCTGGAGTGCTGGAGTGCTGGAGTGCTGGACCACAGCTAGGGTACAGCTAGGGTACAGCTAGGGTATAGCTAGGGTATAGCTAGGGTATAGTAAGGAGTCTCACCTCCCGGCTTCCTCATCACAGCCGACTTCTTCTCCCGGCCCGGCATCGACAATCGAGAACCGCTCCCTTGCTTGGATGCGGATGCCGTCCAGCGAAGGACGCGAGTAAGGACCCAGACAGCGAGGCTGGTGACGAGGCCGATGAGGGCGACATTCTGGAGGTGGTGCGGGGTGGCGGGGAGGAGTGTTTCCAGGAGCATGGTGTCGGTGTGTCTCTATCCTCTAGGAAGGGAAGAGAGAGGACGAAGTAAGACTGTGTTACCATCGCGGGGAGTGGATGATATACATATACATACATCATGATATACATATGCATATAGTACGTATATCCAGAGGGCGAGTAGGAGGGAAAGTAAGTAGGTTAAGTTACCGGATCCGTTAAGCGGATGCGAGATAAGTCTCGGCGATAAGGTTGGATAATCCATAGTTGATGGATGTTTTGCCCCGATCGGGCAGGGCCGCTCACCGCCAGACCCTCTCGTCCAACTCGGTCAACCGGCTGAGAAAGCTATTTACAGTAAGTTGGCCCCTCCCTCTCTCCCTCTCTCCCCCCTAATTCTCGACCCGTCTCAGCAGGCAGTACTGTCCCCATTTCCGCCGCAGAGGCTCCGGCACCCCCGGCAAATCCGGGCTCCAGATCAAACGGCCCAGCAGTCCGGTTTGGGACGCATCCAGGAAGCGATGGCACGACAGCGTCTCCCACGTCTCGTCGTGGACGTAGTCCGGCTCCAGCGCCGTGGTCTCCCGGCTCGGGAATTCCGAGTCCACCAGGAAGGAGCATTGCGAGATGTCGACCTAAGAGAGAGATAAGCGGATGCCAGTCACGGGGGAAAGGTGGGCTTACGTATTTGCTGGGATCTTCCTCGTTGCGATCGTTCATGCCTGCCGGGATCTGCGACGTCCCATCCAACAGCGCCGGGAAGTCTACGGCCTCGGGGAACTCGCCGGGGAGCAGCCCGCGGAACTCGCTGCGGATGAACTTGGCCCGCAGGTTACTGGGCAGGAAGTACGACGATGGGAATCGGTACCACTCCTTGCCAAAGCACACCGAATCGCCGGGTTGGGCGACCCCCGGCTGCTCCAGCGATTCGAACACCTTCAGCGGAGCATTGTATGCGGTGATCATGCCCACCGTCCGCAGCAGACCCGCGCTGAGAGCCACCAGGATCACCGACATCACCGCCGCCAGCTTGAGCTTCGGGGGCACGCGTCCGACCAGCTCCTTCGGGTTGCTGGAGCCGATGAAGGTCAGGACCAGGTGGAACGCAATGGCCGCATTGAGGGCGAGGAACGGATACGCGGGGTACATGAACCGCTCCTCCTTGTGGGGCTGCGCGGTGAAGATCGCCAGCCACATGTAGAACGGGGTGATAAGGGTCACCGTCCTCAGCAGCGTCTGCCTGGTGCTCGCACCGGAGCGGAACAGCGCCTGGAGGGCCAGCAGCGGTGCCGCAGCCATGGCGAAGACGAGCCAGAGGTTGAAGTTGAGCAGCAGGTTGCGGATGTAGAATGTCCACGGCTCCGTCCCGTAGATCTCCGGGCCTCTGCCCTCGCCGCCAAAGATGTTGTAGGCAACGATGTTCCAGGGGACAATGGCGAACCGTCGCAGGAAAGCGTAGTCGACGGCAATCTCAGCGGCCTGACGGGTTAGCCAGGACGTCAGTGGAGGAGCGCTGATCAACGTACCAGGATTGCGAGACATCTCAAAGCTCCGTCAAGGATGCTAACAGCCAGCCCTCCGATGTTCGACGAGAAGAAACCAATGACCACCTCCTCGAGCAGCAGAGGAACCACCAGTGCGCCAGCAAACGGCCAGCCGACGATCGCCCCGAGCCCGAACCACATGATCCCCTGCGCCGTCTTCTGGCCCCCGCGCCAGTCCAGGAACGAGGTCAGCCCCAGCATGGACATGTACATGGTGAAGCTAGACGGAAGGAAGGCGGTCGCAGCGTGGAACATGCCCGAGCTAGAGATGACGATCATGAGGAAGAGCAGGCCGATGCGGGGGCTCAGCGTGCGACAGATGGCGGAATACAGCCGGGTTTCGCAGGCGGCACACACCGTCGCGAGGAAGAACCGGACGGCATAGAACTCCGCGGACTTGCCACCCAGTACGAACGAGCCGACCTTCGCGACCAGCGCGTGGGAGGAGACATAGAGCCAGCTCCGGATGGAGTAGACCGGCGAGTATTCCCAGGTTTGGAGCCCGTATCCATGGTCGAGGTAATGGGTCGGTTCCCAGAAGTTGAAGACCTCGTCGCAGTCCTGAATCGGGGCGTAGTAGGCAGCGAGCCCGTTGGCGATGAGGAAGAGGTAGAGGGCGATGTTCAGGGGCAGGTAGAAGGGGGGAGGCGGCGGCCTGGAGAGCTCGGGTTAGCGGGCGCGCATGAAGATGCCAGCTGGAGGTCCATACCGTTGCTTGGTGCGGGGGGTGGTGGTTGATCCGGGGGGAGCCGAGGACGCCGCCTCTTTCCTCCGGGCCGGTGCCATTGTCAGATGCTGCAAATTGCAGAAGAATCTTTCCGATGGCCTAACTCTGTAGTGTGTTGGAGAGTGCTGAGAGAGGAGTACTAGTAGATACTTTCGCTTTCCGCTTTAGGTCCAACTTGGTGCCGCTTTTTGCTCACTGAGCGGCCCGGAGCGTGGGGTGAGCAATCCCTGAATAATCCCGGAGTACTTCAGGAGTATTTACTAGAAAAAATAACTATTGTCCTAAGTACTTATCTGAGCTTATATATATTAGTTATATAATCTAACTAAACTATATATAATTAAAATTATATATTTCACTTTAGTCCTTAGTTATTTAGTTAGTCAGACGCTGCTCCGGTAAAGCAATGACTAAGCAGAGTTAACCCCTAGGTGGCAGGCGGTCCCGGATGGCAGTATCCTCTAACATAAACAAACACACGGGTTGCCGCATCGCCACTCCTATTAGGTCTTCCGCCGCCCAGTGTCCCAGACGGGGCGTCTCCATCCGCTTATTTTCCTGATATCGAGATCATGGTCAGCTATGCAGGACGACATTGCTGAGTTACGACGTCAACTGGAGGAAGCGAGGCACGCACAGCAAGAGGCCGAACGTCGACGGGAAGAGGAGAGAACGGCACGGGAAGAGGAGAGAACGGCACGGGAAGAGGCAGAACGGCGACTGCAATCTAATACCCTGTTTCACCTTCTCAATCACTGTCACGAATCTCTATCGCGGGAGATTCGAGTTGAGACAGATGCGACCTTGACAACCCAAGGCGACGTGACTAACCCAGTCAACCGACTTTTCCCCAAACAGATAGTCCCTTGGCTTGGTTTTCCTGATCTCCAACAGCAAATCTGGGAGAAAATCGAGCATGCAGTCGACTTTACCTCGCGTCCACTCTTTCCTTCTGATACCCAGCTAGATTACGTCGCAACAAACATCCGGAACCGGCCGATTTACTCAGAAGCAAGTCTACGAAATTTCGAGCGAGACACCGTTGATAACTTTGTTGAACACATTATCGAGGCTTTACGGGGTGATGACATTTTGCGACAGGAGTTTGGTATAGAGGGTCGAGTGGCATTTTATGACCGCACGGACTCAACCTCCCTGGATCAACCAACAAGTAGTAATCGCGGGAGAGGTGGGAGGAAAGGGAAGGGCAAACAAATGGCGCAAAGTCAAAAGAGTAATCGCTTGGGAAGGCGACGCAATCGCCGCGCTGATCAGTTCTGTGTTCATGTCATTGCCGACGAGCACCGGACACCACTTTACGCGGTGGAGTTTAAGGCCCCTCATAAGCTCACGGTCGCTGAATTAGTTGCAGGCTTGCACGAGATTGACCTGGCGCGCGATGTTATTGATCAGGAAGGCGACACCTTTGAGTTTCATGCCACCCATCTTATCGCTGCTGTTGGCACTCAGATATTCTCATACATGCACGACCTGGGGATTCCGTACGGGTGCATTCGGACAGGAGAGGCATTTGTCTTTTTGCATATTCCGGCGGATCCCACCGTACTTCAGTACTACTTGTGCGTTCCAAATGAAGACGTGCGGGCGAGCGACAAGAGCCGCATCCACCGGACTGCCGTGGGCCAGATGCTCGCGTTCACCCTCCAAGCGCTGGCAGCCAAAGCTCCACCTCAAGAGTGGCATGATACCGCAGATGAACAGCTTTCAACCTGGAAAGTCGAATACTTGGATGTCTTGCGCCATATCCCTGAAACAATACGCAAGGAACCGCCGCCCTCGAATTATCGACCTTCGCGCTGGAAACCGCTCCCAAAGACCCACAACACACGTTCCCGCGCTCGCTGCAATCCAGGCGTATCTACCCCGGAAGCCTCTCCAAGCGAAAGTAGCGACAGTGACGAGGAACTGCGTTCGCCGTCTACCGCACCAGCCGCGCGCAGATCAAGCCGCAAAAAAGGTAGCGAACGTCAATTGACTGACACTCGCGAGCAGGGCTCGCATGACCAGAAAAACAAGGAGGCACTCTCTCAGAACAACATGCAGAGACCATACTGTACCATGAATTGCATCCGTGGTATGGCCACCCGAGGTCCCCTTGACAATAAGTGTCCCAATCGGCAGCACCATGGTGGCCAACAGCATCTAATGGACCTGTCTGAGTTCACACGCAAGTTGCACCGTCAACTTATCCAGAATCGAAACGAGGGGTTTGAACCGTTACACATCCGTGGTCGGACGGGGTATCTCTTGAAAGCAACTCTGTTATCTCACGGATATACTGTTGTTATCAAGGCCACAACAAAGAAGAGGGAGTATGCGCTTAAAGCAGAAGTGGACAATTATCATCACCTCCAAAGCTTGCAAGGGGATCAAATTCCAATCTGTCTAGGCGACTTTAAGCCAAACATCAAATACTGGTACCACGGTGAACCAATGACGTATATGATGATCCTAAGCTGGTCTGGAACTAGGCTTCAGCGGATAATTAACAACGAAAACTCGGCTTTCTTCCACGAAGAGCGCAATAAGTGTCTGTCCATCCTCCGGTCGCATGGTGTTGTCCACAAAGACAAAGAATGGCGTAATATGTTATGGGACGAATTTACCAGACGTTTGGTCGTCATTGACTTGGAGGACGTGGAGTGGCTCGAACGGCCTAAGCGGCCCCGGTCCCTTCAACCAAAACCTGGCAATCTATGTCATGGCGCGAGGGCGCGGAATAAACGAAGGCGCCTGTCCAGTCTGCCTGCTACCTGCACCACGTGATGGTCCGTTTTAGAGCTCCCTGTCTTATTCAAAGGAGGACCGGGTGGCTTCTAGGGGCCCGATGCTACGCTGTGGCTATCTTCGCCACGCCCTGATGAGAGCTCCTGACTATTGTCGACACCAAGGATCGCGGAACAGGTTAATTTTTGGGGCAGTAAGGATCAGCCCTTTTGAAAGGCAGTTGCACTATGTCAAAGAGACTCTATTCTCAAGGCAGCCTTAACAATGCAAACACTATATCATACTTTGTATTGACCTCATGTTGCATATTGCTATCCGCAAATCGATAGCCAAAGACAGCCTTGGTTTGACCGATCCGTCGAATACACCCCCATGACTGCTTTTCAACATCGTTGGAGCCCTGCGGCTCCCAGATCACAACAGTATCGGCGGCCTTGCAGGTAAAGCCGGTGCCAATTGTCTTTGGGGTGCCAAGGAGGATTCCAGGACTCGGGCCGAACCTTTCGATGTAAGCCCCCGTTTCACCTTGCTGAAAGGCGTCGATCAGTTCTTGTCGGTTCCTCATGCACGGGAAAAGAGCACGGGGGTAATCGTTGGGGTAGTATTTCACGAGCGCCTATATAACGGCTGGTCAGAATATGATAAATTATTTTATCAGGACCAACCCATGATGATTGGAAAAGTTTAGTCTTACCTGCCAAAGGGTGAAGACGACGAATGGGAACTTGCTCATAAACCGATTGTCGAGCAGTTCACGTAGCTTGCTCCATCGGGTAGAGTGCTCAAGCGCTGCTTCGAGGTGGCGGGTGACAAGGCACTTCTCCGGGTGTTCGAGCCAGTCCCTGAACAGAGGTAGCTGCATCTTCCAGATCCATTCCTCCGGATTAGGTGACTGGTGCTTGGTATAGACAGCTGCCAGCCCAGGAAGGCCCGATGCCACCCTGAGTCGATGGACCAGGGTACTCACGGGGCCTTGGTTTCCTCGAGACCCTTCAGTAGCGCACAGGTGGGCGGCGGCACGGCTGCGTTGAAGTAGTGATACCAGGTACGCTGAACCGGCCTCGCTGAGCGGGCAATTGATATACTGTGGTTCGATTTGGGGAAGCTCGAGCAGGGGCTTCGAATTCCACTGGCTCTCAGCCGTACGTCGGATGAACCCAATGGTTTCAAGTATCCGCGCAGGTTCCTGAGTGATTGGGGGCAAGATCTACCTGGACCTTCTCGCGAACCTCATGCTCCGAAAGGCCCTGATATGAGCCAACGCGGTTTGTGGAGTTTGTCTTGACTTGGTTAAACTCTCGGCCGAGACTCTTTAGAGCCTCTGGAGTACAGTGCTGCATTTCGGGATGCGAGTACCAGTAAGGTCGTACGAGAACTTCGATATACGGTAGTATGTCAAAGTTCTATTAGAGTATTAGTTTGCGCGCGGTCTAGACAGTCTGTTCCAGTTATATAGATAACCCCAGTGAGCGAGCGGGAGCTGCTCAGTGATTACTGACTGAGCAAGCCAGAGCAATCCGTGAGTGTCCCAGAGTGCAAACAGATCGCTCACGTGCTGCCCTCATAAAAGCGGCGGCACCTCTACTGAAGGAAGCGGAAAAGAAGAAGCAGCCGCAGCGGAGTCCTTATCGATAAGGCAGCACTTTCCCGCAGAAAAAAAGTTGGCGGCAGTTTCGCTTTCGCTTTCGCTTTCACTTTCACTTCCACGCCTTCCCTGCTGAACTGCCTCATCATGAGTGACCAACACCCCCCTGTTCAATCCATGGACTCGTCAGACGTCCCCAGCGACGCTCCCCCCGCGAAGAAACCCTGCATGATCGACACGCCACCCATTGCCTTGACCCCGGCCGACGATGGCAGCGATTTCTACAACACCCCCCTGGCCGTCGGCAGTCCTGCAAGCGGCGGTGATGTCAAGGAGCAGCTTGATGCTGCTATGAACGATTCCGCCGTGCCGTCGCATCCTCACCCTGCGATCCCCGGATTGAACCTGGTCAATGACGACGAGCCTCACACAATGAGCACCAGTGCTTCAGAAACCGCACCTGTGGACCAGATTGCAGCAGGGGCTGTGCCGGAGAAGACGGAACAGACTGCAGAGGAGCCTGCGGGAGGCGCGGAAGCCATGGAGGTTGAGCTGGCTGAGAAGCAAGAGACCCAAGAGTCGGTCGCAAACCCGACCGCGACCGAAGCCTCTGCACCGAGTGCCGCGGAGGACGCCCAGGAGGAGCAGGAAGACGAGCACCCCGAGTGGGAGGTCGACTCCTCTCCCTACGAATCCTCTTCCGACGACTCTTCCACCGACTCTGATGACTCCGACGACAGCGACGACGACTACCCCATATTGAGCGCCGAAGAACAAGCACGGATCTTGATGCAGGCGGAGCTGGGCGACGACGACGACGGCGAAGGCAAGGGCAAATCAGGCGGCCATATCAGAACGGCGAACGAGATCGACGACGAAGCTCCCCCCATTCCCGATATCACCGTCACGCCCGAGATGCGCATTGTGCTGCTGGGCCACGTCGAGGCCATCGTCGAGAACACCCTCCTGATCACCGCAAACACCTCCGGAGAATACCAAGTGCTCGAGTCAGGCTCCCTCTTGTGCCTGGAGAACCGCGCCATTGCCGGTGTGATCGCCGAGACCCTGGGACGAGTCGAGAACCCGCTGTATGCCGTCCGCTACCCGACCGCCGAGGCCATCACCGAGCGCGGTCTTTCCAAGGGCACCCAAGTCTACTACGTGCACGAGCACTCTACGTTCGTCTTCACCCAGCCCCTCAAGGGCATGAAGGGAAGCGATGCCTCCAACTTCCACGACGAGGAAATCGCCGAGGACGAGGTCGAGTTCTCCGACGACGAGGCGGAGGCAGAGTACCGGCGTAAGCTGAAGCAGAAGCGCCAGGAGAAGAAGGACGCCCGGAACAACGACGGCAGTGCCCCAAGAGGCAAAAGAGGACCTCCGGGCCCGTCCAAACTCAACCAGAGCGAGCTCAACTACGACGACAACCCGGCGGAGGACGGCTACACCCCGTTGGCCCGCCCGAAGAACCTGCACGAGATGATGCGCACCCAGGAAGCCCCCGTTGAAGCCGACGGCGCCTCGGCCAGACACAACACCGGCTTCCGTGGTGGTAGAGGTCGCGGCCGAGGATCCGATCGTGGCCGGGGTGGCCAGGGCCGTGGTCGCGGCGGAGGCCCCGGAGGAAGAGAATATCACGAGCCGGCTTCGCACCAGCCCTACTACCAGCAGCACCAGGGACAGAGCTCTCAACCCCAGCCTCAACACCAACACCAACCTCAACACCCCTCCTACCCCCAGCAAGCGTACCAGCCCAACCAGCCTGGCTACGCCATGCCCCAGCAGTTCCCCTTCGCAGCCTTCCAGCCGCAGCAGTCGCAGCAGCAGCCCCCGGCATACGGACAGGGAGCCATGCCCGCGCCGTTCAACTTCCAGATGCCCTTTCAACAGCTCAACGCCTACCATCAGAGCCCTCAAAACATGCCCATCAACCCGTTTCTCCTGGTCGCCCTCCAGCAGCAGCAGCAGCAGCAGCAGCAGCAGCAGCAACAGCAACAGCTACTTCAAGGCCAGCAAATGCCCGGCCAGCAACAACAACCCCAACAACCCACTATGAACTTCGACCAGGTCAAGGCGCAGCTGGACCTCCTGCGTCATCTGAGCAACAACAGCAATAACAACCAAGGCCCCCCTCACTCGTGATCAATACCGCATATACTGCTTTGATTGGTTTCATGTCTATTTTTTTTTGGCTTGTTTTGGCTCCTTTGCTTCTATCTATCAGCTTTGATGGTTCTGGGTACGGTTGCATTCTAGGAGTAAAGCTTCGTTTTAGTCATTCTATTTCTTATTTATCTCAATTTCTATGTCGAGTTTGGATCTGGATTTGAATTCGGGTAATAAAAGTTTTTATGCTTGTCTGCTTGCTTTAGACTGTTTGGTAATTTTTTTTTCTAATTGCTATTGTTAGTTTCTGGTTGGATTGGATTGGATTGGTTTGAATTGTACAGTGTACAGACAGACGACATACTACTAGGTTGAATGGGGTGGATAGGGTGGATGGGATGGATGAGATGGATGGGAGGTCGAGAGAGGAATGGAATGAGAAGTGGTATGGCATATTATACAGAATAGTAATAGTACTCCATGGTAGTAGGTAATTTGATTAAGAATACGTGATGTGATGGTGCCGTTACGTGTACTTCATGTATACTACAAACAGGTAGGTAGGTAGGTAGGTAGGTAGGTAGGTAGGTAGGTAGATCTCTCGGTCGAGTTGATCTCACGACTCGCTCTGCCTGGAACTCTTCGCCAGCGCCCAGAAACTCTCCAGCTTCGCGCGAGCCAAAACATCCTTGGCCTGGGAATCGGTTTCGCAGATGCGCGCGCCCAGCCATTTGCGGAACGCACGGGTCTTGACCTGGCCCTCCCAGACGAGATCGCACGTATTGGCACTGAGATCCTTCAGGTCGCCTGTTTTCTCGTCCTGGGCGGCGAGCCACGAGGCCTGGGCTTCGCGGTTCCCCTCGCGGACGGCGCCGGGGCCGGCGTTCTCGGTCCAGTCGATGCGGTTCATCATGAGTTTGCGGTAGTTGTTGATGGAGTGGGCGCCGCCCTCGACGATGACGAGGTTGAAGCGCGGGTGCATGACGCACACGCCCGTGAGGGCATTCTGCTCGGCGTTCTTGCCGATCTTGAAGCGGTTGCGGCCGTTGGCGAGACTGTCGATCCGGTACACCGTCATGAGGATGCCCTTCTCGGCGTCGGCCTCCTGTTGGCGGGCGAGCTTGTCGCGGCGTTCGTCCTTGGTGAGTTTGCGCTCCGCGTTGGTGGTTTCGTGTTTCTCGCGCCGGTCGGCGATTTCCCGGTTCACGCGCGCTTCGACGGCCGTGGGGTCCTTCACGGCTTGTTCGCCCAGGACTCGCATGAGGTTGGATTTCTTGACCTTGGGTGGCGGGGCGGGTTCGAGGCCGAGGCGGATCTTCGCTTGTTGTTCCTTTAGGTCGGCCATGCGGCGTTGACGCCGGATCTTGGCTTGCTCCTTGGGCGTGAGGAACATGGGTTTCTGGGCTGGGAGCAGCTTTTCTTGCGGCGGGTCGAGGAGGACGGGGTGTTGGATGTATTGGGTGATGATGGAGTCCGGGGTGTCGATCCGGAGGTTCTGTTCGTCGTCGAGGGCCGAGTAGTCGCTTCCGGTCATCAGGTTTTCGTCCCACCATTCCATGGCTGGGGGCGCTGGGATCAGGTAGGACTTCTCCACGTCTAGGTCTTCGTCGATACCGGCTTGTCGGGCTCGCTCCGCGATCCGCTTTTTCATGGTCTCCAGCTGGGCCTGCCGACGGAGAGCCGCGCCCTGTTGTATGTATTTGCCCTTCTGGTTGAAGAGCAGCTGCCGCGTTTGCCGCGGCTTTGCGAGCGTCGCCTTGGGACCCAGGCTCGGGTCGAAGTAGGGGTTGTTCTTGATCTCCTCGAGAGACGGTCCGGACAGATCCAGCCCGGCTCGTCCAGCGGTCGCCGGGGAGTCGGTGCGACGGCCGCCCTTCGACTGTCCACCCTGTCGTCCCTTTCCTCCGCGGTATTCCAGGTCTGCGAGCAGAGCCGGGTGCAGACCGACGTCCAGACCACCGCGCGCCCGCGAGCCGTCATCTTCTTCGAAGGGCGGAGGAGGGGGCGGCGTCGGCGTGGCGACGGGTCGTTGCTGCGCTGCAGCGCTGGCTCGTCCGGTCGCAGCGGCCACTCGCGCCTTCATCTGCTCCAGCCTCGACATGGCGGGACTGGCTGCCGGAGGCGTGGGACTGGGGCTTGAAGCCGCGGGTGTGGACGATGGCGTCAGGCCTTTCGCAGCTTGAAGCCTGGCCCGTACGGCTTCAGCTTTTGCTCTGGCCTCGGCCACCATCTTCTGGATGTCCACCGGCGCTTTGGCGGGAGCTCCTTGTGCAGGCATTGGGGAGCCATGGTTGGAACGAGGTCTTTTCTGGGAGTTGTTGTCTTCATCCTCGGGGTGAGGCCGCTTCAGCGCGCTGCCCGAGACGTCCGCCATGGTATTATGGTGCTGGTGGTGACAAACAGCGTGAATAGTTAACTAATAGTAATAATGTCAAGGCCGACGCAACGCGGGAAGAAGCAGAAGCCGTGGGTCCGGGCGGTGGCGGCGGGCAGAAAAAAAGTTGGGTGAAACTTTTCGCTCTTCGCAACGATTGCCGCCTTTTCTGCTTCTCAGGCCTGCTGCCCCAAAGCTTCTCCAGCGTCACTTCGTCGCTCCAGCGGCTGCCAGGGCAATCATGACCACCTTCACACGGCCCGTGGCCTCCTCCATCGCGGGCATTGACTTCGGTGTCTACAACGATGTCGACATCAAGGCCATCTCCGTCAAGCGAATCCATAACCTTCCGACCTTGGATTCCTTCAACAACCCGGTTCCTGGCGGTCTCTATGACCCCGCTATGGGTGCATGGGGTGACCATGTGTAAGGCCTTCTTTTCTAATTACTGTCTATTTTTTTTCTTTCTATTGTTTTTTTCGATATTCCAAATTGGCATGCCGTCGTCGTATGCGGAATTGAACTGACAGCTTCTAGTTGCACAACTTGCCGTCAGACTTCATGGTCCTGCACGGGTCACCCGGGCCACATCGAATTGCCCTTCCATGTGTACAATGTCACGCATTTTGATCAGCTGTATCGTCTCCTCAAGGGCCAGTGTGCCTACTGCCATCGTTTCCAGTTGAGCCGAGCCAGCGTCAACGCCTACGCCTGCAAACTGCGACTGCTGCAATATGGGTTGGTGGATGAGGTCGCCGTGATCGACACGATGTGGCATAAGCACGGCGACAAGAAGAAGACTAAGAGCGGCGACGGGTCCGACAGCGAGGAGGAGGACGACGATGACGACGTGATGGAGAAGAGAAACACATACGTCAAGAAATGTATCCGCCAAGCGCAGGCCGATGGACGGTTGAGAGGTCTCATGTCCGGGGCGAAGAACCCCCTGGCTGCCGAACAGAGACGCGCTCTGGTCAGAGAGTTCTTCAAGGACATTGGCGCTCCCAGCAAATGCGCCAGCTGCAGCGGGTACGTGGTGTCTTCGGACTCTTTGGTTTCTTCAAGCTCTGCTTACTGATTCGGTCGCAGAATCTCGCCCGGGTTCCGGAAAGATCGGTCCTCGAAAATCTTCCGCAAGGCTCTGCCCGACAAGTCTCGCTATGCCATGATCCAAGCCGGTTTCCAAATACCGAACTCCCTAGTCCTTCTCCAGGAAGCCAAGCAGCTCAGTTCCAAGGGCAAGAAGGGTCTTGCGAATGGCGCGTCTGACGAAACACATGGAGCTGAGGAAGAGGTTGCGCGTGGCGCCGCTGTTCTGGCCGCAGCTGAGAAGAAGCAAGGTCCTGGTGAGAGCTCGCAGTACATGCCCTCGCCCGAGGTTCACGCGGCCATCTGCTTGCTTTTCGAGAAAGAGGAGGAGGTCTTGAACCTGGTCTACAACTCCCGCCCACTGCCGAAGAAGGAGTCCCAGGTCAGCCCGGACATGTTCTTCATCAAGAACATCCTGGTGCCCCCCAACAAATACCGTCCTGCCGCACAGCAGGGACCCGGTCAAATCCTGGAGGCTGGGCAGAACATCCCCCTGACGAATATCTTGAAGAACTGCGATGTCATCAACCAGATCAGCAAGGAGAGGCAGAGCGGGGGCGCCGAATCTGCCCTGCGGGTGCGGGATTACCGCGACCTCCTTGCCTCGATCGTCACGCTCCAGGATGCGGTCAACATGCTGATTGACCGTGAGCGTGGTAATATGTCTGGACCGGCCGCCGCCGCCGCCCCGATGGGTATCAAGCAATATCTGGAAAAGAAGGAGGGTCTGTTCCGGAAGAACATGATGGGAAAGCGTGTCAACTTTGCTGCTCGAAGTGTCATTTCGCCTGACCCGAACATCGAAACCAACGAAATCGGTGTGCCCATGGTCTTTGCCAAGAAGTTGACATATCCCGAACCTGTCACGAACCACAACTTCTGGGAGATGAAGCAGGCCGTCATCAATGGCCCGGACAAGTACCCCGGTGCTTCCGCGATTGAGAACGAGTTTGGTCAGGTCACCAACCTCCGCTTCAAGTCTCTCGATGAGCGGACCGCGCTGGCCAACCAGCTCCTGGCGCCTTCCAACGCGCGCACGAAGGGATCTCGCAACAAGAAGGTCTACCGCCATCTCACCACTGGAGATGTTGTCTTGATGAACCGTCAGCCTACACTCCACAAGCCGTCTATCATGGGTCACAAGGCTCGCGTTCTCCCGAACGAGAGAACCATTCGCATGCACTACGCCAACTGTAACACCTACAACGCCGATTTCGATGGTGACGAGATGAACATGCATTTCCCGCAGAACGAGCTTGCTCGCTCGGAGGCCATGATGCTTGCAGACGCCGACCACCAGTATCTTGTCGCGACTTCCGGTAAGCCTCTGAGAGGTTTGATTCAGGATCATATCTCGATGGGAACGTGGTTCACCTGCCGAGACAGCTTCTTCGACGAGGAGGATTACCACGAGCTTCTGTACAGCTGCCTGAGACCGGAGAACTCCCACACGATCACCGATCGGATCCAGCTCGTGGGCCCGACCGTGCTTCGGCCCAAGCGTCTCTGGACCGGTAAGCAGATCATCACGACGATCCTCAAGAACATCATGCCGCCCGATAGCGCTGGTCTCAACCTGAAGAGCAAGTCGTCGACTCCTGGCGACCGCTGGGGGGAGGGCAATGAAGAAGGAACCGTCCTCTTCAAGGACGGAGAGCTGCTCATCGGTATCCTGGACAAGAAGCAGGTTGGTCCCACCGCCGGTGGTCTGGTTGATGCCATTCACGAAGTCTACGGGCACACCATCGCCGGAAGGTTGATCAGTATCCTTGGTCGTCTGTGGACGCGGTTCCTGAACATGCGTGCTTTCACTTGTGGTATCGACGATCTTCGATTGACTGCGGATGGTGATCGCCTGCGCAAGGAAAAGATCAGCCAAGCCTCCGCCATTGGTCGCGAGGTCGCGCTGAAGTATGTCACCCTCGACCAGACTACTGTGCCTGACGAGGAGGCTGAGCTGCGACGCCGCATGGAGGAGGTTCTCCGCGACGACGAGAAGCAGGGTGGCTTGGATAGTGTTTCTAACGCCCGCACGGCGAAGCTGTCCACCGAGATCACGAAAGCCTGCCTTCCCGGCGGTCTGGTCAAGCCGTTCCCCTTCAACCAGATGCAGTCTATGACGATATCAGGAGCCAAGGGTTCCAGCGTCAACGCCAACCTGATTTCTTGTAACTTGGGTCAGCAGGTCTTGGAAGGTCGTCGTGTTCCTGTCATGGTCAGTGGAAAGACCCTGCCGTCTTTCAGAGCCTTCGACACAAACCCGATGGCTGGTGGTTACGTCTGTGGTCGTTTCTTGACTGGTATCAAGCCTCAAGAGTACTACTTCCACGCCATGGCTGGTCGTGAAGGTCTGATTGATACTGCCGTCAAGACCTCCAGATCCGGTTACTTGCAACGTTGTTTGATTAAGGGTATGGAGGGCTTGAGGGCGGAGTACGACACTTCGGTCCGTGAAGCCTCCGACGGTTCCATCGTGCAGTTCTTGTACGGTGAGGATGGTCTCGATATTACAAAGCAGGTCCACCTCAATGACTTCGACTTCTTGGCCTCGAACCACGTGTCCATCATGTCGCAGGTCAATCTGGCCAACGAATTCCACAGCCTGGAGAAGGAAGAGGTCACGAGTTGGCACAAGGATGCCATGAGGATGGTGCGGAAGACAGGCAAGGTCGACGCCATGGACCCTGTTCTCTCTCGCTACCACCCCGGAGGCAACCTGGGCAGTATCTCGGAACAGTTCTCGCAAGCACTTAAGAAGGTAAGGAACCGACACCCAAGTTGTAAGCTAGTGTAGCTAACACTTTCTAGTACGAGGACACCAACCCGGATAAGCTCCTCAAGGACAAGAAGAAGGACATCAAGGGTGTCGTCAGCAAGAAGGTCTTCAACACTCTCATGAACATGAAGTACATGAAGTCCATCGTCGACCCTGGTGAGGCTGTCGGTATTGTCGCCGGTCAATCCATCGGTGAACCGTCCACTCAGATGACCTTGAACACCTTCCATTTGGCTGGTCACTCCACCAAGAACGTGACGCTGGGTATTCCCCGCCTGCGTGAAATCGTCATGACTGCCAGTGCCCACATCATGACCCCCACGATGACGCTGATTCTGAACGAAGAGCTCCCCAAGGAACACTCCGAAAAGTTCGCCAAGGGCATCAGCAAGCTCACCGTCGCCGAAGTTGTCGACAAGGTCCAAGTCAAGGAAAGAGTCTCCACTGGAAACATGAAGGCTAAGATCTACGACATCGAAGTCACTTTCTTCCCGTCCGAGGAGTACACCGCGGAATACGCCATCACTACGAAGGACGTGCAAGTGACTCTGCAGCACAAGTTCATCCCCAAGCTCGTGAAGCTCACCAAGGCCGAGCTCAAGAAGCGTCATGACGAGAAGTCCATGAAGAAGTTCTCCGCTGCCCAGCCCGAGATCGGTGTCTCCATCGGCACCATCCAGGATGGACCTCGCGGCGGTGACGACGGCGACGAGCCCGCGGACGACGACGTGGAGGACGACGAGGACGACGCCAAGCGTGCCCGGGGCCTCCAGAACCGGTCCAACCAGGTCTCCTACGAGGCTGCCGAGGACGAGGAAATGGAACTGGTGCGCCAGCAGGACGACGAGGATTCCGACGACGACGAGGACGAGACCAACGCCGGCCCCAAACGCGATGCCGAGATGGACGACGCCTCCGACTCCGACTCCGACTCCGACAGCGAGACCAAAGACACCAAGCTCCGCGAAGAGGACATCAAGAACCAGCACCACGAAGTCACGAAGTTCAAGTTCGACCCCCGCAAGGGCGGCTCCTGCACCATCCAGCTGCAGTACGACATCTCGACCCCCAAGCTCCTCCTCCTGCCTCTGGTCGAAGAGGCCGCCCGCGCTGCCGTCATCCAGTCGATCCCCGGCCTCGGCAACTGCGCCTTCGTCGAAGCCGACCTGGTCAAGGGCGACCCTGCCCACGTCATCACAGAGGGTGTCAACCTGCTCGCCATGCGCGACTACCAGGACATCATCAAGCCCCACAGCCTCTACACGAACTCCATCCACGACATGCTGAACCTGTACGGCGTCGAAGCCGCCCGCGCCTCCATCGTCCGCGAAATGGACGAGGTCTTCAAGGGCCACAGTATCTCCGTCGACAACCGCCATCTGAACTTGATCGGCGACGTCATGACCCAGTCCGGCGGCTTCCGTCCCTTCAACCGCAACGGTCTCGTCAAGGATGGCTCATCCCCGCTGGCCAAGATGAGTTTCGAGACCACCGTCGGCTACCTCAAGGAGGCCGTCATCGAGCGCGACTGGGATAACCTCAAGAGTCCCAGTTCCCGCATCGTCGTCGGCCGCACCGGCACCGTCGGTACCGGTGCCTTCGACGTCCTTGCCCCCGTGGCGTAAAAATCTTTCTAGGTAATTGGCGTGCTATGCTATGCTGTGCTGTGCTACTGCTACTGCATTACATATTTTTATATCTTGGTTCCTCGTCCGTTCTTATGTAAATGTGTGCATTGTTTTTTTTTTTAAGTTTCATTGTATTTCTATTTTGTTTTCTTTTCCCTATGTGCTGTCCTTGTCTTGTCTGACGTGTCCAACGATCTCGATCTCTGCAGTTGTTCTTTTTCAGCGGGAATAAAGAAAAAGTTTCCTCCTTGACGCGGATAGCATTTCTTCCGAAAGTTCTGTTTCGTTCGAGTTGATTGTTTATTTGAATAAATAGTCCGAGCAGAATTCAATAGAAGAACACTCACTGACCTGACTGGGTACTGCAAGTAAAACCGCTCTCTCCCTCCTGTTCATTTATTCTCTTCTGAATGAATAGTGAATGGACAGTGGATGGATGGATGGATAGATAGATAGATAGATAAAAAAGACTGTGGGTTATGTTGTATCGTAGGTAGGAATTATATTGTACATTTTTTGACCAAATTGAAACACCAGACCAACCAACCGTGGTATCATGCATGTTATGCAAGGACTGTCAAAAAGGAAACAGAAACGAAACCAAGCTAGCTGATTTGCTTGGGAGCTTATGGGCGATGCATTTCAAAGAAAGAAAGAAGGAAAGAATGAGAGAGAGAGAAATCACTGAGCATCCAACATCATCAAATCTTCATCAATGTCATCATCAAATTCATCCGGCACAGCGCCATTCCTCGCCCCACTGGCATGGAGATTTACATCCGCATTTGCCATCATCTCCCGCTGCACCCTCTCCTGCTCCTGGATCTGCTTGGCGCGATGTCTCTCCAGATCAGCCAGACTCCAAGTGGAGATACCCTCCTGATCCCTCGCCTTGAAGGGCTGCGCCATCGTACGCAAGAAATTCTTCGCCGTGGCAACCGCCATATCCGTACTGAGATTCGTCTCACTCTCCAGCATGGCCTGACTGATCCACTTGGGGAGCTGGGTGCGTTTTTTCTGGAATCGCCGGTCGGCGAGGACCATGACGCCGTAGTCGTCTTTTCCGCGGAGGACGCGGCCGAGGCACTGGGCGGCGTGGCGCATGGCGTCGAAGGAGAGGAAGTCGTTTTCGCGGATGCGGTAGTTCTCGCGCAGGAACTCGAGACGGGCTTTGAGGATGCGCGACTCGGTGTATTGGAAGGGCACGCCGATGTTTATGACGGCGCGGCCGTAGTGGTGGTCGAAGTCGATGCCTTCGGAGACTTTGCCACGCGCGACGCAGAGGAGGATCGCGCCGCGGCCGTTGCAGCAGGCCGTGCGGTAGGTTTCGAGAGCGAGCGAGGATTCTTGCGCGTCCGGCGTTTCGACTAGGATTAGTTTGTAGTTCCAGATCGAGTCCAGGATGCCCATGCCTTGCCACATGCTGATAATGGATTCCATGTAGAGGTAGGAGGGGAAGAAGACGACGATGCCGTCGGGGGTGACTCGTGCGAATTCGAGGACCAGATTGCCGTAGTTTCGGACGACGCCGGGGTCGTTGCGGATTTGGAAGGAGGAGGAGATCTGGGCCTGGTCGGATCCGCGGGTGACGATCATGGGCAGGAAGGATCGGCGCGCGAGGGTCATGCTGTAGGATTCTTGGATGACTGTGTCGAAGCCGAGCATCTTCGGGTACATTTCGAGAGGGGACATGGTTCCCGACGTGATGATCACGGAGCTGAAGCGGTCGAATACCGGCTTGATGGCGATGGCGGCATCGAGGCAGGTGAAATGTAGGACTGGGTTGGGTACGGTGGCAGCTTCTGATTCGAATGGTTCCAGGATCAGAAGGAAACCTTTGTCGTAGGTTGCGACTAGAGTCGCGAACGTGGCGACTTCCTGGAGCGGTTGGTAGTCCTCGATGTTGATCAGTTCCAGGGTGCGCACTAGCGAGGTTAGTCGTTCGGCGCAGAATCGTAGGGGCTTCCGCTCGATGAAGGTGAGGTCTTTGACGTGCGTCAAGAACGAGGGGGCGTTTCGGATATGGTGTGCATGACTTTCATTCGGGTTTTCAGGTATTCGATGAATCGTTTAAGGAAGGTGATGAAGTGCTCGGCTCGTCGGATGTTTCCTGGCACGGCTTCCTTGAGTAGGTCATCCGGAAGGACGGGGTTTGAGATGAACTGGTCCTCTTCTCGAGCTTGCTCGGCCTCTCGCAGGCCTTCGACCAGCTTTGAGTATTCGTTCTGAAGCTTCTCCGCATCCGAACTCTTCATGTCGTTAATCTTCCGCTCCAGGTTGTTGGCCCCCCTCGTGGCTTTCCGCAGCGAATCTTCCGTCAAGTCGATACTCAGGGCCTCGATGCAGACGTTGTCGATGTTGTGCGCCTCGTCGAAGACCACTATGCAGTCCTTGGACAGTTCTCGGGATACTCGTTCGGCGATCTTCGGGTCGAGGAGGTAGTGGTAGGAGTAGATGATAACATTGCAGAAGGGCATCTATGAGGCGTGAGTATGCAAGGTAAAGGAGTCTCCAGGTGGGAGGCCTACCATGCGCCGGGCAGAAAAGTAGGGGCATTGCTTGTGCTCCTCTCCGTATTTGAGCAGCCCATCTAGGGTGAAGACGCCGGGGGGAACGAGGTTGTGCGGTTCGAGAAGATCCAGGTTCTATCAGAGTTATGAGACGGTCCACCATCATCCTGGAAGTTCCATACCTCGTGGTATACGCATAGATCGACATCCTCGCCCCTCTCCTTCTTCTCCTTGACGAAGCCGGCAGTTAAACTCCGGCAGCGCGCATCGACCACCGCACCACTCTTCTCCCGCTTGACGGACGGATGCAGACACAGGTTCTTTCGACTCGTCAGACCCAGCGCGCGGAAATCCTCCGTGTGCCCCAGCTGCTCTTCCCGGAACTTCATCAGCGCCTTCAGCTCGGCCAGGGCCTTTTCGATCTCGGACATGGTTCGCGAGCAGTAGATGAGCTTTCGGTGTTCAGGATAATGCTGCTGGTAGGCGACGATCAGCGAGAGCAGCGAGACGGTCTTCCCGGTGCCCGAAGGCATCTCCAGGACACAGTGACCCCCGGCGTCGAGGGTCTTTTTGAGGTCGCACATGTAGGCATATTGTTCGGGATAGATGCGAGGGTACGGGAAAAGGACGGGGAGGTCGCTAGGAGGCGAGAGTTAGCGCGGGGCCGTTTGGGGGAGGGAGGTCAGGATAGCGAGAATACCTACTCGATGAAGAATTTCATGGTGGAGGCGAGGGAGCGCGGTGCTCGCGGGGGGAGAGGGAGAGCAGCTGTTCAGCTGTTGCAGCTGGTGAGGCCTGGACGGGCTTCTAGAAGACTTGATCGAATCGGGAAGCGATGACGGGTGGTCACGTGCCGTGCCTGCCCGATAGGGACGCCGATAATGTAAGCCCGCCGCTTTTACTCGGTCCATCATTCATTCATTCATTTGACTGTTGAATGTCTTCAATTATAGCTGCTTCTACGCCTTGGGACGCTTCCTGTTGATACCCTCTCCTTTCCCTCTCCCTGCTTGGGCTTGCCCCTCTCCCTCTCCCTCCCCCTCCCCCTCCCCCCTCCTCCTCCCTCCCTCCTCCTCTTCCTCTCCCACACCGGATCTCCGCCCATTTCGTCATTTCGGACATCCCGCCAACCCCGCCTTACTATGAGCAAAAAGTTCAAGTCCCAGGCCTCCAGCAGCCGCGCCGCCGCCGGTGCTTTCGGATCGTTTGGCGGGTTCTCGAGCGCTTTCTCCAGCCAAGGAAGAGAGCCCTCTTCTCTTACATATGTGGCCGAACCCCCGGATCTTTCCCGGATATCGGAGGCGCAATTGGCCATCGCGTTCAAGAACTTCCTGAAGAAAGATGATGTCACACGGACCAAGGCTCTCGACGATCTGAGGGATCACGTTTTGGGAGTCGAGAGCCGCGGCGGGACCCTTGATGACGGGTTCCTGGAAGCTTGGGTAGGTTTATATCCGTGCCATGCGCACGAAACAGCTGCTGACCGTGGCTCGGCAGATCAAAATCTACCCGCGCGCATCTATAGATATCTCCCGTCGCGTGCGACAAACGGCTCACGCGACTCAAGGGGCGATTGCCTCCCTCGTGGGGAAACGCATTGCCCGCTTTCTACCCAAGGTCATTGGCGCGTGGATTGCGGGACTCTACGACAACGACAGGCCGGTTCATCGGTCCGCGGTGGAGTCGTTCACCCGCGTCTTCTCGACTGAGGAGAAGAGAAGTGGCGTGTGGAAGGTCTACCAGAGTGCCATTCTGGATTTCGTCGACGATGTCATCCTTCAGCAGACGGCTCTCACTCTGAGCGACGAGAGAACGGTCAAGCCCGACGATGCGCAGGCGAAATATGCGCGCGTGGCAGGGACTGCGCTGTTGCTGTTCAACCGGGTCATTGGTAGGCATATGGTCTTTCGATCGCCCCGAGTGTTTTCTAACGTGAATGTGCGCAGGGAACTCGACTCATGACGAACTGCAGAAGGATCTGCCTACGATTGAGAACCTCCTAGGAAGTAAATCCCTGTGGGCTCTCTCCTACCACGATGACCCCTTTGTCCGCAAGTCACTCTACATCCTTGCCCGGTCTGCAGCTTCCAAGGAACCGGAGGAGCTGGATTGGAAGCTCATCAGTGCGGCCTTGATCGGCAAGTCTTTGCACAGCTCGCAACTGGGCTCTGCGACAGAATTGTCTGAGACCGTTTTGCAGGTGACATCCGCAAGGCCTCAATTATGGACAGATGACTACTCTGGGAAGTCATCTTCCTCGAAAAGACTACTTCAGTACATCCAGAAAGGGTCACAGGGAGGACTGGGCTCGTTTTGGCCAAACCTATACCAACTGCTGCAGATTATCCCGTTCCAGACCCTGGCGAATATCGACCCGCAATCGGCCCCTGAAAGTACTCTGGGATTGTCGAGTGCGGTGGCACTGACAGAGTCGTTCCAGGAGGGCCTGAACTCAAGAGATGAGCCCCGACAGAATCGCGCCATTGGCTGGAAGGCCTACATTGATACTGTGATGTGGCTTGCGAGTCGGCTTGCTGAAGGCGACCGAGAGAGCTTCTTACGCGAGAGACTTTGCCTCCTGATACTACAACATGTCACGCCCCAGCAGGACCGTATTCAATGGACGCTTCCTCTCCCATCAGCTGAAGCTCTCTGCACAGATTGCCTTGTCTCGCTGACGACGCAAGGGTTTGAGTCGTGCTTGAAACAAGTGTGGACGCAGCTATCAGACGGCTTGCTCGAAGCCGTGAAACTCTCCTCGCCAGAGCAATCGAAGGACTTCCTGTCTTCCCAGGACGCAGTCTGCGCGCAAGCTGGGCGCTTCTTTGCTTTGGAGGCCTCATTGCTCTCACGTTTGGCGGAGAGTGACCATGAAGCCAGAGCATTAGAAATCTTCAAGAATGCAAACCTGCCCTTGCTTGATAGCTGCCTGGAAGTTCTGCATTCGCGGAACGGCAAGCCGTACGGGGCCGCTGCTGTCGTCGAAGAAACGATCCGCAGGGTCCCGCAGATCGCGCAAGGCTCGCAATCACTGTTGAGCTTTGTGCAAGAAGATGCCCCGGAACTCCTATCTTCGCCATCTGCGGACCGCTTGATATCTATCATCTTGTCTTGCCGATCGTGGGACGGGTTTGGCCCTAGCTTTGAGAAGGTCATCGAGCGAGTGGCGCAATCTGACCCAGAGTCGACAAACGCACATGCTGTCCAGAAGCTCCTCTCCACCCTCGACTTCCAAGAGGTGGACGAGAAGACCGGGCTGGTTTCTCTGATCATGCGGGCTCTAAACCGTGCCTGTAACGGCAGCGACCTGCACTGGTCGATCGTTATCGCGGTGCTCCAGAACCGTACGTCTCACGGAGAATTGGCAGATTCGATATTCCTGGCCATCATAGATGCCCTGTCTGAGGAGAGCACGGTCTTCGATACGCTGCATGGACTTTCTCGGGTTTCCACTTCTGTACCAAGCGCTGTCCGAAGCTTCCAGAGCGGAAGCCAGGGCTCCAAACTGACCGGAAAGCTGCTGTTCCTCTCGGAGTCATCGGAGGAAGAGGTGGCAAGTCTTGCTGAGACTCTGTCGAAGACCGTCAAAGAGTCGGTCGTCGGTGAGACAAGTGCCAAGTCAACGGTCGAGATTTTGCGGCATAACTTCGACAACGTCAACAACGAGTCGCTTTCGTAAGTATGCCAACAGAGACCATGGACAAGTGGCTAACTATTCCAGGATCGAATCTTTGTGTGGAATTGCGGAAGAGCTGCTCCACAACATCAAGCCAGAGGATATTGGTCGAGTAGCAAAGGATATCCTGCCGTCCCGCCAGGCTTGGGAGCAATCCCTGGGGCCTTTTCTTGAACTTCCTCCTCGGTCATCGGCCGCGATCACCAGTCCGATTGGGGGTGCCGTCCACCTGGTGGATCGTGCTCTACCGGCCACATTCTCAGAGCGCTACGAACGTGTTGCGCGTGATTCAAACAACTGCTCGTCCGCGTTCAGGTTGGCTTATTACACCGTCAAGATTCTCTCTTCGTTTGATCTTGCTGGACGCCTTGGCACTGAAGAGCTTGAGACGCTATTTTGGAACGTGCCTCTGGCGGTGCAGCTCGTTGACGACGACTTGAGCATCCAGAACTGTAACGGAATCACCGGAATCACGCATCCGGAGCAGCGGGAGGAGTACATGGAAGTAGTCAACGATGGTCGAAAGGTCATCAATGGCTGGGCTCACTCGCAAGACCACAATGCAGGACAGACAGTCGCTTCCATTCTTTCAGCTTTCTGGAAAGACAGAATCGAGAAGCTGGATGGCCTTTCTCCCTCCGACTATCAAGTCGGGGTAGCCTTTGTGAGGATCATGGATTCTCTGGACACCTCAGACAAGCATCGGTCCACGGACGAGGTGACACAGCTATGTCGCGACATGAGAAAAGCCAATACAATTCACTCGGCTTGTTTGGTGGCCGTTCTGCGACACTCGATCCTGGCAAACCCTGCCGGTACACGACTGTGTAACGAGTTTGTCGCCGACTCTACTGGGCTGAAGCCCCAGCAAGAGAGTACAGATGGTAGGTCAGGCCAGATTACTCTGGAATCCCGCTAATGTAGTTTAGGCCTCCGAAAGCTGGTGCTGCTGAACCTCTTATTATCAGGGGCAGAAGAAGCTGCCGCTTCCATCCCAACGCAGCGTCTGGTGTTCCTGATCAACCATCTCATCCAATGTCTCCAGTCTAGCATGCCTCTCAGCCTCAAAACCGAAATCCTGCAGACCTTGGCAGTTATGCTGCCGAACATTGTGGAAATCTACGGCTCTCACTGGGAGAAGTGCATCGACATCATCAGTACGACATGGCAAGAAATCGGTGGCGGCGACGAAGCAGTCCCCGCGCTGCAGGCGTCGTTCAGACTTTTTGCTCGTATCAAGGCGATCGCAGCCGACGATGAGAGCAACGATGATGTAAAAGACGCATGGTCCGATGGAAAGACGAGACTGTTTAACAGTCTGGCATCGACGTTAAGGAAATTCGGTGGGTTCCTCTTCGCATACCAGGTTGTATATACGGTTATACTGACTGGATAGACTCGTCAACTACTTTCCACCAACCGCGAGACGTCGCTGTCGACCTCCTATGCCGCCTTCTGAACGCCATACCCATTGAGAACTTGGAAGACGTGGGCAAGTTCTTCCCGCTGCTGACGGCACAGAGCCCAGCTGTGCAGCGGGCGGCCTACACTGTTCTCCACCGGTACATCCCGAGCGTGCAGGAGCAGGTGTCTTTCGATGTGGCACTGTCCAAGTCGACAATCGGGCTGCCCGACGAGCTCATGTCTCTGCTGCTTGAAGCGCCAACGATGGATTCCGTCAACGCCGCCTATGGCGACGACCGGATGTGGGCCGAACTGCGGTCGTATCTGCTGAGCTGGAAGATCGTCTTCGACCACTTCGTGAACGCGGTATGTTCGGTGTTTTCTCAAATCGACCCTCGCTAATAAGCCATAGTCTCTCACCGTGCAAGAGAACTACGTCACCAGCATCAAGGAGAACGAGAGCCTCAGCCCGCTCCTCGAATTCACCTTCGACTTCCTCCAGCGATCCGGCGGAAAAATGGTCGATGCATCCCGGTTCGACATCCGCTCCTTCGAGCCCGACCAATCCGACACCCCGGAGAAAGAAATCCAATGGCTCCTCATCCACATCTACTTCCTGTGCCTGAAGCACCTCGCCAACATGACCAAGGCATGGTGGCTGGACACGAAGAAGCGCATCAAGGGACCGGTGGAAGCCTGGACCGAGAAACACGTAAGCCAGCCCGCAACACACCATCACACCAAACTAACAACCTCCAGATCTCCCCCTTGGTGATCGAAGAATCCCTCCGCGGCGTGACGGAGTGGATGTCCACGCAGGACCCGAACGAAGAGCGCGCCCTGAACGTGAAGATCTCCGCCAAAACCGCCGAAATCATCGCGAGCATCCCCGTCGACGAAGAATCACCGCCGGTCGCGCTCTCCCTCTCCCTGCCCCCAGCCTACCCGCTGCGGCCCGCCCTGGTCGTCGGCCGCAGCCGCGTCCTCGTCGACGAGAAGAAATGGCGCAGCTGGCTCCTCACGATCCAGGGCGTGATCATGTTCGCCAACGGCAACCTGGTCGACGGGCTGCTGGCGTTCCGGAAGAACGTGCAGGGCGCGCTGAAGGGCCAGAGCGAGTGCGCGATCTGCTACTCGGTTATCTCGACGGACATGCAGACGCCGAATAAGCGGTGCGCGACCTGCAAGAATACGTTCCACTCCGTGTGTCTGTTCCGCTGGTTTAAGAGCAGTAACCAGAGTACGTGCCCGTTGTGTCGGAACAATTTTGTGTATGTATGAGGGGACTGGGTGTGTAGTTGGATGGATATAGACATGCATTATTTCAAGCTATTTGCCTGGTTTTATTGGATGTAGTGGTTGTAGGGCTTTTAGGGCAAGACATTTATGAGTGGACCAAACTAACCACGAAAAAAAACCTTCCCTCCTCAATCCTGCCCTATCCATCATGTACTGCCAATGTCCTGCCACTCCAGCGGATATAACCGGAGAAGTCCGTATAACTAGTGTGGGGCCTCGGCGCGGGGCCCAAACTCCCCCACCCATCCAATCCAGCCAGAAGCTGCCGAGCTTCACCTTTTATCACTCCCCCGCCATGTCCGCCTCCCACATCCCCAACCTCAACACCCTCCGTCGCGGCGCGGGTCGCGGCCGGTTCCGTGGTCGCGGAGGACCAGGAGCAGCAGGCGAAAATGCCAGCGGAGCAGGCCCGGCGCAGGACCGCGTGGTCCAGGGCACCGACAATGACGCCAGCGTGTCGCGACTGAGCGCCGTCAGTCTGGGATATCTCGAGGACCCGTTTGCGCAGGCATTGACCGGTCCGGGGATGGAGACGAGACGGATGCCTATTATCAATAGAGGTATACTTTCCCCTTCAATCCATGTCTCCCTCTATTACCGTCATCCCTAACCAACCCACCAACCTCCTAGGAACCTACGTCCGCACCACCGCCATCGACCACCTCGTCCACCACTTCCTCTCCTCCCCATCCGCTACACAGAAAAAACAAATCATCTCCCTGGGCGCCGGCTCCGACACGCGAGTCTTCCGACTACTCTCCTCCCGCCCCCGGCCGGACATCATCTACCACGAGCTGGACTTCGCCGTCAACACGACCTCCAAGATAAAATTCATCCGCGCGTCGCCTCTGCTTCAACGGAGTCTGGGGCCTGATGTCACGATCTCTCCTGCTGGGGATGCTCTGCACTCGCCGGAGTACCATCTGCATCCGGTTGATTTGCGCACGTTGGCAGCTGCAGCTGCAGCTTCGACGCCAAATACAAACAAAGATATCCTCCCCTTCGTCGACACCACCCTCCCCACCCTCCTCATCTCCGAATGCTGTCTTATATACCTCACTCCCACCGAAGCAAGCGGTGTGATCCGGTACTTTACTGAGGTTCTTTTTCCTGCTGCCGCCACCACCACCACCACCACTACCCCCCCAGACCGGCCAACAGTACGACCCCCCTCGGCCTAATAATCTACGAACCCGTCCGCCCGAACGACCCCTTCGGCCGCACCATGGTGTCCAACCTCGCGACGCGCGGGATCCAGCTACAGACGCTGCAGCAGTACGCGACGCTGGAGGCGCAGCGGGGAAGGCTCCGGGCGCACGGGCTCGCGGACGGGCAGGGGCGGCGGACGTGGACTTTATTTGGGAGCGGTGGGTGGGGGAGAGGGAGAAGGAGAGGGTGGCGCAGGTGGAGATGTTGGATGAGATGGAGGAGTGGAGGTTGTTGGCGAGGCATTATTGTGTTGTTTGGGGGTGGAGGGAAGAGATGGATCTGGAGAGGGGGATGGGGGTGTTTGGGGGTGGAGGGGGTGGAAGGGCAGGTGGAGTAGGATAGATAATACTTACAAGGTACGGAGTAGGGCTCTGTCTGTGCCATCTGTCTGAGGGTCTGCGTGTCTGTGCCCATGGCATGTTTCCTACATACCCACCCAAGTAGGCAGGAGGATGGGGGAGCCATGTGAAAGACATACAAGTGGGTGGTGTTTGTGGTGTGATGAACGTGGGCACCTGCAGAGATCATTGTCAATTATTGGCCGCCATGGTGCGTCTACCTACACGGCCCAGGTATATACCAGTACGTATATACTAGTTAACTATACTGAACAAATCAAACCAACAAACCAAGCGCACAGTAGCTATCTATCTATCTATCTATCTCGTAGAACAAACAACCAAAAGTATCCATCCATACAGACAGATAACAGACCAACTAGCAAAGACTATTTGCCCACCCGCCGAGCGACTAGTTTCTCTCTGCCACCCAGGCACGGCACCGTCATTGGTCCCCCTTTTCGTGGTTTGCCTGTCGCGCAATGACTCGCCTGCGCACCGCGGGCTGATCTGCTCGGGCCTGGACTGGTGATCTTTCTCGCATGAGGAAGTCAGGTTTGGCCACGCGAGTACTATTCCCACCTGGGTCGTGTGGTGCGGTGCCTAAGTACTCCGTAGGTGTAGGATGGTCGGAGATAAGCTGGTAATCTGTCGATGAATATTGGATATTGGATATTGAATCTTAATGATGACAGTACGGAGTGCTCCGTAACTCTATACTCGATGCTCAACTTGAGTGAGCTGTATACTTAATACCCCGTACCCCGTACCAGTATTTACTACCACCAGATAACTACATACTAGACAGAGGAGTCAATCAGGGTTCGGGGTTCGTCCCCTGTCCCCTGTCCCCTTTTGACCGGGCACCCCGGGCACCGACCAATCCGCAACAGGCTGTGGATCCCCCACCCACGAACTGCCGGGGACGTAGCCCTTGCGCAGCCGCTGATTGGCAGACCCCTGAGACCGCACGGCCGGCGATGGAGACGGCAGCCCCGATTGGGAAAGACGGGTGGGCAGGATTGGCTTCAGGCCATCCCAAAGCGGCAATGCGCGGGGGACTCGTTCTTGAGGCTAGCAGAGCCGACTGCAGCTCCCTTTTCTCTTTTCTGGGGCTGTCTCGCTCGTTGAGAGTCGAGCTGGTGTTTCGTCTCTCTTTTTCTCTCTTTTTCTCTCTCTCTCTCTCTCCTCTCCTCCTCTCCTCCTTCACCCCAGTCATTCGTTACCTGTCATACTGACCATAGTCCTTCTTTCTCGCCTTCGGGCAATAACATCAGCTGTTATCAGCTATCGGTCATATTCGATCTGATCTGTCTGTCTATATATCCTATTCCATACTTCCTATCTGTATATACCCACCAGACCGACGCCATCATGAAGTCCAGTAGCGCTGCGGCGGCCTTGCTCGTCATCGCGACCGTCGAGGCAGCCAAGCATGCCCACGGCCACGGTCACGACCACAGCCACCGCTCCGTGGCGGACGCCCCCGCGGCCAAACGGGGCAGCAGCTGCCAGTTTCCCTCCGGGGCTGGCCTGGTGGCCGTCACGCCCAACGAGCTGAACGGCGGCTGGGCCATGAGCCCGGACCAGGAGTGCCAGCCGGGCGGATACTGCCCGTATGCGTGCCCGGCGGGGCAGGTGTCGATGCAGTGGGATCCCGAGGCCACCTCGTACACCTATCCGTTGTCGATGGTGAGTAGGCATCGTGCTGGAGTCTGAGGGACGGGCTGACCGGTCTGATCTAGAATGGAGGCCTGTACTGCGATGAGAACGGCGACATGCAGAAGCCCTTCCCGGACAGGCCGTACTGCGAGGATGGCACCGGCGTGGTCAGCGCGAAGAACAAGTGCTCCGAGCAGGTCTCGTTCTGCCAGACCGTGCTGCCCGGGAACGAGGCCATGCTGATCCCGACTCTGGTCGACGAGCTGGTCACCCTGGCTGTGCCTGGCACGAGCTACTGGTGTGAGACGGCGGCACAGTAAGTTTTGCCCTGTGTTGGGGGATGGATGGATGGATGGTACTGACGGATCGGCCAGCTTCTATATCAACCCGCCTGGTTACAGCACGGAGACCGCCTGTGTTTGGGGCACCCTGGAGAACCCGTTCGGCAACTGGTCGCCGTACGTCGCCGGCGCCAATACCGATAGCACCGGCAACACGTTCGTCAAGATCGGTTGGAACCCGATCTACCTGGAGCTGACGACGCCGTTCCGCGATGTTATTCCCGACTTTGGTATCGAGATCGAGTGCGAGGGCAGCGGCTGCAACGGGCTGCCGTGCAGTATTGACCCGGCTGTGAATGGGGTGAATGAGATGACGGGCTCCAGCACGGACGGGGCGGGCGGTGCGGCTTTTTGTGTGGTGACGGTGCCCAAGGGAGGGAAGGCCAACATTGTGGTCTTCGACAAGGGGGGGAGCAGCGGCGGCAGCAGCAGCAGCAGCAGTGTCGGCAGCGTCGTCAGCAGTATCTCGACCAGCGTTCCCACCACGAGCAGCGTTGCTCCCAGCTCGACCAGCAGCAGCAGCATCAGCACCAGTACTAGCACTACCAGCACCAGCATTAGCACCACCAGCACTACCCCGACCCCGACCAGCACCAGTACGACTGCCAGTTCCAGCTCCAGCTCCAGCTCCAGCTCCAGCATCTCCATCAGCACCAGCTCCGTCATCGTCCGACCAACCCCAAGCTGGACACCATCCAGCTGGAAGCCCATGTCGACGAGCGCCGCGCTGAACCGCACGTCGGCCAGCTATGTGTACAAGGGCCATGCGCTGGTGGAGACCGGCGCGTCGTATGTGCACGCGGCAGCCAGCGCGAGCTCCAGCTCCAGCTCCAGCTCGAGTGAAGCGTCGGGGTCGTCGGCGACGCCGTCAGTCGTGACGGAGGGAGGGGCCGCCAGCACAGCGGTGTCCCGACTGAGTCTGATCCTGGCGGTGGTGGGGGCGATGGTGATGGTATAGAGAGAGCCTATCTTGTGGTTCTTCTGTCTGATTGTATTCTTCTGGTTTCTTCTTCTGGTTCTTCTTCTGGTTTCTTCTTCTGGACATTGGGTATACCCTTTCATGATTGACGTTCTTGTATATGGTTGTTGATGAGTAGTATATTAATGTATATTGGTAATTAAGTCGCGAATTGAATATAGTGATAAGTTATGGTTGACATGAAGTATTCAATAGCTGACGAGAAATCTTTTATTAAATAAATAAGTAGTATTAATTTGACAGCTAACAGTCAACAAATGAATTGAATTAAATAAATTGAATGAATTGAATGAATTGAATGGAATAAAGCATGGACAAACAAGCGGAGTACCCAATCCAGCAGCCAGACACCAACCCCCAATACCATCTATCTATCTACCCACCCACCCACCTACCTAAAGGGGTCAGTCTAGAACCCCATCTGGAACAATGACCATGACCATGACCATCATCATTATGATTCTGGTTCTACTTAGTTTAATTATCACCCCATCCATCGCCCATCCAAGAATCCCAGTCCTGACGTCACGTCTACGCCAGGCTTGGCGGGCCGTCATCAACCAGCCCTCCAACCCTCCAACCCTAGTAAGGGACCTTACATATAAACCAGCACAGGTCATACATTGATCAAATGCATTTCATACACTCGATTCTAACCCTTCCAACCCAACAACAACAACAACAACAACATAAAAAAAAATAATATAATATAAGATATATAAAATGTCCACAACACAAGGCAAACCCCTCGACCCCTACGGGGCCAAAACGCACGAATCGGTCCCGGTGGACGAGAAAATCGCCGACCTGACGAGCTTCATCTCGCGCACGAAATACGGCATGCTGACCACCAAGGCGTCGGACGGGGAGCTGCTCGCTAGTCGCTGTATGGCGTTGGCGGGGATTGTATGTTTCTTTTCTTTTCTTTTCTTTCTTTCCCTCTTCTGTCTCCCTCTCCCTCTCCCTCCCTCTCTCTCTCTCTCTTATATAAATCCAATCACATCCCAACCATCTACCCCCCCCCTTCCCCATCTATAGTAACCCCACACTATCAATCCCAATCTCAACCCACCTAACCACATAATTAATGAAAAAAAAAAAAAAAACAGGACTCATCCATCGATCCCATCCTACACACAAACCTCCACACGCCCAAGACCCTCGACCTGCGCACCTCCCCCACACTCACAAACATCACGTTCCTGGATGCGGCGACCGGCGCGTGGGCGTCCCTCTCCGGCACCGCGCACATCCTGACCGATCAGGCCTCCATCGATAAGTACTACACGCCGGCGCTGGGGGCGTGGCTGGGCGATCTGGGCGACGGGGTGCATGATGGGGGGCCGGGCGATCCGCGGATCGGGGTGATTCGGATTGAGGTGGTGGAGGCGGTGCATGCGGTGGCCAGGGGGGTGGGGGGTACTTGGGGTGGTGGGCAGGGCGGTGGAGACGGTGAGGAGCGTTGCTGTTGCTGGGGGGGAGGTGCCGGGGGTGATGGGGGTGAGGGAGGTGAGGAGGGGGGAGGTGGAGAGTTGTGAGTTTTTCTCTTTTCTTTCTTTCTTTCTTTCTTTCTTTCTGGGGGATGAGTGAGCGAGTGCTGACTTGTATAGGGCGGAGGGCGCATCAAGGACAGAGTCAGGGTGTTTGAGTGAGAAATTGAGAAATGTGGATTGAGAGTGAGGGGGTGTATATCGAATCGAGCTGGTGAGTCAGGTGGGTATGCTGAGGTGAATAGTAGAAAGAGAGAGTCAAAGTCAAGACATGTATTCTTATATAGTACATTACTAGGCAGATGATCTGATATGTTCCAGTCCCGCCTGTATCATCGTGGGTATCTCAAATCAAATGACGCCAACCCCAGACCAATGCGCCGTATTATCATTAAATCTAGAGTGTGTCAATATATATCAACACAACAGATAGAACACATCAAAACTCACCAGTCGTAAAGGCATCCGCGCAGGCAGCCGCCCATTGTGCAGCAGCATCGCGATGTTCTTGTTCGGCGTCGCCTGCAGCTTGCGATACGCCTCCCGAATATGCCGCGGCTCGACCGGCGTGCGGCCCTCCTCGGGCGGGTCGAACAGCCCCGTCTCGCGCTTGCGCTTCTTCATGCTCTCGCCGTTCTCGCCGCCGCGCCGGTTCTTCTCGCGGTCCTCGCGCTCCTTGACCTTGAGCGCCTCCTCCGTCAGGGTCTGCACGATCTCGAACGTCAGGAATCCCAGGATGTCGACGATGTCGTCGTTCGGCTTCGACTCCGTCACGATGCCGAACCCCGCCCACTCGCGGAATCGCTTGCTCTTGCGGTACGTGAACGACGCCTGCCGACACTCCGACCAGAACACGTACTCCTCCTTGGTCATGTGCTTGGTGCGCTCGTCCGCCGCCGCCAGGCGCTGCAGCGTCGCGTAGTTCTGCTCCTCCTCCTCCTCGTCTTCCTCGTCGTCGCGCTCGGGCACCTGCACCGAGTAAAAGCTGTTCACGTCCCACGCCAGCCCGACGCGCGCGCGCTTGTTCTTGGGCTTGGACGCCACGTCCTGCGGCCCCGCCGCGACGCCGCCGGCCATGGGATCGTCCGCGGCGGCAAAGTCGGCTGCATCCGCGCCGCCCTTGTCGTCGGAGTCTTTGACGTTCTTGCGCACGTCCTTCCACGACAGGAAGGTCTTGAGTCGGGACACCTTGGCCTTGTCGTGGCGGATCAGAAAGATCAGGTCGTCGGTGGAGATGGAGCGCACGCCGCGCCGGGTCGCCAGCGTGGTGCTTCGCGCGAGCTGCGGATATTAGCATGATCCAGCCAACGAAACGGATGACTTACGATTTCGACCACTTGCTGACGGACAATCTCCTCGATCAGGGTCGTGGTATCAACGGATGGCTCGGCAGTTTCTCCAGAGACGAACATCATCTGGCGCAGACGGTGGGTTAGCCTGTCTCGGAACATTTCCTTGGTCTCCTGCTGCTGCTGCTGCTGCTGCTGCTCCTGCTCCTCCAGTGTAGAGTCTTCCTCGACAGACAGAGGGGCATCCATGCTTGACTGCTTCTGACGCGACTGCGTGTGTGCATCATGGAGAGAGCCACTTGATGTGAGGTGTATTAAACACAGGACAAAGCAAACGGGAGTGCAAACGCAGGTGGTCATTCACTGGCATCTGCGAATGACCCCACACGATGCTCCATCTCCATCCCCTCCATCCCCAGGCTCACCACCCTCACCCCTCAATAGGCCTGTCAAAGTATAACAGGGCGCTATTGAAATGCCGAGGCAGCAACCAGCAGCAGCCCAGGAGCCAAATGAGAGACTCAGAGAGCAGAGCTAAAGAGACGGCTTACCTGCTGGATCTCCTGACGATACTTGGGGGTTTTGTCGGAAGACATGATGGTAATCAAACGCAGCCACCATGCATGACCCCCACGGACAAACTGTCAGCGCAACAGGCCGGATAATGCGCAGTGACACCGCCGTAATCGGGGAGGATGTTCTTCAGACGGATATGCTGAGCAGAAGAGGGGGTAGTAGTAGTAGGAGTAGTAGAAGTAGAAGTGACACTGACGCGACAGTCATCCCGCGGATCATCGGTTGATCCGGTGCCGCCCGCCCGCATCGGATTGGAGAAGTTTGGAGAGTGGGGTTCGCCTTCAATTCCTCTTCTACACACCACACCACACCACACCCGTCACTATGCTGTACCTCGTGGGACTCGGCCTGGCCGATGAGACCGACATCACCGTCCGCGGCCTCGAGGTCGTCAAGAAGGCCGAGCGCGTCTACCTCGAAGCATACACCAGCATCCTGCTCGTCGACAAGGAGAAACTAGTGAGTGCCCATCCCCCTCCCCTCCCCTCCCCTCCCCAATTATCCGTGCGCATGGCTGACTGGAGTCCTTGGTTCAGTAGGAAGCTTTCTATGGACGGCCTGTGATCGAGGCCGACCGCGAGAAGGTCGAGAGCGCGAGCGATGAGATCCTCGCCGGCGCCGACAAGGCCGACGTCGCCTTCCTGGTCGTGGGCGATCCCTTCGGGTATGTTTTTCTTCCCGCCCTTTCTTTCCGGTCAGACGAGGGGAGAGATAGAGGCGGATTCTGAGCTTCATCCAGCGCCACCACACACACCGACCTCGTCCTCCGCGCCCGTGAACTCGGCATCGAATCCAAGGTCATCCCCAACGCCTCCATCATGTCCGGCATCGGCTGCACGGGGCTGCAGCTGTACAACTTCGGACAGACGGTCAGCATGGTCTTCTTCACCGAGACCTGGAAGCCCTCGTCGTACTACGACCGCGTCAAGGAGAACGCCGGGCTGGGCCTCCACACCCTGGTGCTGCTGGATATCAAGGTCAAGGAGCAGTCGCTGGAGAACATGGCGCGCGGCCGCCGGGTCTACGAGCCCCCGCGCTACATGACGGTCGCGCAGTGCGCCGGCCAGATGCTGGAGACGGAGGAGGAGCGACAGGAGGCCGTCTTCGGGCCGGACAGTCTGGCCGTGGGTGCGGCGCGGGTCGGCGCTGCGGACCAGAAGCTGGTCGCGGGAACCCTGAAGGAGCTGGCGGAGGTGGAGATGGGACGTCCCCTGCACAGTCTGGTGTTGCTGGGCAAGCGGGCGCACGATCTGGAGAAGGACTACATCCGGCAGTTTGCTGTCGACCCGGCCACCTTCGATGCCGCGTGGCAGAAGGGCGAGTACGGCACCATGTAAGCCGGCGGGGGAACGCCCCGAGATGAGATCAAATGAGATGGATTCATCACGCCAATGAAACTGCTAATGATCCACACGATGACACCAAACCAGCTTGATGAGTTCATCCAAAGTTGACGTTTACCGTTAACCAACCAACCAACCATCCATCCATCTATCACGCCGTCCTCCTCCCAAAAAGCCTCGTAAACCGTTCCGGAAGTCGCATCTAAACCACATTAGCCATCTCCCACCAACAAACAAACAAGCAAAGCACAATCATAAAAAAAAAACCCCTACCGTAGCAGAAGAAGGCGTCGCCGGCGGCGTCTGCGTCTGATCACTCGCATACCCCCCTCCCCATCCCCATCCTCCCCACCCTCCTCATCCTCCTCAAACCCCTCCATATCCCCCTCTTCCTCCTCATCAGGTGGAAACCACCTCTCCGGATCCCCATTATAAACAATATACCACCCGATCCTCTCCCCAGCGGCATACTTATCACGAAGCTCGACCAACGCCTCCGCCTCCTTGTCATCCAACGGCGACTCCTTAAAGATCTCCTCTGGGGTCCAGCTGGTCTCGCCGCTGGGCGCGCCGCCCGCCTCCGGGATGGAGAGCACCTTGGCGCCGACGTACGCGTACGGCTTGCTGACCGCGTCGTCGCTCGTGTCCTCGGGGTCGTACTGCTCGATGAACTGTAGTTGGGGGAGGCGGTCGATGATCCCCGCTTCGGTCTTTTGGAACGAAGACAGCAGCAGTGAGGTCGTGAGTGGCTGTTGGAGGTATTCGGCTGTCGCTTCTTCTAGGTTGTGCAGTACGATGTACACGCGGATGCCGGTGAAGCCGGCGCGTGGCCAGCGGAAGCCATAGAGCATGTAGACGGGCATTTTGGGGGAGGTCTGGGGTGGTGATGGTGTATGGGGTGTTTTCGATTGAGGGTGGGGGTGAGGGTGGTTCACATTCTTTGCGGAGAAGTGGTCAGGGGGCGAGGCGCATCGTATCTAGATGTGTGTGTGTGTGTGCGTGTGTGTGTGTGCGGTGGGTGAAGGTGGAGGCAGGCTGGAGTGAGTGAGAGTGGTACAACGGATATGCAGGTGCAGCACTAGATAGATAGATAGATAGATGACTGGTTGCCACTGCTGGATGTTGGTGGTGGTTCTTTGTTCCTCCCAACCTACGTACGTATATATGTAAATCACACTGCTCCAGATAAGACATCTAATCTCCATTGACACCAGCAACAGATGGCTAGAAACCCGACGATCTCTCGATCTGACAGCCAGGCGGTCAGCACCGGCAGTATCGAGTCTCGAGGCCGCAGCCGCCATCGACCGAATGAATGCATTCGACTCGACTGACCCCTCACTCCCCTCACTTCCCTCCCTCCCCTCCCATCCACCTGTCTGCCTCCCATTCCAACCACCGGGATGGTTCTGTCGTTCATCCTCGTCCAGAATCGCCAGTACGCTTTACCCGGTCCCTTCCCCGTCCGACGCACATACAGATCCCAATTAACGATGTCATCCGGAACAGGGGCAAAACGCGCCTGGCGAAGTGGTATGCGCCGTATAGTGTAAGTCTCCGTCATCGGCACCAATCGCCTCATTCTCGAGCAGTCGCTAATTGGTCGCAGGATGAAGAGAAGGTCAAGCTAAAAGGCGAGGTTCGTCTTGGGATTTCATTCCGTCCTCTCAGTCTCCGATGACACCCACCCCATATCCATATCCATCCCCATATCCATATCCATATCCATATCCAAAATCCAACAACCACCAAACCACACCCTCATCTACACAACGCAACACACCCCAACAAACCAACCCACTCACCACCTAACACCAACACCCCCAACACAACAGGTCCACCGCCTCGTCGCCCCCCGCGACCAGAAATACCAATCCAACTTCGTCGAGTTCAAGCGCAGCACCAAGGTCGTCTACCGGCGCTACGCGGGCCTGTTCTTCTGCGCCTGCGTCGACGCCACCGATAACGAGCTGGCCTATCTCGAGGCCATTCATTTCTTCGTCGAGGTGCTGGATCAGTTCTTTGGGAATGTCTGTGAGCTGGATTTGGTGTTTAATTTTTATAAGGTGGGTTTTCTTTGTATTCTTGTTTTTGGGGGGTATAGGGTACAGATTGGGGTTGGGTTGGGTTGACTGTGTTGGATGGGATGAGAAGTGGGAAAGGAGGGATATGTGGATGGATGGATGGATGGACGGTTTGGCTGACAATCCCAGGTATACGCCATTCTGGACGAAGTGTTCCTGGCTGGGGAGATCGAGGAGACCAGCAAGCAGGTTGTGTTGACGCGGTTGGAGCATCTGGATAAATTGGAGTGAGGGTGACATCATTGATTCAAGAGATTGGGGAGAGAACAGAAGAGACATTAATCAGGATGGTGATGGGAAGGAAGAAGAGAGGGGGCGAAGACGAGAGAGCGAACAGGAAAGGAGAGGAAAAGCGCAAGAGGGAAGAAGTATATAGGGCAGCCTCAGGCTACATTCGCATACATGGCCACGGACATGGTCATGACAGGAGTTATGGATTTCTGGGACGGTGTGCATTTCACATCCGGGCGTGTTGTCTTAATCATACATACGATCATATTCTATTCTATCACATCAACTATTGCCCTAGACCTAGTACTTGCTTCAACTCCATACCGCGAGTTCAACCCATTAACCCAAACGATACAGTATAAACAAACAGTATACCCAGTCCCAACCAACTCAGCCCATCTCTACTTAGTACATAGTATGATATATTAAAACCCAGTCTCCTCCAGAGTCCATAATTCACAACCACCAGCCCTATATCTAGTACTACTATCTATAATATAGTATACATACCCACCGTTCGCAGGGTCTTTCCAGGGTCCGTCCCTCAGGGTCCAACAGACATGCGCGGTGCATTTTTATTTATTTATTTATTTCATATTTATTTCTCTCTCATTTTTTATTTTTATTTTTTTATTTTTAAAGATATGGCCATTTAGGGGCAGCCTGGAACCAACATCTCCTCTCAACAGCCGACATCGACTGCCGCGAGAACAAGTTGACAGCGGAGCAACCCGAGACATTTGCCCATCCCTCAGCCCTCAACTGAGACCGGGCCAACTCGATCGCGACCTGGCCATGCACGATGCAAGATTTAAGCTTATTTGGAGGTCTCAGCCAGATAAGCAATATCTACTAGATAGATATCACTCTGCTCTACGGAGTACTGAGGGTTAAGACCGTTGGTGGGTGGTGGTTGGTAGATACTATAGTTACTATGTGTGTTAGATAGTTATCAGCTGGCCGGTCAGACGGTCACCCGGCCGGAGCCTTCACCATCAGTAGAGCAAATGAGGTGATTGCCTGCGGCGATTGCGAGCGTCATCACGACGATGGTGACAACGCTCTTGGCAAGACTTACTTAAGAAGCTGATGCCCTGGGCTTTCTCTTTCTTCACCTGCTTGGAGTAACTCGTCCATTCATCCATCCCATCTTGCCATATTCTCTCGACCTCGACTGCCCAGCCAGCCAGCCAGCCAGCCAGCCAGCCAGCCAGCCAGCCGTGCACACTAACGACACTCTCCTGCCGCCCTCCGATTAATTTTACGCCGTACGCATGGTCTCCCGAGCCCTAACGCCAACGCCAACGCCTACGCCCACGCCCACGGCCCCCTCCCCCTATTGTTAGCTGTTACAGGATCCAGCCCCAGCACAGACACAGACACAGACACAGACACAGACGCTCACCTGAGCGAGCGAGCGAGCGACACCACGAACCAGATTGATTGAGTCGAGTCGAGTCAGGGGGAGGTGGGGGGGGGGGGGTAAGGGAAGGAAAGGGAGGGAACACTTCTTCCTCTTCCCCCCCCCCCCCTCTCCCCTTGAACCGAACTCGATACGTCTCCCTTACAAAAGGAAACAAATACCGGCCGTATCGAGGCTGTTTCGCGTCTCCGTCCTCGTCCTCGACCGTCCCGTCCCGTCAACGGTCCGATCAACAACACAACATACGACATACGAAATACGACCTACAACCAAATTACCACACCTGGCCTGGTGTGAATATCTACTTGGTGACTGGTGAGAACGGTGAATGCCAATAATAATAATATGGCAATGCATGCAAGCACGCATGTCTTTTCCCTTCCCGACCCGCCCCGCCCCGCATACCACCCACCCGGCTCGTGCGATGTACAACGTATTTACCTATCTAGATAGATAGCAGCAGCAGCAGCAGCAGGACACGGAATAAGGGTGGAAACGGTGGATGATCCTCATCAGAGGATTGAAAATCGGTGGCCCATCGGTTATGGATCTTCCCTCTCTCCCTCCCTGTTTCATCTTTTTGTCGGTCACGGATGGACAAGACGGACAGACAGACAGACGGACAGACAGACAGACATAGATTCATGGTAAGTGGATGGGTGGATAGTGGATGGGTGGGTAAGTAGGTGAATGGCATGGGCCGCGTCGTGACAAGTTGACAACAGTAACTAACTATCTACGTATCATTGTTATTATTCATGTCTGGGCAAATGCGCGGCGGAGATTTGAGACCCAGCCGTCCATGGGTCTTGCATCCCCACGGCGGGAGGCTCGTCAGTTACCACTTACCACTTACCACTTACACGGTACCACTGGCACGGGGAGCAGTCCGCGCCCCTGGTATGATCTGGACGGACGGGGGCTTACGACGATTCAATTTACTAGACCAGTGTGGTGCGGTGCGGTGCGGTGCGGTGCGCTACGTTGATTGATTGATTGATTGATTGATAGATAGGGGTGGGATCCAAGCGGCATGTCTAGCCGACTATCTATCTATCTCTCTATCAAGTTTGACTGGGTTGGATCGTCCGACCCCGGACTCGAATTGTTCTGTTCTGGATTTCGTTGCGCGGCTAAAAAAAAAAATAGGGGCAAGCTACGGATGGACACGAGGGCAACAACCAAAAAAAAAAGAAAAAGGGCCAACAAGCCAAAAAGCCATAGGTAGGTAAAGTGGTCGGCAAAATCAACCTCATCCTGGCCATTGGTAGGTATTATTTTGCGGCCTTCGAGACTCTTCTGGCTCAGTGAGAAAGCGCCTCCGGTCACACTAACACTTTTTAAGTAAACTAGTCATTTCCGGTTTCGCGGGGACATGACTAGCTAGCTGGCTGGCTCTGGCTGGCTCTGGCTGGGCTGGGCTGGGCTGGGCCACACGGGTCAGGCGAGTTTCAATGTTTCTGTAACAGATAAGTTGAGTTGAGGGTGTGTGTGTGCGTGGGAATTGTTGGCTTTCCCTCGTGCGCGTAACAAAGTGGTGGACCCGAGCCAGACTATCAATCAACCATGCCGCTTTGGGGGAAGATCCTCTGGAAGCTGACGCCGACCTCTTCGCTGAGCCCCAACACGTCATGCAGTTGCATCTTCTTGCAAAGCTGTGCACCCCCGGAACTCTATATGAACGGCAACAACAACCGCTGGTTCGTCGGCCATGGCCATGTCCATGTCCATGTCTCATCTTGCGTGGACTCCGCGTAGTGAATTGTAAGGCAGAGAGAGAGAGAGAGAGAGACCTGGGAGTCGGAGATATTTGCCTGATAAAGCCCGATGGATGGATGGATAACCTTAGATAACCCCTGCCTTGGGAATAGCCTGGTCAATCAGTGGACGGTTTATCCACCGCGGAACGATAGACCTGCTTCCTTCCTGGGAAGATGGTGGCGTTCCTTCCGGAGTATGTAGCACGCAGCACGCAGCACGCAGCACGCACTCTATCTAGCTATCGAGTCTGAATATCGCGGCGCATTTCACGCATACTCACCGATCCTGGAGGCTGACCCTGTACAGGATGCTGATTGGCCAGTCAATATGTATCTGTCTGATGGCTGGGACGATTTACATCTGATGAGTACCTACGCCGACGCCGTGGACTTCCAGCCGCCACCGTTCAAGCTCCAAGACTGTCTGTCCACCGTGGAACGCACGGGTTGGGGCCCAGTGCATCCGGAGGGTATACAGCGCGCAGGATGTCGGTGTCGGATTCGAGTATCAGACTGGCAGGCTGACTCCTGGGTTACCCGCTACTTCGACACGCTATTGGCGGGATCCCACCCAGGTCGTGCTCCATATCATCCAGCGTCCTGTTCGTGTCCAAAGTACGATAGCAGATCAGTTGATAGCTCGCTCCACCACCAAGAAGCCGGCTGCAAACTGGATGAGAGAAACCGAAGTGGACTGGAGTAGTCGCACATGGGGCCTCGCTTGGATGTCCAGGCGAGGCCGGGTGGCCGATGTTCAACGAGAGTGCCACAATGGCTGTGCCAGATGATAGACAAGCAAGTACACTGCGTCGGCTGCTGTCTGATCACATGCGTCATTTCTGCTGAGGCGGTCAGACTCCAGCTATCCAGCTGTCTCCCAGGCTCAAACCCAGCCAGGTATCATGTACCTTCGCGCTGACCTCATGAGACAGGCGTCTCTGGACATACGCACGGTGGCCGTCGTGGACATTGAGACAGGTAGTCGGAATTAGATGCGACTGGTGTTGACCCCCAGGCGGGGCTAGCCTGTTCGGGGTAGCCGCTCGGGAGGGACGAATAATGCCACGACGCCCCGTCCTACAGGCCACACTGGCCGGGGCATCTCGGGTTACTCCAGATACCAACTGGGATACGGAAGGATCAGATTCCATGGGGCATGCCGTATCGCGAGTCATGCTCTTCACTCTGCATCCTTCACCATACAATTTCCGTGAATTCCGTAGACTACTAGATAGAAGATATCTGATACCCTTACTGCGGACATCCACAGGAATGCAGGGGCGTGGAGGTACGTAACAGAAAGAAGCGCCCAAGCCAAGCGACGCGACCCTGGCGGTGGAGATGCAGCGCCGAGGGTGTGTACGTTTCAGACTTCGTGTGTTGGAGTTTGGGAGGCGGAGAGGTGTCTAGCTTGATTGATGTTCGAGGTTGAATAAGTGTGGATTGCCCGGCACCCTTCCTGCCCCTTTTGCATTGGCCGAGGCGCGGATGGCGTGGGTGGCTTTACGTTAGTCCGCCGGGGGCGTGCCGCTAACCCACTTGCGGCCGTTGACGGAGAAATGGACGCGTCGTCCCCGGGGTCTGGGCCAATCAGCGGGCTTGCGAGCACGGTCCGACGGGTGACCCAAGCAGACAAGCGCTCCCAATCGAGGCGGCCAGGGATCGGCGAAACGCAGGCCTACGCGGCCGATCACTGGGTTCGCCGACTGGCGGGCTTGGCGGGCGCCCCCCTCCTCCACTTCTTGACTGTTCCATCCTTCTTCTTTTCTGCCCCGCCGCCCTGACAGAACGAACAATCAGGAGACCGAGGACGGCCCTGAATCCCCTCCCCGCCTGTCGCTTCTGACTGGCCCAGCACTCGCCGTCCCCTTGGCCAGACTCTGGATGGAGGATGGATGGGAAAAAAAAAAGATTCCCCCCTGACTATCTATCGTGTCGTCGCCGCGCGAACGTCAGCCGTGACGTCGAGCCCTCGTTTCGTTTCTAAATTCGTGCATCGTTCGGTCACTTGGGCGTGATGGTTCTTGCATACTTACATGCCCTTTACAGTGTAAGTAAGTCCGTACATCAACCGGAGTCCGATTGCAGAATCAAGTCATTGTCCAGAACGTGGCCGGAGACCCGCCGGGGAAAGAAGGGCGAGAGAAAAAGAGATAGAGAGAGAGAGAGAGAGAGAGAGATCATAGTAGGGAACTCCCAAACCGGACGGGTAAAAAACAGACAGCTCCCCTGCCCGATCGAGAAAAACAAAAAAACAAGAAAGGGCCAAGAAAGCAAGCCGCCCAAAAAAAACGAATAACCGTTTCAAAGTGTAGCCAATTTTATTTTCCATTGGCAAGAGTAATTCCGAATAGAGATCCAAACCCAGATTTTCCCCATGTGAGTTGCCACATCCAGTCTGGTCGTCATGGCGTGTCTCCATTTCCAGAGAAATGCAATAAAAAACAAATCTAAAATAAATTGCTTTGGTCGGCGCCGGCCTGTCTGCCTCTGCCCTAGCGTGATCTTATAATTACCCTCACATCGGCACTGCATGTACTAGCTACGGATTTATCTACGACTCCTCCATCCCATCCCATCATTGTGACGGTTGTTGATCGACTCCGTCTTTACCCGCCGTCTCCTTTTAATCCCTTGGACGCCTCGACTTCTTTCCTCCTCTCCTCTTCTTCAACTTTACCTTCACTCTTCTTTCAGGCTGTCTGTCTGTCCTGTCCTTGGTCCTATCCTTCCTTCGCGACCAGCGGCCCCTTGCAGTCAGACTTAATCGTCAGACCTTCGTTACTACCAGCCGATACCTCAGCCCCTCGGCACTAATTCGCCATGTCCCTCATCCACTCCGACAACCTGGCTCCCCAGCCCTCCACCGACATCTTCACCGATGACACCTGCATTGACCGCCGCAAGTGCCACCGCACCGTCCCCATGAAGGTGCTGGCGCTGGGTGTGGGCAGAACTGGAACAGCCTGTAGGTTCTCCTGAAGCCAGGTCGCTGAAATGTATGACTGACGGTTCCCCCCCACAGCCCTCCGCATTGCCCTGGAACGCCTGGGCTACCTCAAGTGCTACCACATGATGTCCGCCAGTATGGAGAACCCCCCGGACTGCCTGATGTGGCACGACGCCCTGGCCGCCAAGTACGACGGCGTGGGCGAGTTCGGCAGGAAGGAGTGGGATCAGCTTCTGGGAGACTGCCAGGCCGTCTGCGACTGGCCTGCGTGCGCCTTCGCGAAGGAGCTGATCGAGGCGTACCCCAACGCAAAGGTCATCCTGACCACCCGCGAGGTTGACTCGTGGCACGCGTACGTTTTCCATCACCCCATGTTTTAAAGCATAAATACGTCATCTAACAGGCGCAACAGTTCCGTCATGAAGACCGTGTTCTGGCGTGTCTCCGACCCCGAGCACAAGTTCGTCTCGAACTTCAGCTGGGCCGCCAGCATGTACTACCCCATGCTGAACAAGTTCTTCGAGACCTTCTTCCGCGGCGACTTCCCCAACAAGGGCAAGCAGGTGTACCTGGACCACGTCGAGGAGATCCGCAGCATGGTGCCCCCGGAGAGACTGCTCGAGTACAAGATCCACGAGGGCTGGGGTCCCCTCTGCGAGTTCCTGGGCGAGGAGGTCCCGGACACCGCGTTCCCCCGCGGCAACGACATGGCCGACTTCTTCAAGCGCTGCCGCGGCCGCAACCGCCGCCAGATGCTCAACGCCGCCCTGCAGGCCTTCACCATGGGCGGTGCTCTCCTGGCCACCGGTCTGGCCGCCACCATGGCCTTCAAGCGCTTCTCGCGGTAAATGCGCCCGGTGCCGTGTCTCTTTCTCTCTCTCTCTCTCTCTCTCCCTCTTTCGGCGGTACGGTGCTGGGCGCCATTTTTTTTTTTTTTTTTTTTGCTGCTTGCTTGCTTGATTTCTTTATTAACTATTCCCAAAACTGTTTGTCTTTTTTTTTATTTATTTGCTGTCTTGTTTTTACATATATACACCGATGAGCGCACCGCCCCGGGTGGGGTGGGTTTACTTGCTTGTAATAGTCTCATATGTTTTGGGCTACTGCCTGGCTTGGGGAAGGCTTGACTTGACTTGGATTGGATGGAGCCTTGGAAGCATTTGGCTGGGGTTATCTAGGTACTACTACTACTACTACTACTGGGTGGCGGGGTTCCGGAATTGGCGGCAGGTACTACTTACTACGGAGTACTACTGGAATTGCTGTTGCCTGGTGCCAATGGAGTCCGGACGAGATGAATCTATTTACATACATTATTACTTCACACCTGCTATCTCATCTATCTTGGTACTTCTCTCCTTTCCTGGACACCCTTCTTGGCTGCTGTCTGTGTGTTGTAGACGAAGCTGGGCATAGTCTTGCCGCAAACAACCAATTGTCGGGGCTCTTGACGTCGCAGAAGCCGGAAGGCGTCCGACACCCGGCTTGGCTGGCCAGGGGGGGTTGTCGCGCCCTACAGGGCCGTGGCATTGGCATTGGCATTGGCATTGGCATTGGCATTGGTGCTGGACGACTGACTGACTTGGCTGGGCGTTATGGTGGTCTGCTTGGCATGGCTTGGTGTAAGGTGTCTCCATCTCATATACGGAGTCTCTACAGTAGTAGTATTTTTTACCCTGAATACAAGTACGGCGCACACTGTACCTACTATACCTTACCTAGGTACGGAGTAGCATACTAGGTATATCGCCCGTGTACACTGACCTGACCCACGTACGTACATACACACGCTATTCTACAATTCTATAATTAGCCAGACAGACATCTTCTTTATACACCGTCTGGAGTAGATAGTCCGTACATATCTACACACACAGGCAAGCCAGCCAGCAAGCAAGCAAGCAACCACACCCCCTCTCCCACACACACACACACACACACACAGACAGTAGGTAGGTAGGTAGGTAGGTAGACAGGTAAGTAGGTAGGTAACCCGACACCCCCATCGCAATCCAGCCACTGGCAGAACTGAAACCAACACGACCCCAACGCATGAAAAACCCGCCGATCTATCATCCCCGCGCATGTACATCCACACCAATTGGCGGGAATTTCTTTATACTTTATCGCGATTGTCCAATGGATGATCCGGAATGCGCGCTGGCACGTGGTGTCCATGCGTGTATGTATGTATGTATGTATGTATGTATGTATGTATGTATGTGTTAGTATGGAGTAGGTAGCTAGGTGGTAGGTAGGTAAGTAGGTAGTAGATCAGGATTTGAGATTTGGGATTCAGGCTGGTACTTTGTATGTAGTATGTAGTATGTAGATGTATATGTGGATGCGACCGAGCTAGGAGGTACAGACAGGATCTACCATCCATCGGCTGTCCTGGTCCATCTATCTCATTTTTGAGCGGGTGATGCTTCCGCTTAGAGTCGACTAGTAGTCGGTGCGCCACATTATCTTGCTGACGTATGTAGATTGTTTTTAGGTTGGTTAGTTAGCTGGATGGCTGGATGGCTGGATGGATGGCTTGATGGCGCTCGACGCAAAAGGGGGACACCCAGGGACACACGGACAAGAGCCAGGGCCAGGGCCAGGGCCAGGGCCAGGACCGGGGACGGGTAGGGAGGGTATCAGGGTATCTAAGAATAGAGTTCTCCTGATACCGCACCGTCCATGATCTGAGACAAGTCGGGGTTGATGTGCATGGATTGGATTTCTTCCCTATTCCTATTCCCTATTTTCCCTTCCCAGGTACGGAGTACATACTCATGTTGATTGTGATTGTGATTGTGATTGTGAATTATTGTTGTTGGGTGATGATCGGGTTAAGGTCGATCGGATCGGCCGTTCGTGGGCGTTCGTTCATCTACGGTACTGGTGATGAACGCACCTGTCTGATTTCTGATTTCTGATTTCTGATTTCTGGTTTCTGATCCAAAAACCTACTCCGTAGTAGATCTTGAAAGTATGTAGGTAGATAGGTACATAGGTAGGTTCTCACTTCTCAGGGATTGATCCATTGTGATGGATTCTACTGTATAGTGTATGCAAGCCGCACAAGGATGGATAGCAGTGGATTACTGTGTGGTTGGTTACTCTGTACTGTATGTAGTGTAGCGTGTACTACATACAGTAGTTACGGCACTGTACGGAGTACTACTTAAGCGCCAGGATGGCGGTGCAGGTATCTGGGCTACTATTGAACTATGTATGCCAAGACCGATTCGGGATATTGTTCATTTCCCGTTGACAGGCAGGCAGGCAGGGCTTTCATTTAGATTTCAGGCTTTGTTGGTGTTCTAATTGTACTTATCTTCCTATTCATATTTATCTAGTCTGCCATGCATATTACTCTAGTCTGCCTTGACTATGTATGTATGTATGTATGTATGTATGGATGTAATTGGGATTGTTGACTCCAATGCTATCTTTATCTTCCAGCATAGGTAAGTACATCAAATACAATGCCCAAATTCAAGATTCGGACTCTGATCCCTCCCCTCCCACCCCCTCACCACAATCACAATAACTGAACTCTGGACAGCATCCGATGACCGACACCCGATCACCCCCAAACTCAATAATCCCCGACAAATTGAGTCCTCACTCCTCGTCGGCAATACCTAGTGGATCTCCCCGTCTCCACCACCACCTCCTCCCTTCCCTCCTCTCCCACTCTCCCTCTCCCTCTCCCACTCAAGTAAGTAGTCGTACGGAGTAAATCACTACCATCTACCCAACCGCAACCAATAGAGATATTAAATAAATAACCAGTCACACCCATAGCCTGAAGCATAAAGCATGAGACACGAGGCTACGAGCATGACGACGACGACGTGGCGCCAACTCCCCTCCCAACGATCGAACCCTCCCTCCCTCCCTCGCCAGGTCGACAACCCACCTCGGGCCAAGCCCCGACCGACCGGGAGTGGACACTAAGCTCCGACGGGCCTAGTCTCGGCGTTAAAAGATTTTACCCTGTACCCAGTCTAGTCTCCAGTAGTAGTACAAGTACCCGCTATCTATCCACCTATCTACTCCGTCCGTACCGCGGTCCCAGTTCAGTCACACTGTCACAGACTAGATAGATACTCACACAGTCTCCAGTCCAGACGTAGGCGGCGTCAGGTTTGGGTTTTGGTTTGGGTCTGGGTCTGGATTGGGTCTGAGGGAGTAAGATATATCCATCTTGGCTTTTGCTTATTTACTTACTTACTTCCAGTTTACCCAGGACGGGTTGATCTGCGGGTTTTTCAATAGTTGGATACTTGGGTGGGTAGGTAGATAGGTACTTAGGTAGGCAGTTGGGATTGGCTGTGCTGGACATACCTACTACTTAGATAGGTAGTAGGTAGGTAAATGTAATCGAGCTTAGTAGTTAGCACTCGCGTAGACTGCTCCGTAGGTATCTAGTTATCTAGATAGACGGCAATGTTCTACTTTTAGGTACTTCGACGCAGAACCTAGTGCAGACCAGGGACCGACTAAGATTGTCTATCTATCTAGGTCTGGTCTGGTCTGGCCTATCCATCTACTTAATTCACGCAAAGGGAACAAAGGGTTTTGGACCTGGGACGCGTACTAGTCTAGAGACTTACGGCAGTGCTGGGAAGGGAAAGGGAAAGGGTCAGACTAACGCAGGGATGACGGACAGGTTTTTTTTTTTTTTTTTTTTTTTTTTTGCTTTTGCTTTTTATAGGCTGCGTGGTGGGATGGGGTCATTGGATGGATCGGGGGGTTGGGGGGAGGGGGTCTACGTGGACGGGGTACGTATGTGCAGGCCGGGTGCTTTGTTCGCTGGATGTGTGTGTTTTGTCGCTTGGGGTTGGTTGGGTGGGTGAGACTTGGACTTGGACTTGAGAGGGTTGTCTGCTGTCTTTGTAGGCGTGGACTGGTTTAGAATGTTTGCGACTGCGACTGCGTGGGGGTTGGTGGTTGTTTGTAGGGTCTCTTTGGAGCTGCTGAGTTGACGGTTGACGGCTGACGCTGATGCTGATGCTGACATACCCTGGATCATGGATGGCCGTTCGGTAGATAGCCAGACGCTCGATCCGGATATCAGATCAAAATGATGATGGTCAGGACGTACGTACCTCCAGCGTGGCTAACCCGAGCTAAGCATCGAACAATCTCCATCCCGACCTGGCAGTGACACCAGTGTACGGAGTAAAAAAGGGCTCCTCTCCGCTGTCAAATGCGCCACACGATCGTCTTCAACGTGAGGCCGATCCGTCCGTAGTAAGCACCCAGACTGACAGACAGGCCTTGGATCGCGCCGGTCACGCTGCCTCGCGTCGCCAGACCGACCTTGATAGATAGATCATATGGCGGACCGGTCGCCATCGCAATGCCCTGCCAACCGCGCCTGCGGCTGCAGCAGGCCGACTGTACTGTAAGTATCGATCTACTGGGCTTGTCGAGGGCAAAGTACTCGCCTGCACGACGCAATAAACATGAGCAGCCAGTGCCGGGTACAGGCGGGCCCCCCCATCCCGGGCCCACCCTCTCGGCCAATCAGCACGGCCAAAGCCGCCATTCCAGAAGTCGGCAGGGGTGACTAATCTCCTCTGGGCGCCATGGTACGTTGGTCGGGCTTGGCGGGCCCCACCGGGCTTCGTGCGGGTTCATGGAAACACGCCGTAACGAACTGCGGCCAGTCTGAAGCATGAAGCAGGATTGCCAAACGTTATCCTGGGGAATGGCGAGGCGTGCGGTGGCTGCGCTGCCCTTGGGCTCTTATATCATCAACCGCTGATCCTTCCCTCTGCTCCTTTGACATCCCTACCCTATACTGTGTCTCCGTTGTGGTTTGCGATTCCGCGGATCGCGCATTTCATCCCTGTATACAACATCATCATACCTTTCCACCATTTCAGCTGGCCTGCATTGACTGTGGAATCCTTTTTCCCCCTCCCCTTTCCAGACCCTCCAACCGTCGTCGACTTCTGGATCCTCCAGAGCAAGTGATGAAGAATCCATGATCGCCTATACTCCCATCTCCGGAGGATCGACTCCCTCCTTCCTAGCCCTCTGTCTGATCCTGCTATGCGCGTGCCTGCAGCCTGTTATCGCGGAGATCGACTCGGTCTTCAAATCGGTAAGTGAGCTGTCTAGCGTCGAGATAGCTGGCACGCAATAAAGCCAAGACCTTCGTCACTCGGATCGCTAACCTTGTCTTGACGACGTCCTGCAGCGTCCCGATCTCTACCCACCGGTCCTCACTTTGGAACACCGGGTTCCCGACAAACTCAGCCCCGGATACATCTTCGTCGGTCCGTATGAAGCGTCCAACTCGGGCCCGTATATCTACGACGATGAGGGGGTAGGTTCCGACCCTTCTGCGGGCTGCACCAGGATGTTGACAATGAGCAGAACCTCGTCTGGAGCGGCTGGGGGAACTCGGGCCCCGGCAATGCGCACGGCATGCACGTCTGCCAGTACCAGGGCAAGGACCATCTCTGCTTCTTCCAGGGCGTGCAGCAGAACGGATACTGTCGGGGTCACGGCGTGATCATGGACGACCACTACCGCATCGTCCGCACGGTGGTGCCCGGCGGGGGCATGGCGTCCAGCGACATGCACGAGTTCATGCCCATCAACGACGGCAAGACGGCGCTGATGACGGTGTACCAGCAGCGGCAGTTCGACATGAGCGCGTGGAACGTCAAGTCGGGCATGGGGTGGGTGATGGAGAGCATCTTCCAGGAGGTGGACGTGGAGACGAACGAGGTGCTGTTCGAGTGGAAGTCGCTGGACCACGTCGACCCGTCCGACGCCTACACCTGGCCCAGCCACACGGACACCTCAGGCACCGGGCTGGACCCGCGCTCGCCGTGGGATTACTTCCACATCAACTCCATCGACAAGAACGCCGACGGCGATTACCTAATCTCCTCGCGCCACACGTGCGCGATCTACAAGATCTCCGGCCAGGACGGTTCCGTCATCTGGCGGCTGAACGGCGCCCATCCGTCCTTCAGGAACATCAACTTCAGCTTCTCCCAGCAGCACGACGCCCGCTGGCTGAGCGAGAATGGCACCCACACCCTGCTGTCGCTCTACAACAACGGCTTCAACGGCTTCAACCGCACCCATGAGTACTCGTCCGGCATGCTCATCCTCATCGACCACCAGGACAGCACCGCCACCCAGCTGCACGACTACGTGCCGCCGGGCAAGAACATGATCAGCTCCAGCCAGGGCAACATGCAGGTCCTGGGCAACAGCAACGTGTTTATCGGCTGGGGGAACAACGCCTACGTGTCGGAGCACGACGCCGAGGGCAACCTGCTGCTCTGGGGCTACATCGACAAGGGCTCGATCATGAACTACCGGGCGCAGAAGTTCCAGTGGGAGGGCAACCCGACGGACGTGCCGGCGCTGTGGACGTACTCGCAGTCGAGCGACACCTTCTCCTCGACCGCGTTCTACGTGAGCTGGAACGGCGCCACGCGGGTCAAGTACTGGCGATTCTACGGCGCCACCAACTCCACCGGCCCATATCAGCTCATCCGGCAGGTCGAGAAGAAGGGCTTCGAGACAAGCTACGCGGCCCCGCACTTCTACCGGTGGACCTACGCCGAAGCCGTGGACGTGGAGGGCAAGGTGCTGGGCAAGTCGCGGAACATGTACACCTTCACCCCGTCGAGCGAGCTGCAGGGTTTCTGCGCGAAGGAGTCCTGCGAGAACGCCCAGTTTTACGGCGTGCCCGGCGACCAGGGCGCCGGACCGGAGATCCCCCCGGCGGGCATCAACACGGTGCCCTGGGTTGACCCGGGGCACCCGGAGGCGCATTTCGACTGGGGAAAGACCGGAGACGCGGAGGGGGGGAGCGGATCCGACGCTCTGACGTCGTACGGTAAGCCATCCATCCCATGATTCAATACCCACTGCCATGGCGATGAGTGTGATTCAGTGGTAGATAAGAGCCCTGCTGACCCTGCCCCTCTAGATACCACGGTGGGCTGGATCGCCCCAGTGTTCGGGTTTAGCGTGGCCGTTGGGGCCATCTACGCGGTGCTTCGGGTGTACCGGCGCCGGCAGCAGCAATTTAGCCGGGTCAAGGAGAGGGGTTCAGAAGATAGCCTGGACCGGATGGAGCGGTCCAAGCCATCGCAGGATTCGGACGAGGCGCCGTGGTGGCACTGGCGACCCTGGCGGACGAGTCAGGAACCCCCGCGATACTTTCCCTTGGCCGAACACCATCGGACTCCGTCCTGGCGAGAAAACGGGCAATTTGTCCGATAGATAGCATGTATGCATATTTTAGGGGTTTATACATTTTTTTTTTTTTTACTTTCATGATGGGGTTGCTGCCTTTGGTGTGGTATGGTTTGTCTTTATATTATTATGATGATTATGATGATTATTACTATTATTATTAATCTGTGGTGATAGGGAATGCGACGAGAACGGAGGAAGATACCAGATCCGCTATGGAATGAGAGTGAGATCCGAGCATGCTGATGCCTGAGGTAGTTATGTGCTTGACCATTGTCCTCCGTACCATGCATGCTGAGGACATGGCGCGATTAATGTACTTTATCGTTACTCTGGCAGCATGGCTTGGTGGAAGTGACTTCCACCTAGCACAGCAGCCACAGGATGCCTCCAGAGCACAGGTTCTTCTTGTATACGCTAGCCAGACGGAGTACAGTACCCATCCCGCGCATAACCATTAATCAACCAGGCATAAAAGCATGAGAAGTAAATGTGAATGTGAACGTGAATTTAAAAAAAAATAATTGAAACCTTCAAGAAATAAAACGATCGAGACAGACCAGATCAGGACCCTGAGGCGAAAAGCCAACTGCCATCTAAGTACTTACTGAAATGAGGGTGCTGAGGATTGAGATTGAGATAGAGAAAGAGGTTTAGTTCCCGACACTACTAATTGATGGTCGGACTTGGGCATTCCCGATTACGAGGGCCCGTCAGCAGCTGACGACAGAATACGCGAGAGGCAGACGCAGAGGCAGACGCAGAGGCAAGACGCCACTCTGACTCGTGCGCCGAGTGCTCCGTGGCGGCGGACAGCCACGCACTTGTTGCTAGTAAGAGGCCCTAATGCAGCCTAGCAGTATTCAAGTATCTTCTACTGTTAGCAGTACCTTAGTAGGAGACTAACCGGTCGGAGTCTGAGTTACGTGGTCCTTCCCAACAATTGCCCTGGCTGCCAAGAAGGGCTTCATGTTTCAAGGCCTCTCTCTCTCTCTCTGGCAGTCTGGCTGAGACGCTGGTGAGGCTGGCGGTACCGGAGAACGCGGTCGCGCTGCCAAGACGCACAATTGCTCGGGCGAGCAGAAGAACGGATGTGGCCGGCAAGGCGGTGGAGTCGAGCGTCGCAAGCTCGCTTGCCAGGTATCGGGTCATACGCGGGTACCGTACGCAATACCACGGGCGGCGATCAGGTACAGTACAGGGTTACCTGGTTACATACACTTGCACCAGATTGAGAAGGAACTCCTGATGGATGTCGTCCTCAGGCGTTGATCTTCTTCTTGTTCATCTTGATCAATTGTCAGTCTGTCACTCCTTCTTCATCTTCGCTTCCCGTCACTCACTCACTCACTCACTCACTCTTTTCCCCTCCCCTCTTCTTCCAGTCGCTCCTTCTGCGCGATTTTTCTGCTGTCCTGCTGTACGAACCGACTACCCTCCGATTCGGCCCCTCTTGACGTCGTCACCGATCTCCTCCCTCCGCTGGCGCCCTATCACAGCACGCACCAGTCCAACCCTCCGCCCTCGATGCCTGCACCAAAACCCGGTTCATCCCAAGGAACCCGACGGCGTCCGTCACTATCGCTGTCCACCACCGCCCCTTCCTCCGCCCTCTCAACTCCCCAGGCCACCCCCAACCCTCTCTCCGCCACCTCGGCCTCTTTCGCCCTGTCCAAGTCGCGGAATGCGAGTCGTCACACCCGCAACATCTCTTGGGCTTCCGGTCACGACCAAGGCGAACCCTCTCCCGCCGACTTCTCCTCCTCCTCCCACCAGCGCCGCCGCAGGGAGTCCACCATCTCGCTAGCTGACGTCTCCGAGGGCTCCTCCGGCCACCACAACGACGACGACCTCGACCCCGACGCCGACCCCGACGCCGCCGCCGCCGGCATGGCCGCCAGAAACACCTCCTTCGACTGGGGGCCTGGCCACGCCCGCAGTCGCTCCCACTCCTACACCCAGCCGCAGATGTCCCTGCTTCAACCCCAGGAAATGGCCTCGGCGCCTCCCCCGCGCCCGGCGCCCGTCACATGGATGTCCCTCCCGCAGAAGAAGCAGCTGGCCCTGCTGGGGCTCTGTCGGGTCTTCGACTTCCTCCAGATCGCCTCGCTGCAGGCCTACATGTTCTACCAGTTGAAGTCCTTCGATGAGAACCTCTCCGACGCCGACGTCTCCACCCAGGCCGGCATCCTCCAGGGCGCCTTCACCGCGGCGCAGTTTGCGACCGCCATCCCGTGGGGCCGTGTCGCTGATGCGGAATGGGGTGGTCGCAAGTTCGTGCTGCTCGTGGGTCTGCTGGGAACCGCCCTGTCCTGTCTGGGCGTCGCCTTTTCGACCTCGTTTGCGCAGGCCGTGTTCTGGCGCTCGTTCGGCGGTGCCATCAACGGGACGGTGGGCATCATCCGGACGATGATCGCCGAAAATGTCAAGGAGAAGAAATACCACTCCCGCGCCTTTTTGATCCTGCCCATCGGATTCAACATTGCGGCGCTGTTTGGACCAGGTGAGTACGCTGTCTGCGCGGGTGTGTGCCGGGCTAATCGTTGCAGTGATGGGCGGTATGCTGTCGGACCCGGTCAAGGCGTATCCCCGTCTGTTCGGACCGGACTCGTCTTTCGGCGGCGCGAACGGGGTGGAGTGGCTCATCCGCTATCCCTACGCGCTGCCCATGCTGGCGAACACGATTTTCCTGTCTTTTGCGGCGGTCTGCGTCGCCGTCGGTCTTGAGGAGGTACGTAACATGTCTGCGCGGTTGGTACGTGCGCTAACGGTCATAGACTTTGGAAGCTTGCAAGGGCAAGCCCGGTCTGGGCGTCTTCTCGATGCGCATCTTCGCGCGCGGCCTCAGGGCGGTGGTTCCCTCGTCCTCTCCGCTGTACCACCGTCTGCCGTTCGCCGACTACGACGAGGAGGGTCCTCTGCTCAACCGCAGAGACCGGGTCGAAAGCTACGAGATGGAGGAGAAGGCGACCAAGTCGAACCGCCAGTCTCGCACCTTGTCCTTCCGGCGGATCTGGACCAAGAACGTGCTGTGCACGCTGCTGGCGCAGGCGTTCTTCGACTTCCAGATGGGGTAAGTGTCTTATCTTTTCTAGCTATCTTTTCTTCCGGGTGAGCCGTGCTGACTGTTGTAGGGCCTTCAACAACCTTTGGCTGCTTTTCCTGTCTACGCCGCGCTATGACGCCAACGACCCGGCTAGCCCGCCCCAGAAGCTGCCGTTCATCTTCACGGGCGGGCTGGGGATGCTGCCGCAGAGTGTTGGCTTTGCGACGGCGATTCTCGGCGTGATCGGCATGCTCCTGCAGTTTACCATCTACCCCAGCATCAACGGGCGTCTGGGCACGGCCAAGAGCTACCAGTACTTCCTGACGCTGTTCCCGCTGGCGTACGCGTTCGCGCCGTACATCGCGCTGGCGCCGTCGTCAGCACCCCCGCCGGGGCAGGCCAACGGCAGCTGGGTGTGGTTCTCGATCATCGTGGTGCTGTTCCTGCAGGTGACGGCGCGGACGTTCACGCTGCCGACGTCGATCATCCTGCTGAACAACTGCTCGCCGCACCCGTCGGTGCTGGGCACGATCCACGGCATCGGGCAGTCGGTGTCGTCGGCGTTCCGGACGATCGGGCCGATCTTCTCGGGGTCGTGGTACGGGTACGGGCTGGAGGTGGGGATGGTCGGGTTCGCGTGGTGGCTGATCGCGCTGGTGTCGGTGTTTGGCTGCGTGGCGGCGATCTTTGTGTACGAGGGGTCGGGGCACGAGGTGTTCCTGCCGGGGGAGGAAGAGGAGTACCGCGACTGATGGGTCGGTCTGATGTTTGAAACTCACTGCTTGCGTTTGGCGTTGTTTATTTGTACTGTATATATATAATGGACCCATGCATAGCGGGGTTGCTTGGTTGCAGGTGGGCGATACCTGCTTTATGCTGGATGACAATAGAATAGAGCTGTGGTTTGCTTCATTACTATGCTGACAGGGTATGCGAAGATTCATACTCGTACTGTATTAATATGCTAACATAAATATACAAGTATTAATAAGCTAACGGGAATATGCTACCATGGATATGCTAATATGAATATGCCAACATGAATATACCAACAAGAATATGCTAACATGAATATGCAAATACTAATATGCGAACAGTACATGGTAAACATAGCCCTGGTAGACATCAAACGTACTAAAATGCTGTAGAATAAATAAACAAACACATGTCCTCTCCAGAATGCCCTGCGAGAGACCCTAGTACATACCTACGCAAATCCTGTGGATACTAACATACACACACACATAGACATCTCCAGACACCCTCCCTCACTCACTCACTCACTCACTCACTCACTTACTCACTCACTCACTCACTCACTTACTCACTCACTTACTCACTCACTCACTTACTCACTCACTTACTCACTCACTCACTTACTCACTCACTCACTCACCTACTACCTGGTATATGAATATGTAATATGTAATATGAATATGGATATGGATATGAATATGGATATGGATATGGATATGGATATGAATGTGGATATGAATATGAATATGAATATGAATATGGATATGGAATAAGGGAATCACCTCCTCAACGCAGCAAACCGTCTCGTCAACTCATCCAACTCGGGTATCTCGCTCTTTCCACCCCTTCCGGTCCCCTTATCCACATCTGCATCTGCATCTGCATCCGTATCCCGCGGCAGATCCCCCCCGGAGACCTTCACCCGCGGATGCAAGTTATCCGTCCTGGGCCCCGGCGGCGCCACGCTGACGGGACTCTTGCCCGCGTCGAATAATCCACGGGGCGGTGTCGCTTTGTGTAGCTCGAGGGTCTCGGATGCGCGACGGGCCTCGGTTTCATCTGCCGCCGTAGCAGTAGCAGGCGATCCCGTCCTCGTCCTCGTCGGGGTAACCGGGACCGGTACATCCCCAGATCCATCCCCATCGACATCTCCCGACCCAACATTCCCCTCCCCGAAACCCCAGCGCCTATCTCCACCCCGAGGCCAAGCAGCAACACCATACGCCCTCGCAATCTCCGCCAAATAACTCTCGACCAACTCTGTCGTGGGCGGCCGCACACGCAGCCCCTTGACCAACCGCTCCGGCACCCGCACATCAACCAGCTTATTGTCCTGCGCGAGCAGCATGAACTCTTTCCCCCAGCGGTCGGTGAGCAGGCCGCGCAGGATGGTGAGCTCGCGCACGTCATGCGGGAAGCGCGTGTAGGCGTAGAAGATCACCGCGGCGGCTTCGTCCAGGGCGGGGTCGATGTAGCCGGAGCTTTCTGCTGCTGGGTCTTTTTCGGGGGGTGGGGAGGTGAGTTGCTGTGATTGTGATTGTGTTGATTGAGGAGGGGTAGATCTCCCAAACCCCCAAAATGAGAATCCCCCTCCTCCCCCATCTTTCCCCCCCCGTCTTTCCCCAAAGAATTCACCAGCAAATACTCCCTCTTCACCTTTCCTCTCGCCCTGTTCCCCCCTTCCCCAAACGCCACCTGATCAATCACATTCGCCCTCGCCAGCAATAGCTCGCAATATAGCTCGACCATCTCCATCACCTCGACCGCGATGTCCGTGGCGATGACATTCTCCACGCGGATGCGCGCGCTGTTGTCGCGTCCTTCGGCCAGCAGCGTCGAGAGGTCCCGGCGTTGGATCACCGAGCTCGCGGTGTCTTTTTTTTGGAGCAGGCGGAGACGCGGGATTAGGAGGTGGAGCGTGGATGTGAGTTTTGTCTGGTTACGGAGAGTGGTGGGGTGGTTTGGTTGTTAGTGGGATGATTTGGTTGTTAGTGGGGGATGGATGGTGCCTTTGGGGGGATGCGGGGAGTGAGAGGGGAGTGAGATGGGATGAGAGGGGAGGGAAGGGGATGAGAGGGGATGACAGGGGAGAGGAGGCGAGGGTAGGTAGATACGTATGGAGGACTGGAGGACTGACTGTTTGTGGTGACGGAGGCATGGTGGTTTGTCTTGTAGATAGATGGTGTGGTGTGGTTGACACTGGGTTGGTGTGGTGGAGAGGAAGTGGGATGACGCTATCTGCTTGGCGGGTGCGGGTGCGGGTAGAAGTGGCTGCTGCCTGTCACTGTCCTGTCTTTATAAGAAAGGTCCAGGAGAAACAGTATTATTAGTGATTGATTCAACGAGGGTTACACTAATCTTTACCAATTTAACTACACATCAAAATACCCTCCTCAACAAGCTAATATCCGAGTCCATTCATCAATCATTAAGGTAAGACCAGTCTATAATACACACACACACACACACACACACACACAGCCAATCCCTACCTTCCCCCCCATCCTCACTCACACTCACACATAATTATATCGAAACGTCCTCTGCACCTCCTCCAACCGTCTCAACCCTCCCGAAACCCTGCCCAACGCATCCGTCAAAAACGCCCCCTGGTCGCCCCCGGCCTCGGCGCCTCCCAGCTCGTCCACCCGCGGGACATCGCGCGCTGAAACGTCGTCTCGGGATGCGTATCCGGACCCAACGGCGCGACCTCGACGAGGGCCTCTGGCCCCAGCGTCAGCAGATAATTAATCCACTCGTGCAGCACAATCATGCCCTGGTTGCGCTCCGGGGCGACGCCCGCGTTCTGAAACACGCCGAACCGCCGCGCGCGCTCGGTCTCGCCGCGCAGAAACCCCAGCATGTATTTCAGACACGTCCAGATCTCGTCCATGTCTTGCATGTCGGTGACGGAGAGCCCGCCAGGGTTGCCTTCGCCAAACCCAGGCGGTGGGTCGAACATGATGCTGGCGACGTCTTTCGGGTCCGGGCACGGTTGGAAGGGGGACCCGATTTCGCCCCGCAGCCAGCTGACTTGTCCGTCCATGTCGGTTTCGCGCCCCGTCTGCATGCCGAAGAGGTAGCAGAAGGTCCAGATCCGCCAGATCGCGTCGTCGAGCCGGCGCGCGTCGGGGCTGGAGGGCCGCGATAGGGCTGTGTAGGAGCTGGTTCGCATGACCGGGCGGCAGTGGGTCAGCATGAGGCCTTTGAGGGCGGCCAGGGCCCGGAGGTCGCGCGTCACTGCGCGGTAGTAGAGCGTGGCCGAGGGCATGTCCTGGTCCGATTGCTGGTTGATGTCGCTCATCTGACGGAGTTCCCAGGCCGCTGGGGAGCCGCGTCGAATGGCGTTCTCCATGAGGGGGAGCTCGTGGCGCTTGAAGACGTGGTAGGTGGCTTTGCTGGTCTGCGCGAACGAGAAGAGGTCGTCGATGTCGTCGATCTGCAGGAGAATGTGGAGGACCATGTCTTCGCGGCCGGGCTGCGAGAGGCTCCATCGGTTGGAGGTCATCCGCTGGAGGTCGTCGTCTAATTCGGCCATCACCATGGCGAAGGGCGGAACGGAGTCTCGAGGTTCTGGCATACTAGGGGATATGGGTGTTGTATCGGAGAAGTAGCGTACGGACGGCGCGCCGACGGTGTTGGCTTCGTCATCGTCGTAGCCAACGTATGTCCAGCTGTCTTCGTTGTCGTCGTTGGAAGGAGGCTCGAATGATCGAGGTTCGTCGAATAAGCTTCCGACCGGCAGAGGGGAGTAGGAGCGTGGGGGTTCGGAGGGGAGGGAGGCGTGCGAGGCTGGGGGAGAGACGATAGGAGGCTCGGTGTCGACTCCAAGAAGAGGCTCGTTCTGTACCCTCGTGAAGAGAGACCGGAGGAACTGCTGGTTCGCCTCTGCCTGCAGGATCGCGTCCATGGAATAGCCATCCTCCAGTAAACTGGCCAAGACATTTTTCATCCGCTTGATCGCGTCTTCATAGCGGCCTTCGTCTTCCTTCTCCTCGGGGAATTGGAAGCTTTCTGCCGGCGGGGGCTGCATCGGCGGGATTGTCGACATGCGCACGATGATCGATGCCCTCCGAGCGTTCTTGTGCTTGGACTTGCCCGACTTGCTGGCCTTGACGGAGCCGTCGTGCGAGGCAGCTTTCCGGGTCAGCACGCGTCGCACCCCGGCCTTCAGTGACCGCCACAGGGGCTTCTCGTCGCCGTCCTGCTTTAGCTCTTGGTGCGATGTTTTCTTGGCTGGTTGCTTCTGATACCCCAGGTCTGTCTGGCTGGGCACTTTCATACTATTGGCAGGGCTGTTATTTCTCGGAAGGGGAGGCAGGTTTTCGGTCCGGAGACCTAGAGGCTTCAGCCAGTGAGGTATCCTATCGGGACTTCGGTCAGGTTCGAAAAAGCTGTATTCCTGCGCTTCAGGCACGGTGTACTCGTGTCTGAGGTTCGTGGCTCCTTTCCCTTCTGGGATTACGATGGTGGGTCGGGGAGTTGTAGGTCTGGGCGCTGAAGAGCGCGGTGTCGACGGCCGGGGGTCAATGGCCGGGGAGTTGTAGGTCGGGATGACATGTGAGGGGGCGTCATGGGTCGGGGTATCGCAGCAAAGGGGGTGGGAGGAAACGGTGATGTAGGCCGGGAGGCTGACACGGGTGTCGTAGGCCGGGGACTGCCGCAAAAGGGGCATGAGGAAGAGGCGTTGTAGGGCGGGAGGCAGACACAGGCGTCATCGGCCGCGGTGTTGTAGGCCGCAGGGCCAGAGGCTGAGGCGCATAGCCTGGCGGGGACTCTCGTCTGACGGAGCTTTGCCCGCCACTGGTCCTCCCAAAAGGCCGGGACGAGTCTTTGTCACCCAGGCCCGGGACCGGAGGCAAAGGCTTGTTGAACGACAGCGAGCTGCCGTGCGAGATGTAGGAGGGACTGGGACTGGGGGGGCCGCGATCGTCCGAACTGGGCTTCTGTACGTTCAGATGCGGCACGGCCAGTCTGTCCGCGGAGTCCCATCTCGTCTCCAGCCCGGCGAGAAGCAGCCTCTCGTCGATGTCCTGGGGCGGCATCTTGTTCATGTGTCGGTAGGCGCGGTCGTCCATGTGGTCTTCGAGGATATCGTTGGGGAGGAAGTAGAGCGTGGACCGTGATGAGAGACTGTCGACCGATTGCAAGCCTTGGGGGTTGCTGAACGGCGCATGCGGAGGGGTGATGGGAGACAGGGAGCGGACGGGTGCGTAGGGACCCAGTTTGTAGTCGGACATGGTATGCAGGGCGATCATGGAGAGACACCAGCGGAGGACCAGCAAGTCCAGAACCACCGCCTATAAGGCCCCGGGGGATCGGAAAAGGGTGATATAAGTCGCATCGCTCGGATGACACGCCCCTCGGACCCGGATCCGCGTGATACGCAATCCGCTCAGGGCTTCCATCCACGCCAGGGCATGGCTGTTGGGTCCGTAATGTTTTGGTTTTAGTCACAGGGCCCACGCGAAACACCAGGCATGCACGCCCAGAGGCTAGTCCCTGGCTGTGAACAGGTGCCTGGCATCGAGCGACGCGACGAGTCGAGCCGGCCAATGGCAGGGACGGGACACAGACAAGCACAGCATTTGTGCTGCTGACGGATCAGCTAGCAGGGACGGGGGCAGTGTTTGGAGCATCGGGGTGGGAGCTGAAGCTCCAACGTGGGCTCGAGGAAACTAGTCGCGATGGCGTTGGGGCCAAATCGCGTCAGAGTCTGTGAGAGAGCGGCGATGAGACTGCGAGTGTTAGTCGGACGAGACACCTCCAACAGATGATGTAAAACGCGAGTGACTTACCGCAGACATGAAGGCTAGAGAAAAGGGGGGGGAAGAAGACAAGACGGAAGAAGCAAAAGAAGCAGAAGAAGAAAAGGCGGAGCGGAGACCAGGCGACAAGGCGACAAGGCGACAAGACGAGGCTGCCCATTGATGAGAATTCCGCCCCCAGAGACGATCCGACCTCATTTCCGTCCCAACCGCTCTAGAAAGCACACTCGACCTTCGACGCAGTATCCAGCCATGCCATGTGGCAATGCCCGGCGACTCTGACATCAGAGGTCTCGTCCAGGGGAACCGTCCGAATGGGGCGAAAAGCGCCCGCCCGAATGGGTTGTGATTTGTGAAATAGGGCCTGCTCCCCTTGCCAAGAGAGAGTGCAGTTCGTATGGGAGTTGGATTCCTGACGTTCAGGACTCACAAGTGGCAGCTCGAGATTAATCCAATCCACTCCGCTCACTGCCCGACCAGACGATGACAATGACATACCACAGCCCCAAACCCCGAGTCCTCGACTGAGATATGTATGTCTCACCGAAGAGCAAATTTCCTTCCCCTTCCATTCAGCTCGCAAGGCTACCTCCCTATGGAAGAATAATCGAAGGAGTGGATAGAGACAAAGCCACATGGCCATGGTCTGCCTTAACCTTCGCAAGCAGTCCACCCAGTCCCAGTCCCAGTCAGTCACAGTCCATGCTCGAACATGATCGGCAGTCCCCCTCCCCGAGCTGGCCAAAACGGCCCCAATTGTTCGATCATCGAGTGCGCCTTGTTTGTAATCCGGCGTCAGGAATCGGAATCCAGAGTTATTGATGTCCCCCTCCCCCTCCCCCTCCCTGTTATCTCTAGCATGGCACACCTTTTCGTTTTCCAGGGTCGGCCCGGTCTAGATTTATCAGCAGACTCGAATTTCGATTATGAAACGTGGTTTGCAGTGGGGGATGCGCAGTGCAGTCAGCCGATCTGGTATGGTGGCAGGCATTCTTATCTGCTGTCAGAGTTGGGGGCTTCGTGTCTCAAGAGGGGGGAACTGTATAACTCGATTGTGATTCACAGGGCAGGGGGGGATGAGTAAATGGGATTGGGTAAGAGGAGGGGGGCTGCTGTATAACCTGATTATGGTCCACACAATGAGAATGGACGATACTAAATAGTATATCCCTGTTTGAGGCCTGGTTGCTGAGAATAAGGATAAGGGGGTAAATATGTTGGATTGGACCACCATGAGCATCTTGCTATGAAGTCAGCTGCATCATGGTGTTGATCCAGGTTCGATAGCCGAAAGAACCAATGGAACGGACGTCTATCGCATGTCGAAACGGAGGCTGATGCGACGTGAAGAGCCAACAGTAGCAATGGGAGAAGGGAGTGTCATGATTGGATGCGACGCATCCTGGTATATACTAAGCGTCCTGGGACAGATTACGTGCATGTCTGGTGTTGAGATGCACATTAACTGAGGGGTTGTACCTGGGCCTATCTCTAATATCGGTGTCGCATTGAGTAGGTCTGTGTGACTGTGTTGTTTAGTAGTAACCACTTTTTCCAATAAGTGCCAGACACAGTAATAATGTAAGTCACCTTGTGCAGGGTTTGACATAATCACCTATCACTTCCCTGCTCTCGACATTCCATGCACCCCCAGATAAATGACAGGATCGATCCTATAGCACATCCAAGGATGTAACATCGACGGATCCCTAGATCTCCGCCCCAAAAAGTACTCGCAGGACGACGCCCCCACCCACCACCACCGCGAGAAGCGAAGACAGGGACAATCCCAGCGCCTGAAGAACACCCAACACCCCGGACCAGTTGTACACCACCAGCGCCCGCATGATCGGATACCACCACAAGGGATACGTCGCACCCATCCAGCAAAACACCCAGACGAAGCCCACGCACCGCTGCCAGATGGGCGTCTCCATCTCCATCTCAATCACCCCCCGTCGTCGCTGCAAGACCGTCCAGCAGTGTTGCACGGTGTCCTCGAGGATAATGGCGCCCGCCTGTGCGAGGAAAAAGAGCAGGGTGCCGGGATTTCCATTTGTGATACCGCTGGTGACGTTGGCGGTTACGTGCATTGTCCCGGAAAGGAGGAATACGATGGTCAGGTTGAGATAGCGCTCGGGCAGGGAGGGCTTGGGGAGGCGGAGGACGCGGGTGGTGATTGCCGTTGACATGCTGGTGAAAGGCCATCGGAGGTACTGGTGCCAGGACTTGCTGATGTTGGATGCGAATGTCAGTGTGTGGGTTTCAGGAAGGATGTTGGAAAGCTGGAAATGGAAGAACTCACCCCCAGAATCCACGAACGGTATACGCGTCCCCGAGGCTCCCGAAGAGCGGAGGCCACGAAGCAGGGCTTGACCAGCCAACTGCCGCGCAAAGAGCAGAGCATATCCGGTACTGGGAGTCCAGGAAGAGCATCGATATGGGGAGACCAATCGTCCAAGTCACTCTGACCCGAGCCAGCAGCTGCGCGACGCTGGGGTTGGCGTAGGAGAATTCTCGTCCCGAGCGGTAGAGGTACGACCCGTCCGAATCCCACAGATTGTGCGTGATGAAGAGGGAGAATACGAGGGCCATGAGAGCTCCCTGCCACGCAGCAATGGCCATCTGCCTACGCAGGAATTGGCCGCGTTTGGGAGGCAGCGCGCGAAACACGGCGGGGAAGTCGGGGACATTCTTGGCCTGCCAATCGGTCCCGATGCCACGGGGACTCGGGAGGATGGTGAGTGCGGATGCCAGTCTGTCTCTTGTGTTCTGCTGCGCGGTCAGGTCGACGGCCGTGATCAGGAGAAGGTTGGTCTGGTGCATGAGCATGGTGAAGGGCCAGCCGTTGGTCGCGACTTGGACGAAGATGTTCTGGTCAGCGACACTGACGAGGGCGGATTCAAGGTAGGCCATGCATGTCATTAATGGCAGATATATGGATCGCAGACTGGAGCTTTTGGGGGTGAGGACGAGCAGGGTGAGGGTGGTGAGAAACTGGAAGAGAAGGATGGTATAGCACAGGAGGTTGGGGAAGACGGCCATCTGGCTGGTAGTTGGCTGTGGGGTGGTGCTGGATCCAGTACTTCCTCTTTACCTCTGGATTGTGGAGAAGGACGAAGGCCGGAGAGGGTGATATACGCTGGATTGGACGGTGTTATATTTTGCTCATGGCTCCATTGCTGGCTTGGCTGTGCGACAACCCGCAGGTAGACAGGATCATGCCTACAGCTATGATTTCTATTTTGCCCCTGAAGGAACATGTAAGGCAGTGTGATGTAACGCCGATGGGAGGTTGTGTTGCCATGAAGCCTCAAGATACGACCTGGAAACCGAAGCGGTGAGCACGCTGCTGAGCCTGAGATGAAAGATTTCGCTCATCTTTGCTATACAGTGACTGACTGATGTGTTTTCCAATTCCAACACAGCAGCGACACGAGCCCCCGTTGAAAGTGGTAGAACCATCAGACCAAATCCCGAACGGCAATATCAAGCGTCAGGATCAAGCATGCCTGGCTCGGGCTATCTTCTCCCCGGACCTTGCTCGGATCCCTCGGCCCATCTCCCCCCGAGCCCTGCCTCGCCAGCAACTGACCCGGCGACCATCCCGCCCTTTCCCCCGCATCCTCCCTCCGCCAGCAACCCACGGTTTTCCCCCATCCAGGCAGGTGGTGGCGCGGGCAAATCGCCGGTACAGCAAAGCCTTTCCAGGAGGACCCCCAAGGGGTGGCACTCGGGTAGACTTTCGGGTGAACACTACGATGAAGTATATATGTCATAGCGTAGAGGGAAGATATCTACCAGAAGCAAGATGACTACAAAAAGGAAGATGGGACGGATAATTATCTCATCGTAAATTCGTATCCTGATTGTTTTACATGAACCAGTCATGGCCACTAGGAAAAAGCTATTACCAAACGCAACTCGTCACCGGAGCGAGCTGCCATTCGCCCCTGACGTCAGATCAACTTAGAAGGGCGAGTCGCCCAGGAAGTAGTGCACCGCCTTGGTCTGGGTGTAGTTCTCCAGAGCGTACGAGCCCAGCTCGCGGCCGATACCGGACTCCTTGAACCCACCGAAGGGCACCTGGTAGGACAGCATGTTGTAGCTGTTGACCCAGACGGTTCTGTGGCATATTAGCAGACGTTGAGATATGGCCCAGGGGCAGGCAGGACTTACCCGGCGCGCAGGGCGTTGGACACGCGGATGGCGGTGTTGACATCCTTGGTGTGGATACCGGCAGCGAGACCTGGAGACATCAGCAAATGACGATGGGCCTGGAATATTGAAAACATACCGTAGGCGGTGCTGTTGCCAATCTTGATGGCGTCCTCAACATCCTTGAACTTCTGTACGGTGACGACGGGGCCGAAGATCTCCTCCTGGTTGATCTTCATTTCCGTAGTGACATCGGTGAACACGGTGGGCTGGATGAAGTAGCCCTCCGTGCCGTGACGCTCGCCACCGACGGCAACGGTAGCGCCACCCTTCTTGCCGTGGTCGATGTACTCCATGATCCGGTCGAACTGCAGCTGGGAGACCTGGGGACCCTGGAAGGTCTCGTGGTGGAAGGGGTCGCCGACCTTGTTCTGGGTGGCACGCTCCTTCAGGCGGGCAACAACCTTGTCGTAGATGCCCTCCTGGACCAGGATGCGAGAGCCGGCGCAGCAGCACTGGCCGTGGTTGTAGAAGATACCGAAATTGGCCCACGAGATGGCGTTGTCGATGTCGGCATCATCGAAGATGATGTTGGGAGACTTGCCACCCAGCTCGAGAGTCACCTTCTTGAGGTTGCTCTTGGCAGCAGCCTGGAGGATGGTGCGACCGACCAGAGTAGATCCAGTGAAGGCGACCTTGTCGATGTCCATGTGGTTGGAGATGGCAGCACCGGCCACACGGCCGAAGCCGGAGATGATGTTGACGACACCGGGAGGGAAACCGGCCTCCTTGACCAGCTTGGCGGCATACAGCGCGGACAGAGGAGTCTGCTCAGCGGACTTCAGCAGGACGGTGTTACCGGTGGCGACGGCAGGGCCGATCTTCCAGGACCACATCAGGATGGGGAAGTTCCAGGGGATGATCTGACCGCAGACACCGATGGGCTCGTGGCGAGTGTAGTTCAAGGTCTGGGGGTTCTGGTCGATCGTCTGACCGTGGATCTTGTCGGCCCAGCCACCATAGTAGCGCAGGCAGCCGGCGGCGTTGGTGACATCGCCCTTGGCCATGCTCAGGGACTTACCGTTGTCCAGAGACTCAATGGCGGCCAGGATGTCAATATCGCGCTCGAAGAGTTCGGCCAGCTTGAGCAGCATGCGGCCACGCTTGGTGGGCGTCACCAGGCGCCACTCGCCCTCAAAGGCCTTGCGAGCAGCGGCGACGGCAAGGTCGACATCCTTCTCGGAGGCTTCGTGGACAGCGACGATGGGCTTCTCGGTGGTGGGGTTGATGGTCTCGAAGGTCTTGCCTTCGGAGCCCTTCACGAACTCATTGTTGATGAACCTGCGGGGGGAGGGCGGTTAGTTACGGCCACCAAAAAAAGTAGAGAAGTTGGGGGGGAGGAGAGGAGGGAAGGATATGGAGACATACAAGCCAAGAGGCTGCTCATATTTAATGTTGTTGGGGGTCTCGATGGTGGTGAAAAGGCCAGCCATGATGAAAGATGGATGTGTGAATGGGGAGTGAGGAGGAAGAAGAGGGGAAGGGAAAAAAAAGAGGGAGCTCCGATACTAATAAAGGCCAGGTGAAGAAGGGGGGGAAGGAAGCGGGAGGGGAAGCTGGCGAGTCGGGGTGGGGGGTGGAAATGGGGAACGGATGCAGACCTGAGACTACTGCTGTACTGGCAGTAGTAGTCGAATCCATGGGCAAGCATCACACTCGTCACTCGTTGACTTCCTGGCAATTACCTCACAGCTGGCCGCGGCTAGCCATCCTCGCCATCATACGCGCCTCCAATTGGGCATCCGCCACAGCGAACCTTGCCCGCCCACCACCCACATGCCTGCCCGTCCCCACCCCGCTGTTAAACCCGTCTCGATCGTGCGGGGTTGCCACGCTTGCCGGTCCTGGGTGCGCGCCCCCTTTGCCCGTCCACGGTTGGGATGAGGGAGGGAACAAGACAGGACGGAAAGAGGACGGAATGGAGGTGTGAGGTGTGAGGTGTAGATGCCGCTGGCCATTCCTTGGCCAACCTTCTCCGAGCGTTCTCGTATAAAGGCCTTAAACAGCATTGCTATTGCCGGAAATCATCCGCCTAGTCGTCGAAGGACTCCACCCGATCACTCTAGAACAGTACATTACTATCAGAACTAGTCATGCAGAATTTTAGTCAGCTCGGGGTTAACTAACTAAAGTAGTGGGTGGGTTAGGTGCTTACATCTTCCGCTCATTGCGCCGTCATTGGCCCTGGCATCAGCTGGCATGCACCTACCCAACCCAGTCAGTCTGAATCCGGAAGGTGATTGATTGTCCTTGGCACACCTATCTATAAACCGCCTCCGTCTCATTTGCAAGGGTGCCTTTCTCAGACTCTGAGACGACTCAGACGAGACGATCCACCGCGCCAAGTCACTAGTCGCTGCCGATGGCTTGACCCGCGATTACACCTTCGCCAGATCGCCTGCAGCCTACGAGGCCCGTCACCTCGGGGCTGGTGGAAGTCGTTGCCCTTCCCGGCAAGGGTCAAACATGGTGTCTTTGGTCCTTACTGCTCAGGAGTCAGGACGGAGACGATATGTAATGCCCAGAGAAATAAAGGACCTGTTAGTAATGGCTATCTCCAGCTCCGTCCCCCACTAGCCGATTCCGAGCCTAGCGGGGGGAATGACAGACTAGTGGCTGTGGCAGGATGGACCAGAGCTCCCCACTCAGCATGCGACAATTCGACACTTCCCCTCTGCAGCCTAAAGTCATCTGGACTTCGAATCCCGATCCAATCAAGTAACTACACTCCATGTCCTTGACTTATCTCCGGTCATCCAGCCGGGGGCTGCTACCTAGTACTTACTATCCACGGAGAATCTACTGTACGGTGCTGCTTACGCCACTCGTGGGGTAGGTAGCCATGCCCGATAAGCCACCACCCAAAGCTCGGGTTGATTCAGGCCGGAACAGGCATTACAATTCGCTCATCTCGCCGAACCCCCCGGTTCGAGCCATCTTCTACTCGGCGACTTACGGTGCTCCCTTCCAGACCGTGCTAGGACAGACCGATGCACCGAAATCCATGTGCCACATTCCCGTGGTTTGACTGAAAATTGGGCTGCAGATCGAGAGGTGTCTGACTTTCCCCGAGACCCCGGATTCTACGGAGTACTAGTGCTGGTGTTCACAAGGCTCGGACCAAGGTACGACGGAAACCGGAAATACGGAAGAAACCCCTTGCGGAATATACCGCGGATGTATCACCCAGAGATATATGATCTCGAAAACAGATCTTCCGATCAGTCGATCTATTGGTGCTTGAGAGGACTCATGGATGCAATGCCTGCATGGGCTGGATGCAAGACCATAGGAGACTCTACACAGCTCGGAAGGTTCCGTGAACTGCGGAATGTTGACTAGGGCTGGGGATTGTCATCTTTCCTGATATCGAGAATGTCTTTAGGGACGTTCATTTTTTTTTAATGATGATGACGACAGACTCCCCCGCCCGGGATGGTCTATCTAGACATGTCAGAGAGCGAGTTGGTGAAGCGGGGAGGACCCGAGAGCTAGATGCATTCATCCCACATATACAGCTTCATGTGCAGCTCAAGGGTGTCAGGTATGTGTTGTCGTGATGCAGCGATGCTCGGGAGGGCATCATCAATGCCGATCGGCGGGGTTGACAGCGTTCTGGCTACCCCTCCCTCGGTGCGATCACAACAGCTGCTTCATGCAGCAGCCGGACTGTGAACAGGCTGCTCGGCCTCACAGGGCCTTCAACTTTAGCAAAGGCGTCCTTCAAAAAGAATAGGAACAAAAGAGGCACAAAGAGGTACGACAGCAGATGGAGGTGGAGTTGGAGCTTTCTTCCGACGATCAGTGTCTGGTGAGTGGTGACTGATACGAGACCCTAGCTTCATGCAGCATGCATCCCTTCCTCCAACCGAATCCCGCCCATCTTGTCATGAACTAGCGGCACTTCTGGGGCTTGACTCACCCCAACATCAAGTCCAACCATGCCCAAGTTCTATCCATCGATCACTCCTGAGCTCCGGGACTGGACCCTCCGCCAGAGCGTCTTTTTCGTGGCCTCTGCGCCCTTGGAAGGACGACATGTCAATCTGTCGCCCAAAGGGCTCCCAGACTCATCGTTTGCTATCCTTGGTCCCAACGAGGCCGCTTATGTTGATGCCACCGGTTCGGGGAACGAGACCATCTGCCATATGCGCGAGAATGGCCGCATCACCGTTATGTTCTGTTCCTTTGATGCTTCTCCGGGCATCGTGCGCTTCTTCTGCAAGGGCTCCGTGATTGAGTGGAACGAGCCTGAATTTCCGAGCTACCTCAGGCGCATGGGAGGCAAGCATGTGGTGGGAGCGCGTGCGATCATCCGTTTGGATGTCTTCAAGGTTCTGGCCCTGACCCTCCCCCTGAACTTTCTCTGGTGCATTATGACTCATATATACGTTCTGTATTACACCGTCAACCATCACCAAGTGATTACTGCTAACATTGCAACGCATTCTTTACAGACCCAATTTTCCTGCGGCTATGGAGTCCCGCGATTGTCCCTGAAAGTCGACCCCGAGACCCACGAGACCAAGCCGTTTCTCAAGGACCGTGACACACTGGGGCACTGGGCAGGCAAGAAGGTTCAGTCGAACGACCTTCAGGCGTATCAGAAGCAGTGGAATGTACGTAGTCTGGATGGTCTGCCTGGGCTGCGCACCGCGTTGAAGGATGACCGTCAGTTCATCTGGCTGGGGCAGATGGGGAACTGGGTCCGTCGGCACCGGGACGAGATCGAGATGTTGAAGTCCTCCGTGTTGGTGCTGTTGATCGCGATGGCTATTCTGAATTGGGTAGGATATGTGTAGATAGGAGCCTCCGAAAGTCCATTCGGCCGCATGTGACTTGCCTGTTCCACTTCCTGACTTTCGGCCGTGCTTGTGGGATTATAATTATATTTTCTTGTTGATCTCGCTCCATTTCTGCACACTTCCCTTCCAATAGTTCGGGACTTGCTTTTCCCCTGGTATCGCAGCAGTGGCAGCAAACCCCGCACCGCCAATCGCCAACCAGCCGATGGCCTCGGCATCCAACTCGACGACAACCCCCCGGTATGTGTGACATCAGTGCCGACTCGGGGATTCCTGGTTCTGGAGGATGACTATCGGCGCATGATTTAAGCCCCCCATGTTCCAGCACTTCCAGCAGACGGCGTCTGTCCTCTTTCTCCAATCCACCTACTCCACAGCGCCACCCAGCGGTGGAGCTCCAGTCCATCCGCCATGAGCCCCCGTCCAATTCGCATCGCTGGTAGGTCACCCTCTACATTCTGAACTGTCCCCGGCAATACCTGCATACTGACAACGAGAAGGAGCGTCAGGATCCTCCGCCGACCGCCGCCATGCCATCGCCGAATTCGCGCGCAACCATCCCCGGGATCCGGTCGACGTCATCATCGCCGACTTCATGAGCGAGGCGAACATGGTCACGGCAGCTGCACGGAAAGTGGACCTGGATCAGCTAGGAGATGCACAAACGCCCCCTACTATTGCCCCCGGATACGAAGCCTCGTTCCTCTTGGCCCTGAGTCCGGCCCTTGAGGATCTGGCCAAGCATGGCATCAAACTGGCGGTCAACGCAGGCAACACCGACACAGAGGGCCTCTACAAAGTGGTGAAGCAGATGGTGGAGGCAAAGGGACTAAAGCTCAAGGTCAATTGCCCCCCCCCCCCCCCCGATACCATACCCAAATACTCACAGGACTCCAGGTAGCCTGGGTATCCGGAGATGAAGTCTTGTCGACCGTCAAAGCCGCCCTCTCGTCAGGAAAATCGCCCTTCACAAATATATACACCGGGGAGTCGCTTTCCAGCTGGTCATTCGACCCCATCTATGCCCAGTGCTACCTCGGTGGGCTCGGAATCGCCGCCGCCTTATCCCACGGGGCGGACATCGTTCTCTGCGGACGCGTATCCGATGCCTCACCGGTCATTGGAGCTGCATACTGGTTCCACGGCTGGAACCGCACCGACCTCGACCGGCTAGCCAATGCCTTCGTGGCTGGGCACCTCATCGAATGCAGCAGCTATGTCTGCGGGGGCAACTTCACCGGCTTCAAGACACTGGAGCATGGCGACCGCTGGACCAACATCGGCTTCCCCATCGCGGAGATCTCCCCCGAAGGTAAGGTGACCATCACCATGCAGGCGTCGGCCCCGGGGGGCACCGTCACGGTCGACACCTGCTCCTCGCAGCTCCTGTACGAGATCCAAGGTCCCTGGTACTTCAATTCCGACGTCACCGCCATCCTCAACGACATCCACTTCGAACAGGTCGGCACCAACCGCGTCGCCGTGCACGGCATCCGCTCTGGTCCTCCTCCCCCGACCACCAAAGTCGGCATCACCGCTCGCGGCGGCTTCCAGGCCGAAGCAACCTGGTACCTCGTCGGCCTCGACATCGCCGCCAAAGCCCGCATGCTCGAATCGCAGATCCGCCATCTGCTCGCCCCGCACGCCTCCCACTTCACCTCCCTCACCTTCTCGACCCTGGGCTCCGCCGCCGAAAACCCCAACGACCAAGACAGCGCCACCGTCCCCTTCCGCATCGTCGCCCAGGCCCGTACCGCCGAGGCCCTCGCCCCTAACCACTTCCTCCGTCTCATCACAGACAACATCATGCAGGGCTACCCCGGTGCCACCTTCCATATGGACCCTCGTCCGGGCTCCCCTCGTCCCGTCTACGAATACTACGTCTCCCTCCTGCCCCAATCCGATATCACCCACCTCGTCCACCTCCCCTGGCTCTCACAAACCCTCCACATCCCCCCTCCCCCAGTAACCAAGACCTACCCCTCCCAACCCACCACCACATCCTCATCCGCATCCCCATCCCCATCCCCATCCTCATCCCAAGATTCCTCTTACGGCCCCACCATCCCCGCCCCCCTCGGCTGGCTCACCCACGCCCGCAGCGGCGACAAAGGCCCCGACGCCAACTGCGGCTTCTGGGTCCGCCACCCCGACGAATACACCTGGCTAACATCCCTCCTCACCCTCCCCACCATCACCGCCCTCCTCGGCGAGAAATACTCGTCCAACCCGCACCTCGTCATCGAGCGCTTCGAGCTCCCGCGCATACGCGCCGTGCATTTCCTCTTCCGCAATCTGCTGGATCGCGGCGTCGGCGTTACCACCACCGTCGATTTTCTGGGAAAGAATGTCGCCGAGTTTTTGCGCGCCAGGGTCGTGGATGTCCCCGTGAGGTTTTTGGGGAGGGGGAGGTTGTAATTTTTCCTCTTTACTTCTCGTTCTCCTCATCCTCCTCCTCCTTCTTCTTTATTCTTTCATTTTATTTTATTTTATTTTATTTATTTTATTTTTTGTTTTGGGGGTTTTTGTGAGGTTTGGGGGTGGGTGGTTGGGGGGGGGGGGGGGTGTAGCAGGGAACCAGGGAAAAATATGATCCAGACATATCTAGTACAGTACGGTACGGAGTATAGTATGTAGATACTATATATCATATACTACCTACTTTACTACTTTAGCGTCTACTATTTCCCAACACCGACATCAGCATCGACATCAACACAGCATTGAAAGTAACTGAAACAAACACCAGCCGCATAAATCAGCTGAAACAGGCTATACTATACATATCTATCAAGAAGGTAGATTCGTTGTTCAAATGAATGAATATTCTAATTTTTATTTGTATCTTCCCATTAATATCAAATTCACATTCAAATTCACATTCAAACTCAAACTCCAATGCGCACCGCACCTAAAATCCCACCATAAACATGAACACCAACACCGTGAATGCAAGAATCTCCCCCTATCTCTCCTTCCCTCCCCCCCTTTCCCCCCCAACTCTCTCAGATACCCATACCCATACACCGACCGCCAAGGCACAGCCCACACAGCCTACCCACTACCGCCTCCTCGAACTACTCACCACCGGCTCAAACCCATCACTATCATCATCATCATCATCAACGATATCCTCGCTGGGGGCTCTCGTAGCGCGCGTGGATCGCGATCCCGCCGTCCCACGCACACTACTCTGCGAGCCGACGAAGCTCAGCTGGGTTTGGGTCTGTTTTCCTCGTCCGCGGCGCGAGGGAGCGACGGTGTTTGAGGACGGGGCGGGGGAGGGGGCTTTGCGGCGTGTGCTGGGTTTGGAGGGTGCAGGTGCAGCTCTGCGGGTTCGGGTGGAGGGTTGTTTGACGAAGAGGGCTTGGGAGTCGGATTCCTCGTCGTCGTCTTCTTCGACGATGTTGGCGAGGGCGGCGCCGGGGTCTGAGTTTGCGTTGTTATCATCATCATCATCGTCGTCGTCGTCGAGCATGATGACGTCGTTGTTGTCTTCGTCTTCGTCGTCGGAGATGGCGCGGCGGCGACGGCCTTTGGTGGTGGTGGTGGTGGTGGTGGTGTTGGCTGTTTTGGAGGGAGTGATGGCTTTCTTGGGGGCGGGTTTGCGGGTGGTTGTTGTGGCAGCTGCTCGGCCACCGCGGCCGCGGCCACGGCCCCGGCCTCGGGTGGATGTGGTGGATGGGCGAGGGGTGGTGCCGTCTTCGGCGGCGAGGTCTTCGTTGGGATCGCCGCCTTCGTTGTCGGAGTGGATGAGGGCCCCGGGCTGGTCTTCCCAGGCGCCATCGAACTCGGTGTCCCAGCCATCGGGCTTCGGCTTGAATCGCTTCTTCCCGCGGGTGCGTTTCTTGACGCCGCGCGAGAACATGTCTTCCATCTGGGTGCGGTATTTCTCCATGGCTTTCTGTAGGGAGCTCTGGACGGCGTCTTCTTCGTCATAATCGTCGTTGGCGCGGTCCAGGTTCATGAGGTGCTTGATCTGGCTGTCGAGGGATTCGTTGACGAACATTTCCAGGGCGTGCTTGTCGTCCTTGTCGATGAATTGGGCGACCGCGTCGCCGAACGAGTTCTGCGGGAGGATGGTCAGGGATTGCGCGGAGAGGAGATCGCGCACGAGTTGTTCGACTTTGACCGTGTCCAGGGTGGAGAGGTGAGAGACGGCCGCCTCGTCCAGGTCGTTGTCGGTGTCCTTCTTGCGCGTGTTGGCGTTCTTCTTCTTGCGGTAGAACTGGACCACGTCGTTCACGTTCGCGACCTTGCCGACGAACCGGTTGGAGAAGCGCTGGGGATTCTCGCAGTCGTAGCTGCCTCCTTCCGGGGTGGACGTTTCGACGCGCAGTCGCACCAGGGGGAGCGGCACTTCGAGGGCTCCGTCCTCGGCTCCCTCGTCCTGCGTCTCCAGCCATTCCGTTTTGGCTTCCTCGATGAGTTCCTCGACCATGGTCATGAGGAAGCGCGTGACTTCCGTGCGGTTGTTCTCCTTGCGGGCCAGTTTTTGGGCTCCTTTCTCCTCGGAGAGGACTATTTCGCGCATGGCGAAAGGGCGAACGGACTTTAAGCGGATCGGCTCGCTTTTGAACTCCCGACCTGTGACGCTGATGAGCGCGACGTGTTTCGCCACTGCTTCGCCTGGGACCAGGGATGTCGCGACTGACGAACCGGGCTGCATGACGTGGAACATGGTTTCGGGGTTCTTTCGAGGGTTGATCAGGCATTCATGCTCGTGGCCCCAAACCACCAGATCCAGGAACTCGGGTAGGAAATTCTCGGGCAGGTAGCTCGTTTCGGTGTGGGCATAGTGGTTCTGATGCACGCTCATCAGGTTGAACCAGTCATCCTTCTGGATGGAAGGCTGGTAGAACTTGACCTTGCCGTCCCGGAAGGTGCGGAATAGACGCTCGTCGCGGACGTTACTCATGCCGTAGAGAGCGAGCTTGGTGCGTCCCTTCTGCAGCAAGACCGGCTTGATCTGGATATTGTCCGATTCTGGAGTCCGTCCGTAGTAGTTGATCAGGCCGGAGACCTGGAGCAGGTCCAGCGCGGCCAGGTGCCCTTCTCCGGACGGGTCATCGTGGTTGCCATGGATGGAGAAGATGGGGATCGCCACGTTGATATCGAGGTCCTCGTAGTTGACGTGGTTGAAGGCGCCCTGGAAGTTCTCGCTCGCGTCGCTGAGCATCTCCAGCTCGCAGGGCTTGTCGCCCAGGCAGTTCATGCGGATGGAGCGCATCACCTGGTACATGGACTTCCGCGAGGGCTTGTTCTCATGGAAGAGATCTCCTGCCAGGAGCACCATGTCGACATCGTGCTCCTTGGCCAGACACATGACTTCATGGAAGCTTTTCCAGCTGTCGTCGCCCCGGATGGGGTCTCGTTCGTTGTACCCGACATGGTTGTCGGTTGAGACGAGGATGCGGATCGTTTCCGCGTCTGGGCGCATCAGCACAGGCTTCACGGGCCAGGTCTGGATCACGACTCACCACCTGAAATGGGCATTTTGATCGAGTCCGATATGCATCGATGCCAAGAGGAAGAGGGGAGGAGAGAGTGAAGGTAAGAATGCGAAGAATGTAAGGGTGGTAGTAGTAAAGCTATAGTAGTGTACTCCGTACTAGGGAGTCGGTACTATACAGAGTAGTACTGGGTAGGAATTCGGAAAAGGCGCGTAGGCTACCGTGCAGGAATGCTGCCTAGGGTCTGGAACAAGATGGACTGGTGGTGGCTAGGCTAGAAGGGGGGGAGGAATGACCCAAGAAGAATAGCCTCATTCATCAGTGGATGATGCACGATGAGTGACGATGACTGATGACTGATGACTGTCCGGTTCTCGCGCCGCGGCGCGTAATCACGTGACGGGCACGCGGGCGGGCGGGCGACGCTGATTGACGGACCCGCCGTTTGGCCTTCTGCCTCTTCGTCGCCTTCCTTCGGATCGCCGGACTTGTACTTTGTTCTCTGCTCTGTGACTCTCTGTCGTCCTCCACCCCCCCCCCCTCCAAACCTGTCCTACCCTTCCATCGCTTCGATCGCATCGCATCGCATCGCTCGTCTGCCTGCTTTCCCCTTTCCTTGTTCCTCCTATCTTCGACTGATTCAGCCATCATTCCTGGTTCAGTCGCCTCCGTTGTCCCCATTACCCCGCGAAACTCTTTTATGCAATCAGAGCCTACCGCAGTTTTCGACCGCTCGCCTTCGGTAGACCCCTCCTCAGAAGCGTTTCTCGAGATCACCCAGCATGGACATGATTTGCATGGTGAGCACCGAGTCTCTGGGCCTCCGCCTCACGAGCCCGAGCACTCTGGTCTCCGCCGTGACTCACCCGAGGCTGGCGAGCAGCCGCCCCTAGACGAGCCCACGGCCACGGAGCCTGCGCAGTGGATCGATCCCGTCAGTCAGTATGAGAATGAGATTGCCAAGTCGTCCTGGAGACCGAAAGCCAGTCCTCGGGTGGCGCAGCCCGCCATCTACACGGGCGTGTCGTTGGAGGCTTTCCCAAATGGTATGTCGCCCCTCCGCGCGGGTCGGGGATGGTCGGGATTGAGTCTAACCATCGCATCTGGCAGAGGTGCTCACGCACATTCTCTCGCATCTGCCCCCACCATCCTTGTCCTCGATGGCCCTGGTGTCTCGCCGGCTTCATAGTCTGGTGACCACGCCCCACGCCTGGAGAGTTGCCTTCTCCCGCTATTTTCCCGGCCCGTATACTGTGGAAGATGGCGCATGGACGGTGAACCCCTCCGACAGCGTGACATCTGATAGGCGATATTTCTCCAGGTTGACTGCGCTGGCATCCTGGAGAAGTGAATACATTCTGAGAACCCGCTTGCTGAGATCGCTCTCGAGAGGCAAGCCGGCGCAGTTTGAGCCTTCCAAAAAGACGGGTACGGTGCGGTCCGCAAGCGTCGCGAATGGCAGCGCTGTTGTCACGTACACCTCGCAGTTGATGTATCCCGTCAGCCACCTGCATGGAGCATTTGGGACGGAGGTCTCGAAGAAGGAGCCTCTTTTCATCCATGGTGCGTCGGAGCAGGGGATCGCGTCGGCCAGCGACCCGTCGTCGGTCAAGGTCGGGACATGGGGCTTGTCTGATCACCAGCTGTTCCGACACTTCGCGGATTTGTTCCCTGGAGATGCCGAGTATGGCTTGGGGTCCGGTGAACTCGTCGGGGCGCCCAATCGCATGGATGTCAGTCAGCCTTACGGGATGATTTACGGCGAGGCGTGTCCTCAAGGACGTAGCTATTTTATCTCGACGACTGAGCAACGGGGCAGGTTCCTGAACCTTGCCGCTTCCACTTCACAGCCTCATCTGGGGATTCCTGCCCTGAACATGATCGGAACCGGCATCACTGCGGTCTGGATCGCGAAGTTCTCCAATGTCCTCAAGATGACGGGTGGCCTGGTCGCGATGTTGTCGGGCTCCTCCACAGGCGTTCTCACGGCGTATGCCCTTGGCCCACACCCGACCTATGAAAAACGGTACGAACGAGGCCAAGTGACTGCGAAGTGGGTCCTGTGTCCTGGTGTTCCCATCATCGCTATTGCGGTCGATGACAGCTATTCTCCGAAACGGCATGCTCGTCGAAGAATCTGGGCAACGGTTCTCAACGCACTAGGGGAGGTTTTCTACCTCTCTGACATGCCGCGCCAGCCTGACGTGCCTTCCACGAAGTTGACTCCAGAGGAGTATGATCACCTGGCTTGGAAAACAGGCAGAAGTGTCCGTTGGGAATTGGTTGAGTTGAGCAGGCGAACTGCGCGACCCGACCCCTTCAACCGTGATCTTGTCGATGGCAGCTATAGCCCTCGCTCATCGTCGGATTCGATGAAGCTGAGTGAGGAGCAGATAGCAGCCGAGACAAGGGAGATTGAATGTTTCTTGTCCTTCAGGCCGAAGCATTTCAGGAAGGCCTGCGAGGGCTGGAATATGAGACGCGAGTTGAAGGTCGATTTCGCGGGCGACGATGGCCACGGGGCGGGCGAATCCGCCATTGTCATCTGCCCGGGCATTGGGGAAGATGAGCAGGCCTCGATTCGGAGGTACACCAGAAAGGTGTCTAAACACGATCTGCCGTCATCCAACCCGATACGGCCCTCTCAGAACACGGATAGCGTTCCTCCGTCGTCCATCTTTGGAGGCCCGGCCAAACTGCCTGTGGACAGCGCCGAAGATACGCCTTCGTCCCGGGCATCCAGTCGTATCAGCGAGACAGTCTGCTCGATCTCGAACACGGAATGGCGCATCACGGATTTCAATTTCGGGGACCGCAAATCTATCGAGATCACTACGAGTGCATTGGACATCTCCACCTACGCGCTGGTGACGACCGACGAGGACCCTCTCATCGGCATGTCCGGTAGCTCGGCCAGCTCTTCGGCAACGTCATCGCCGCTCCCACACATGAAGCAGCCACCCGGCAGTCCCGAAGTTCCTGGCCAACGCGGGCGATATCTCGCCGTGGGCACAGCTGCCGGAATGGTCCTCGTCTGGGACATCCGGTCTCCCACGTCCAAGACCTCCGAGCTCATCAACTCCGTGGCGCCCGTCCGACTCATCCAGACCGAATCGCCGCAGGTCTCTTGCGTCGCCTTAACCTCCCTGTACCTGGTCCACGGTGGAAACGACGGCCTCGTCCAAGCCTGGGACCCGCTCGCCTCCTCGACGCGGCCCATCCGCACCATCAACTCGCGCTTCTCGACGCGCGCCCGCCGTCGCCTCGTTCAGGCCGAAGCTTCCATCCACGGCGTTGGCAATAACTTCTACGCAACCGGCGCCATCAGCCTTGACCCAGACCCGACCGTCCTGCGCGGAATGGTCGCCCTCGGAACCCACCTCCGCTACTGGTCGTACAGCTCCTCCGCCGCGGACCAGTACAAATCCAGCAAACGCCGCCTCCGCCGCGGGCCCCGAGGCGGCAACGCCGTCACAGAGGGCCAACGCTTCAACACCAGCGGCCGCGGCGCACTGACCGACTACATCGAGGACGAGAAAGTCGAAATGCAGCGCCAGGAAGTCGCCGACCGCAAAAAACGCGCCCATCTGAGCCACCGCTTCGGCGTCGATCTCCTCGGCCCGGACATCGACGAGGACCAACTCCTCGCCTACGCCCGGCTCCTCAGCGAGGAATCCTACACCTCCGAAGCCAGCAAGCGCACCGACCACCTTTATTCCTCCTCCATAGCCATGAGGAGCACCTCCCCAAGCGACAACGACAACGACACCGACACCGTCGGTCCAAACGACAGCTCCTTCGCTCCGGACGAGCTCTCATCTGCATCCTCCCCCTACGAGGACCTCGCCGATGACCTCGAGCCTGAAATCGCCGAAGCCATCCGTCTCAGTCTCCTCGATGAAGCGCAAGCGCCAGATACCGGTGCTGACTCCTTCGACTTATTCCCATCCCACTTCCACCCCCACTCCTCACCCCCATCGCCATCAAAATCCACCCCACCCGTCGCGGAAAGCAGTAACCAGCAAGAAATCGACGACCTCGAATTCGCCATCCAGCTCAGTCTCGCCGAGGCAGAGAGCCAGAGCCAGAGTCACGCATTCGAGGAGTTTCCTGCTCTGCAGGCTTCCCCTGGGAAGAAGGATAGTGATAAGGGGAAAGGGAAGAGGAGAGCTCTGTGATATCATCTATCTATTTATTATCTCGTTTATTTCCTGGATTTGATTTGATTTGACTTGCTTGTTTGTTTGATTAAGTGGTTATTTATCTATAGTTTGGTTGATAATAGACATATTTTCTAGTTTTTTTTGTATCTGGGTCTTTGTTAATTGTTTGTGACATATCTGAGTGGATCTTGTCACTTTGTGGTTGTCGTTACGGTTGGTTTGAGTATCTTCTATCTTGCAGTCACTTATTTAAAGCATGTCTTACCTATATATAGTCTGTCTAGTAGATAGATAGCTGAGGCGGATTACTAAGGAAGATAGATACCTGACCTGGAGATATCGGAATCTTGCACTCCAGTCAATCTTATTACCTACCTACCTACCTATCTACTACTATACTATCACTATACTACTACTACTACTACTACTACTACTACTACTACTACTACTACTACTACTACTACTACTACTACTACTACTACTACTACTACTACTCCTACTACTCCTACTACTACTATACTACTACTACTACGCGGCGAAAGTCACAAGTCACACGCAAGCTCTGCCCTATCCCGACCTATCCCGCCCTATCCTGCCCTAGTAACCTACCCTGACCTACCCCGCCCTATCCCGCCCTATCCTGCCCTATCCTGCCCTATCCGACCTGTCCCGTTCCGTAAATGAAACAGAACAAGGACCAAGTAACCGATCTCATCCCAGCTCCTCCACAGTAAAAAGTAAGTAGACACCATAGGTATTTATTATCTGCAAAGGCACGACAAAACCAAGCATTCCAGAAATATTTCTAATCCATGATCCAACTACGAAGATCTAGAGTACTGGCCAGGTAAAGAGGGAGGGAAGGAGGAAGGAAGGAAGGAGGAGGAGGAGGAGGAGGAGGAGGAGGAGGAGGAGGAGGAGGTATATACAGAAATATATTAAACGTCATCGAATCATGCCCGGAGTCAAAATGCCCAGTGTTAGTGCCAGTGTTAGTGCCAGTGCCAGTGCCACTCTATTAGGGAGGACCTCAATGTATATACGGTAAACGAAGAACAAAGGTCAAGGTCAAGGTCATGGTCATGATCATGGTCATGATAGGCAGAGCAAGTTCACCGGGAACACTATAAAAGACTCGACTCGATTGAAACGAGCAAGACAGACAGACAAGAATGTAAACGAAGAAGATGAAGATGAGTCTTTCTATGGGCGGATTTACAGGAGGAAGGCCACGAAGAGAGTGGCGCTGGTCAGCAGGCCCATCACGGAGGTGGACAGGCCAGCGGCAGCGCTGGTCGAGCTGGAGGAGCTGGAGGAGCTGGATCCGGAGCTGGCGCTGCTGGAGCTGGAGCTGGAGGTGGACGAGGTGGTGCCGTTGGAGGTGCTGCTGTCGATGGAGGTCGAGTTGTTGGGGGTGTTGGACTCGTCGCTGGCCAGGACCTTGTACTTGACGGAGGAGACCTTGTTGCCGTTGTAGTCGTAGATGGTCTGGGGGATGGTGGTGGCAGACACGGCGACCAGCGAGCCGACGGTGGCGTTGGTGTAGCCGCTCTTGATCCAGTCGGCCACCTTGGAGGGGACGGTGGGCAGGTCCCAGGAGTTGAGGAAGGTGGTGGTGGAGATCAGAGAGGTGGCGCAGGTCACGGGCTCCTTGGAGGTCTGGCTGGAGTTGGAGCTCTCGACGCTGGTCATGTCCAGCTTGGAGTACTGCTTCTCCAGGTTCTTGAAGTCGGTCAGCAGGGTGGCAACGTCGGTGCTGTTGATCGCCACGAGGCCGTAGTCGTTGGCCTCCTCGGTCCACTCATAGACCAGACCACCGGAGAAGACCGAGTCCATCTTGTCGCTGTAGAGGGCCGCGACCTCGGTGAATTCACGGGGCATGACCGCGTTGCAGCCGAACTCGGAGAAGAACACGGGCAGGGAGGCGTTGGAGAAGTCCTCGACCAGGGTGTTGTAGCCGGACTCGACGTAGGTCGAGTCTCCACACCACGAGTACGAGTTGAGGCCGAAGAAGTCGGCGCGAGAGGTGGTGGAGTTCTCCATGTTGCACATGAAGTAGTCGAGGGTGTCGACCAGGATGGGACGCACATCCGCAGCAGAGTAACCGACGGGGATGGAGCGGTTCGCGTTGGCGGCGATGTAGTCCTTCATGTCACGCACGACGGCCTGCAAGAGAATCAGTCAAACCACTCTCGGAGAGCCCGATAGAACCAATTACGATCACGTACGCGAACGTAGGCAGGGGCCTCGTAGACACTCTGCTCGTTGATCACCTCGTTACCGGCGAAGAAGCCCAGGGTGTTGGGGAAGTTCTTGAAGGCTTCGATGATACCGAACACCTGCTCGAAGTAGACCGCGTTGTAGGTGCCCTGGGGATCGGTACGGTCGAGGGAGCCGCCGGAGAGCGGCGAGTTCACGTCCAAGACCATGTAGATACCGGCGCCGTTGAAGATGGAGGCGCACTTGCTGTGGTCGACGTCGGGCGACAGGTTGTACACACGGATGGTGTTGACCTGGACAGGCACGAGGGTTAGCAGAGTGGAGGACCGGGGTGGGAGGGAAGCCATACACCCAGGCCCTGCATGAGGGCAGCGTCGCGCAAGCAGGCATCGGCGTCAGTCAGGGGATCCTGAGTGGTGCTGAAGCCGGAGGAGCCACCGGGCTGGTAGCTGTCGCAGAAGACGGTCAGCATCAGATAATCAGATAATCCCGGTGGAGGGCGCATGCTTACTCAACTCCCAAGATCTGGAAGCGATCACCGGTCTTGCTGTTGACAAAGTCCTTGCCCTGGACCTCGATGGGGGTCACGGCATGGGCGGTTGTCGCGAGAGCGCACGCAGCGGCGAACAGTTGGGTGTATGTCTATGCCAGTCAGTGGGGGAGAAGACTTATAGATCAGAGACGCCTAGATTTGTTGGAGGGCACTCACGGGGGCCATAGTGAAAAAAAAAATAGAAGAGAAATGAAACCAAGTTTCTATATAATTGGAATGAAACGACAGGATGGAGTCTTCCACAGGAAGATCCGGGTTGGGGGGAAGTATAGAACGAACGAACGAACGAACGAGCAAACGACGGTGAAAGAGTGACTGAGGGTTAAAAATAGAGGACCGCGAAGGGCAAGCGCGGGGGGGGGGAGGGGGAGAGGCTGGCGATGGAGGGAGAAGGATGATGCATGAAGGAAGGAAGGGGACGAAAGCAAGACATATAAAACGGTGAAACAGGGCAGGGCAGCGAGGGAGACCCTCCGGGACCTGGTAGATGGTTAGTGGCACACTTCCAGGCCCTAATCTCGTGGGATTGATTGAATTCCAGCAGTGGAGGCCGCTAGCCAGTTAGCGCTGCGGGCTGGGCGGCGTCATTGGGCCCGGCGGCCCCTCCGCGCCCCATCAGTGAGACGGCGGCCTCGCAGCCAGAGAGGGAAACCCGATGATCCTTACGCTTCGCTAATTACTTCGGTACTTGGCAGTGTGCCAGCCCCATGCCCAATCAAAGTAGGGAGGAAGGAAACAATGCCTTTTCCACATCACGTTACGTCACGTCAAATCAATCTTCGTTTTCGGTAATAGTGACCCCTTCACTATCCCCTATCTTCTGCTGCTTCGTCGTCGCGCGTCTAAGAATACAAAGCCCAGAAACCACCCCGTCGTGACAGAAAGGGCCTGGGAAGAAAATTATACCCGTCCCACAGACTCGGGCCAACCACCGTCCGTTCAGGTCCGGAGCAATTCGAGAAAACAGGGAAAGAACACTTGGTCGTGCCGCCAGGAGATACCCTTGGACTCCGCCGGGTCGGCGGCCAGGACACAATGCACATATACAGGGAAACATATAAGAGGAAATATAAGGGAAGGGGGGAAGAGTACACGGATAGCGGAGAGAGGAGGACGAGGAGCGAGGCAAGACCGTGGCCGATGCTTTTGCGCCCAGGTCCATCCTGCCAGAGGACCAGGCCACGGCCCAGCGTGAACCACAAATTATATAAGACACCCCCAGTCACGGCCACGGTTCTATGCGGGAAGGAGAGGGAAGAAGGAAGGGGGGACGAAGCGAGAGGGAGAGGAGAGGCCGGGAGTTGCAATCATGGGGGAATTTACTCAACCCCGTGGCTCTCCGGACCGGCACCCTCGCCGGTGAACGAGCCCAGCTTCAGGCCGGCGTCCATGGCGACCATGTCGGCCAGGATCTCCAGCACTTCCTTGGGCACGGTCTTGTCGTAGATCGAGATCAGGTCCTTGGGCTGGGGGTAGACCTTCAGGGCCTTGTAGAAGCACAGCGCGGCCTCAACCTGGTCTGTAGTTGGGTTGGTACGTGGATCGCGTAGGGTAGCCGGCGACGCAGCGCGCGTCACGGCGGGAGACACATACCTTCGGCGCAGAGCGACTCTCCGCGGGCGACCTGGCCCATGAAGTAGGTCTCCTTCTCCTCGAGGTCCGTGGGGAAGCCCTCCTCCTTGGCCTGCTGCATGGCGGCCTTAATGACCTCGCGCTGCTGGGCACCCTGGGCCTCAACCTCCTCCTTGACAGCCCGGGCCAACCGGCGGTTGTTCCGCTTGAGCGATTTCCGGAAGTCGGGGTCGGTCTGTCTCTTGTGGTCAAAGTAGACGGCATAGGCTGCGGACAGTAGACAGGCGATCAGCACGGGGCGTCATGGGGCACGCGTCCGGGGGGAGGGGGGGGGGGGGGGGGGGGGAGCTTACCCAGAAGGCCAGTCACGATTGTGCCGGCGGTGGCAGCTACCAAAGTCGAGGTCCTCATGATGAATGGGATGCGGGGAGAAAAAACGGCTATATAATTGACAGAAAAGAAAGCGTGGGATAGAGGGGCCTCGAGGAGGACAGGGAAGGGCGAAGAAGAGTGGAGGGAGGAGAGATGGGGGAGGGATCGAGGACAGTTGGGGATAGTTGGGAATTGGGAATTGGGATGACGGCGATTCTTTTGCTGCCCGGATAATTTTGCCGGGATCATCGTTGTTCCGCCTCGGGCTGCTGCTGAGCTCAGCGGCCAGTTAGCCTCGTTTAGTTCATTGTTCCTGCGACATACTCTCCCCCCCATACTACTCCTCCTCCTACTCTATACCATTTAGTTTTCAGATTGCGGGCTCAATCTTCCTCCCCCCCCCACCATCACCCACCATGGAAAGCCGTGGCTTGACCCTCCGCAGCAAGTCGCGCCGCCCCCGTCCCCAGATCAGTGCCCCCAAGCCCATCTCCGGCCCTCTCCCGGCCAACAACAGCAACTCCAAGCTCGCCGCCCCGCAAAGCACCGCGACCCCTAGCTCGGGGTCGCAGGACCGGGGTCCCTCGAAGGATGCGACCTCCGATCTGGTCAAACGCAGATACTCCACGCGTTTCAACCAGATCCCCGACTTCGATCCCAGTGCCCCGCCCGTGCCCGGCCTCCCTCAGCTACCCGCCACGTATGGCGGCCTCAGTCCCCCCGAGACCAGTCGGAGACCCTCCACCGAATCAACCGGTCCCCCGAAGGTGGATTTGAACGCCCTCCGAGATCCCAGTCTCCCCGTCGATAAGTGTGAGTGACGCTCCAGATTGTCCCCGTGCTCCCCAGGCCACCGGGTGCTGACGCACCAACCCCTCCAGACGTCGCCAACCTACTCGCCAATGCCTCCGAACAAGAGATCGAAGAGTACCAGAGGAGCCTCCGGAAGGTAAAGAACCGCACGTCGACCGATCTACAGCAGAATGTCTACCAGAACCGCACCCAGTTCATCAAGATCAGTAAAGAGGCGGAAAAGCTCAAGGGGGAAATGCGCACTCTCCGCTCCCTGATGGCGGAGCTCACCACCGCGCTCGGTCAGACCACGACCGGGAACACCCCCAACCCTATGTCTCCGGCCATCGATGAGCGCCTGCCCAAACGCCATGGCAACCGCAGCTCTGTCGCCAACCTGGAGAGTATGTGGAACGTTCAGCTCCAGACCCTCTGGAAGACGGTGGAAGGGTCTCAGAAATTCCTGCCGGTGGCCTCCGGCCGACATATTGTGATGGAGACGGGCCATTGGGTAGAGTTGGACTCGGCGACCTGGAAGCCCCGGCGACCGGTCCACCTCGTGCTGCTGAACGACCATCTCCTGGTGGCCGCCAAGAAGCGCAAGCGGGTGGACCAGAGCAACCATCGCGGCCCGGTCCCCACCAAGCTGGTCGCGGAACAGTGCTGGCCGTTGCAAGACGTGGACATAATCGATCTCGGGGCCAACCTCAGCCCCGGGGCCGCCCAGGAGGAAGCCGAAGATCGCGGGATCTCGAATGCCATCAACGTTCGCGTGGGCGGGAAGCCCTTCACCTATCGCCACGACAAGCGGGACAGCTCCGCCAAAGGCGATCTCCTTGCGACGTTCCGCAAGACTGTCGAGGACCTCCGCCGAAACATGCGGTCGGAAACCGAAGCAGCCGGCAAGTCGACCGAGTCCTTCGGCTACCTGGGCCTCCGGCACGCCTCGTATTCCCCCAAGCCGGACCACTACGACGGCGGCGATGATTCCCGCGATAAGCCAGAGGTGCGGATCGACGTGGACGGAAAGCAGCAGAACCTCCGCTGGGTGGACGGGCAGGTGGACGATCTGGACATTGACATCGCCCTGCAACGATTCGAGGAAGCCGTCTCCAACATCGAGCGGCTCCGCAAGCTCGCCAAGGGCCTGAAAGGCAACGCGGTCGCGCAGGACGTGATCAACGCGAAAGTCGACGAGCGCGCGGCCAAACTGGCCGAGGGTCTCCTGCGCATCCTCGTCGACACACACTCATTCCCCGTGGCCACCAAAACCAGGGTCTCGTGGCTCACGCGGCTGGGCTTTGAAGACCAAGCCCGGGAGGCCTATCTCAAGGCCCGGACGGACGTGATCTCAAAACGCATCCGGTATGTCCCTCCCCTCCCCTCCCCACAATCTCTCCCCGCACTAACACCACCACCCACAGCGCCTGCGTCTTTGAAGGCGACCTCCCTCTCTACATCTTCCAAATCTCCTTCGTCTACTTCACCCTGATCAAAAACACCATCAGCATCTACCAGCAATGCTTCCCGCCCGTCATGTCCAGCGCCAGCATCCGCTGGGCCAAGCACCACCTCGACGGCTTCAACGCCCTCCTCACCCGCCAACTCAGCAGCGTGCAGCGCGGCACCACCGTCTGGCAGAAATGCATCGACATCGTGCACCAGCACGCCAACCTGCTGATGGAGGTCGGCGTGGACTTCACCGACCTCGTCGCCAAGGACCTGGAGACCGGCGAGGAGTTCACCGAGCGTCCGCAAATGACGCGATCCGAGTCCTTGATCTCCGGGTTGGCGGATGCCGCTGCCGCCGCGGCCATCATCTAGGATGTATATCTGTCTATCCTACATGGTTTAATATTAGTACTACTGTCAATTCTTCCTCCGTTCATGCATGCATTGCCTTCGTGCTGTGCTGTTGTTCCCTTTAGCCTCAGGAGGCTACTACTATGTTCTGTTGACTGTTTTCATTCTTCGTTCTTCATTCTCCATTCGTTCATTCGTTCATTCATTCATGCATGTGTGCGTGTGTGTGCGCACCGATATACCTCGGTGGGTATTTTGATTCCACATCCAGCTATTAGTTCAGTTCTATTTGATATAGACAACGTCATTAAGGTAGTTGAAATTTACCCGACCCTTATCATTCTCTCTGTCAGGTCAGTGGTTTTCTATGTATGCATGCATAAAATACAGTAAATTACAGTCCAGCACAGTACAGTCCAATCTCGGCACTTCTACTGCTAATCCCATCACTATCATACAACTGAGAACACTATCCCATCTAACCAACCACCTCTAACCCAATAATCTATAAAACAGCACGCTATCCATATATACCCCTGATCTAAACACACACACACACGCACACACACACATATATATATATATTATAAATGCCAATCAAATATGCCACCACTCATACTTCTCCGCATCATCCCTAACGGGCATATCCGCATCAAAGAAGTTCTTCTCGACCCTCTCCCTATCCTTCTTCCAATAAAGCAGGGACCAGTTACGATTCCACACGCGGAGGTTATCCCACTGACTCTCGGGCTTGAGGACACCGAAGCGGAAATCGAGTTTCTCTTTGCGTTCGGAGCCGGAGGGGAGACGCATGAAGTAGCGGACGGAGCTGGGGATATCCTCGTTGGAGTGGGCGATGGTGAGGAGGGCCTGGTTGTCGGAGAGGCCGCGGAAGCGGGCGTTGTCGGCGGTTTGGATGTGGACGCGGTGTTTGACGCACCACTCGCCCTGGTCGATGAAGGTGAGGCATTTGTCGCGGAGGGAGGCGGGCATGCCGGAGAGGGCTTCGTCGAGGATGACGATGTCCGGGCGGGAGACCAGGGCGCGGAGGAGCAGCACGAGGCGCTGCAGGGCGGTGCTGAGGTCGCCGAAGATGATGGTGTCGGCGTATTCGACGCCGTCGTCGGGGTTGTAGAAGTCGGTCTTGAGGGTTTCTTTGACGAGGGGGGGGAAGAGCTGGTTGTCGGGCATCGTGACTTTGGTTGGGGGCCCGTGGTGGCCGTCTGGGTTGAGTTCGGGGGCGAAGAAGCGCAGGAAGGCGTTGACATCCAGGTCCTGTTCGTGGGTGAGGCGAGGCCGCGTGAGGAAGGTGTCGGAGAAGGCGGACTCGATGGCCTGTCGGATGGTGAGCTGGCGGGGGAAGAACGCGTGGATCTCGGGGGACGAGTGCCCGATGCGCGACTGCAGCTCGAAGATGGAGAGCCCCGGCTGGCCGGCCTCCGGGAGGCGCGAGCGGCCGAAGAGGCGGATGGGGAGGGCGTAGGTTTGCGGGTGGTCCGACGTGATCAAAGAGATGAGGGTCGTCTTGCCGGATCCGTTGGCGCCCAGGATGGCCCAGCGTTGGCCACGACGCACCGTCCAGTGAAGGCCCTCTTTGGCTTCCCCGGAGACGTTTTGCCTCCAGTGTCCTAGGACGCATTTGTCGCCGTATTGAACGCGCACGCCGTCCATCTCGATGATCGGTTCACCACCACTGGCACGATAGACCGGGGGCTCGTACTGGTTGTTCACTCTGGGCTTCTGATGGGAGATGCGCATGTCCCGCAACATTTGCCGGGTCAAATAGCCGCCTTTCAACTGTTTTTGGGTCTCCTGATCGGTCCGCCGGGTCCATTCGTCGGCCCGGCTGAGGGGCTTCTCGTACTCGGCGCGTCTCCTCCAAATCTCGAACACACGCTTCGCTTCCTCCTTGGGTGCTTGCAACAGGATACGGTTGTGGTTTCCGAGGACCATGATGTGCGTGATCCAGTCGGGGATGGGATCTTGGGGTCGGAAAGAGAAGATGACGCGGGGGCTTGACCGTAATGCCATGTGTTCAAGGATGCTCGAGATGTGTCTGACGGCGGCCGGGTCGAGGCCCACTGGAGGGTGTTAGTTGTGGTCTGGGGCAGATAGGCAGAGGTGGGACGAACTGAATGGATCGTCGAGGAGAAGGACTTCAGGCTTGTTGAGCAGGGCTTTCGCAATCCGAGTCCGCCTGGTCTGGCCGTTGCTCAGGTTTGCAACCGGCATATCCAGCAGCTCCTCCAACCGAAGATCCGTGATAATCTGTTTTAGCATTTGGTGGTCACGAAGCGTTCCCGCCTGGTCTTCTTCCAGCGGATTCAAGGAGGTCTGACCGGTGAGGTATTGGCGGACCGTCCAGTCGGTCTCCTCCCGGAGACTCTCATAGCGAGCGCTCAGATATGCACCACGGGTGCCCCCAATGGCTCCGGAACCCTCCCCGCTGAATCCAATGTACTGGATCGCATTAGCGGGGGTGCGGAGCCGGGGGTCTTTCTCCGCGATCTCGTCGGTCAGCAGGTATGGGTAGCTGCGTGCCGTGGGGGGTGTGCAGATGTACTGGCCGCGGAGAATATCGAGAATCTGCGTCCGTTCGGCATTACCGATTAAGGCCCAGGTTTGTGGAATGACGACGCCATCGGGGTTGGGCGTGCCTCGAGAGGATAGAGTGAAGTTGAAGTCGGAGAAGATGGGGGGTTCTTGCCTGTCGCGGCATCGTCGGGGGTGGGATAGGTTTTGTAGAAGGTACCGTTCTGGATGTGAATCAGCGGCGGCGCAGCAGAGGAGACCGAGCGAGCAGTACGGAGGAGAGCCGACGGCCGCAGTGGCCTTGCCCTCCAGGCTAGTCGTATCATCGCGTCGAGGCTGAGGTCGAGATTCGCGCTGGCCAGGAAATCCCCGAAGTCGGCCGGGGATGCCAAATCGAGCCGCGGCACGTGTCGTCACGTGGTCGAGATGCGTATACTTTCGGCGTCTTGCTCGAGCAACCTTCCTTGCAGCATGCAGGACGATGCATCCATCTCCTTCCATCCCGTTTCATCCCACTCGGCCAGATTGCGGAGGACTACTAATTTCCACCGGGATGTCTGTTGGAAAGAGGTACGCTCTGACACGAATCGTTTCTACCACTATCCTGTCGCGTTTTGTACTTGGGACATGCCGAGGTACTGCAGGTCGTGCGGTGTTTACCCCCACACACAAGTATATGACCGAGCAACACTGTTATTATGACCAGGGGAGCAGACGGTATCGCAATTGAAGCATAACCACGATGACCCTGGGTGCTAGGGATACATACTCAGGATGCCTCGGCGCCAGATCTGGCCCCGAGAGGGCTGGCCCCAACACTTTCGGGCAATTTCTCCACTGTTTTCCCCGAGTGATAAGCACCGGCTAAGATCACGCCCCCAGATCGGAGCAGCAACAGGAGCGAGTGGGTTCATCCCCTCCATCGCCCACCTTTGGGGCTTCCTGGTTTCTTTCTTTCCCTCGTTCCTTTTCTCCAACGTAGTCTCACTCACACCCCCCTCTCCCGATCGATCCTGTTTCTCTTCCCCCCGCACGCCAACATGCGGCTAGCTACCGAACTCAATGCTCAATCTATAGGGTGCGTATTCTCTTCGGATCATTTTCTAGTAGCTGCACCTGCTCATAGACTATATGTTGCGCAGCTCTAACCTCGAGTCCTCATTTTTCCCATTGACAGCCATCCCCTCCCTGCCTCTGTTTGTCGCAGCAAGGAACCACGCGCAAAACAGCCCAGACAAGATCGCCATTGTTGATGCGACCAAAGGGCAGCAGTTCACGTTCGGGCAACTCCTGGCCGATGCGGCCGCCCTCAAAAAGCTCATCCTGGAGGAATTGAGCCTTGTGGAGACCGGAAATTTGGAAGAGAGACGGATTGCGTTTCTGACGCCGAATGGATATGACTATGTGGTTACGCAATGGGCTGTCTGGGCTGCAGGAGGCGTCTGTGTGCCGCTGTGTATGCTCCCCGTACTACTCGAGAAGGGCCAGTGCGCCATATTGCTGACTGACTGATTGCTAACTGGTTGCATGGCTGAAGGCACAACACATCCGGTCAAAGAGCTGCTATACACGATCGGAGACTCCGATCCGTCATTGATCATCCTGCACCCTTCTTTTGAGAAGTTCGAGGCACCCCTGCGGGAGGGCATCAGCAAGAAGATCCCTTTCATGACCTTGACGCCATTCCAGCAGAGACAAGATCCTGTGACACTGCCCGAGATCAGCCCGCAGCCTTTCCTGGATCGACGGGCGCTCATGATCTACACGTCGGGAACGACATCCAACCCCAAGGGCTGCGTCACCACGCACAAGAACATCACCTTCCAAGCCCAGTGTCTGATTGAGGCGTGGAAGTACAACCCTTCGGATCGGCTAATTCACGTCCTCCCGCTCCACCATGTGCACGGGATCATCAACGGCCTCGCTGCTAGTCTGCTTAGTGGCGTCACTGTGGAAATGCACCCCAAGTTCGACCCGAAGGTGATCTGGAGCCGGTGGGAGGAAGGAGGGTCTACGATGTTCATGGCCGTGCCGACCATCTACTCCCGCCTGGTGGACTACTTCGAGGCGAATCTGCGCGGCACCGAGCAGGAACAAGCTGCGCGGGCCGGCGCAAAGGCGCTGCGGCTGATTGTCAGCGGATCCGCGGCTCTCCCCACGCCCATCAAGAGCAAATTCGCCGCGATCACAGGCCAGGTCCTCCTGGAACGGTACGGCATGACGGAGATCGGCATGGGGATCAGCTGCGGGCTGGACGTGAGCGAGCGCATTGACGGCAGTGTCGGCTGGCCGCTCCCGGGGGTGCAGGTGCGACTTACGGACAAGGAGACGGGACGGGTCATTGAGGCGGCGCACGAGGATGGCATGATCGAGATCAAGGGAGACAACGTTTTCCTCGAATACTGGCGTCGCCCGGAGGCAACGAGCAAGGAGTTCACCTCGGACGGGTGGTTCAAGACGGGCGACGTTGCCCGACGGGAGGACAATGGCGCGTACTTTATCCAGGGGCGTGCGTCGGTGGACCTGATCAAATCGGGCGGGTACAAGATCTCCGCGCTGGAGGTGGAGCGGAAGATGCTGGGGCTGGAAGCCATCCAGGAGGTGGCGGTCGTCGGGCTGGCGGACGAGGAATGGGGACAGCGAGTGGCGGCGGTGGTCAAGCAGCGGGCAGGGGTAAGCAACGCGATTCTTTCTGTCCATAAGCACTATCTAACTGAGCGCACAGACCGAGCCACTAGAACTACCCAGCCTGCGCACACAGCTCAAGCAGGAGATGGCGCCATACAAGATCCCGACGGTGCTGAAGCTGGTGGATGCGATTGAGCGCAACGCGATGGGCAAGGTGAACAAGAAGACGATTGTGCAGAAATACTGGCCGGCCCTTGCCTAGCCCGTCACCATAACTTAGTGCTATACTATATATACCTACCATACTCAACCACGAATCCGATGACCCATACTCGTACAACCCCATCCATCCATCTCTCCCTCAATCAACCCTGATTCAACATATCCACGACCGCCGCATAGGCCCGGTCCCTCTCCTGTGCCTCCCACGACCCCTCCTTCGCGACCTTATCCCAAGCATGCCCCACCCCCTTCACCTTAACAAGCCTAACCTCCCTCTCCTCGTCCCTCAACCTTCCCGCCAAATCATCCGCCTCCTTCGCCAACGAATCCCCCTCACAGGTAACAAAAAGGCACCGCTGCGGAAAGCCGTCCAACCTCGCGCCAGCCTTCCCAGGGGAAATCCTCTCATCGTCCACACCCGGCCCATTCCGCAAATAACACCCCTCAAAGAACCGCATCAACCACCTCGGCACACTGCCATTAAACATTTTCTGGCCCAGATCCAGCTCCGCCTTCTTCTCCGCGGCCGGCACCGTGCCATCCACGACGGGGTAGAACGCCACCAGCGTGCTCACGGCGCCCTTCCCCACGCCCGGCGGGAGCAGCCGCTCCGCATTCGCCGCCACCGAGACCACGATGCCCGCGCCGGCGCTGAACCCAGACAGTCCGATCTTCGTCCGGTCGAATCGCTCCGGCCGCGAAAGGATATATTGCAGCGCGTCGCAGGCGTCTTCCAGCGCCGCGGGGAAGGGGTTTTCAGGCGCCAGGCGGTACTGCATATCCAGCACGGAGTAGGGTGTGTTTGCGGTGATGTAGCTTGCAAAGGGGCCGTCGATGCCGTGCGATGGGATGGTGAAGCCGCTGCCGCTGAGGTTGAGGAGGATGGGGGTCGGTTGTGCGGTTGCTTTTGGTGTTGTTGTTGTGGGTGAGGGTGAGGGTGAGGGTGAGGGTGAGGGTGAGGATGATGGGGATTGTTTTGCTGGGCTGGACTCTGTGTCTTGGGTTTCGGTGGTAGATGAGGCGGGGGAGTAGAGATGGGCTTTTATGGTGCGGTTGGGGGTGCGCGAGGGGATGTAGATTGTTTCGGTGGTGGTTGGGTCGGGTGCGGGGATGGCGTTGCCGAGGCGGGTGAGGAGGCGGAGGATTGAGACGAAGGCTTTTTGGATTATGTAGGGTGGCATTGTTGTGGTTTTGGCTGGTTGGTTGGTTGGTTGGTTGTGTGTGTTGGGTGTGTGTGTGTTTTGGGGGGGGTTGTAATTAAGGGTTAGTGGTTTGTAGAATGTAGTGATGAGGAGAGTGGATAGAGGGAGAAGAGGGGAGGTAGAGCAGAGACAAGGAAGAGAGGGTGGTTTATGTAGACAGGTGGGAAAGTGGGTGAATGGGCTAGATTGGACTGGATTGGATTGATTCACTGGACAACCGGACAGGGATGATTTCCCCTAGGAGGGGGGGTTTGGAGAGGGGGTGGAGTCACTACGCGCTTGCTTTCTTTGTTCGTTTGCGCTTGCTATCATGGTCTGGATGATAGTCGGTCTGCTTCATCGCCGCCGCCGCCGCTGCTGCTACTGTCCGTCATCCCTGCGGTGAAGACAGCTAAGACACTTTAACCGAGGGACAGCCAGCGCATAACATGTGCAGGGGAGGGTATTTTTATAGACGGGGCATATTATATTATTCCATGGTCTTCACCATAGCATGCCACACATATGGACCTATAAGATCGGGTCATATTACTCGGGCGATCTAGATCTCATGCTAAGACATGAGACATACGTCCACAGTAACTAACTATATAGCATGTACGGAGTACTAGATAGGTAGGTAGCAGGTACCAGATAACCCGGGTGATCGATCCCCCTTTCCCCCCCCCCCCCCCCCCCCCTTGCGTTGAAGAAATTTCCACCCCGGTAGTAGATGGATGGTGGGTGGTTGAGTGGGTGGGCAGCAATCTGTTTGTTGTTTTGGTGTGTCAGTCCGGAAGCCTACCTTAGTTTAAAACCAGGAATGGAATCCCTGCCGGGGGGAAAAGTGTGATTCCCTTGTTTACTTCACGGTGAGTCAGTCCACTGGCTAGGTACTGTAAGTAGCTGACTTTCTTTCTTTGTCTTGCTTGCGAGTACGGTAGCTAGATACTCACCTATTTACCTATGTACTAAATTTTCAGTGTCTAGCTAGGTACGCCGTAAAAGTGAATATACAGAGCAGAATGGCAGGTCAGATACTAGAGATAGATATTCTGGATCTCTCTACCTACCTACGGACTACTTACCCAGGAGGTAGTCGACACACGTCATAATGCATGACACCTCATTACCAACTACAACTACAGTACTTACTTACCTGTAAACTTCCCTGCTGGCTGCTACTACATTAGTACTAGTAAGTACACACTGCAGTAGATACATATTCGATCGGCGGGCATAAATTCCCCGTCTTGTTATTATTAATTTAGTATAACTAGTTACCGTGTGCACTGTGCAGTACTAGTTAGTGCCGTTGCTCGGCCCGATCGCCGTTTTCCGCCAAGAGGTAGATAATTCCCTAGTCTAGTCTACTTAGGACTCTCTAGTATGTATTTGCTTTTCTCTGCGCTTTATATAGATGAAACCCGACAATGCATGCAGGGTGTATTTAGTAAGTAAGTAGTTACCTAGATAGCTCCTGGGTGGGTAATATGTAAGGTAAGGCGGGATGTGTCACTGTGGTGTGGTGTATGTATGTATGTATGTATGTGCTGTGGACAGCCGGTGATTATGCGGGTATCCGTGCCAGTTTTGTTTTAGTTATCTTCTTGTACTCTGTACTTGGTTTTCTTTTTTTTTTTCCCTACAGATATTGATGCGTTCGATTTGATGCTTAGATTGGGAGATAGATACTGGCACAGTACAGAAGAATCAACAATGAGTCTTAAGTAATGCTCTTCGGGATATGGAAATACAAGAACAGGGGGGGGTTTAGGGTGAAATCCACGACGTGGTGATGGATAAAGTGAAAAAGCACAGCTTGGAAGGTGATGGATGATTAGAGTACATATAAACTTGCTTAGGAGGTCGATGATGAATACATTCGTCCATTCACAATTAAGGAATTATCTAAGGCACATCGTAATATGGGCAGCTTGTAAAAAAGATGTACAGGTTGCCGAGAGGGGTATGTATAGTATGTTTCTGTAAAGTCAAACGGCCCGCGCGCGATGTCGTCTGTCTCGTGGCCGCTTGGATCGGACATTGGTGTCTGTTTATCAGGTTGTAGTCTTGGAGCTCCTCCACTAAGAGTCCTTGAGATTGAAGATAAGTCGACCATCGCCGGATATGTAATTTGTCGAAGGTGTCCCCATGAAGCATACACACAGCTGTAGATCTGAGATAGCTGGATAGCGGGATAAAAGTCTAGCTTCCAGCTGAACTGTTAGCATCAACATCTCCTCAAGCAAGACAAATCCGTCTTTACTCACCACCGACTCAATACATCAAACACCGATAGCCATCATCCCGACCAGTAAGGAAATACCATCATCATCATCACTACCTCACTTCAACACCGAAATCGACCCCACCCGTTCACTCAGCGACTGTCTCCGCTGCTCCCTCAGCGCATGTTCCGTATCCATCAGGAAGTTCTGGACGGATCTGCTGCCGCGCGCGTTCGACCGCACGCCGTCGTCGTTGAGAAGTTCCGTCAGCGCGGCTTTCACGAGGTGGTCGTTGACGCGGGGCTCGCTGGTTTTGGGTTTGCTGGTCGTGGTGGGGGAGTGTGCGCGGGAGTTGGAGTGGTCGTCTTCGGTGTCTGGGGAGTAGGAGATGGAGCGTTTCATGGGGTGCAGGCTGTGGAGGGTGGGGATGTTGGTGGTGGATGAGTTTTGGTTGGTATGGGCGTGAGCGTGGGGGTTGGAATTGAGGTTGGGGTGGGAGGGGGAGGACATTTTGGTGGTTGCTGCTGTTGCTGCTGCTGCTGCTGCTGTTGTAGTTGTCGTGGTAAAGAGGAGTGTGGGTGTGGGTGTGGAGTGGAGGTGAGATGTGGCTGTGGAATTGGTTACGGCTTTTGGGGAGGGAGGAAGAGCTATATACTACTTGGGTAGTATGTAGATATGAAGCCGCTTTGAGCGGAGAGGGGAGAAGTGGCAGTCACTATGACGTCTAAGACAGAGAATAGGTCGACGATAAACCAAGGGGCAAGAAAGTGACAGACATCCAGGTACTTATAACCTCTTTAACCTGGGGTTCGGGGGACAACAAAGAAAAGTATATCAACCCGTTGGTTCTCGTGTAACCGGGATGCTTGCTATTCTTATTCCCCAGCCCGAGAGACGGGAAAGATGGTTGACCCTCTCTCTCTCTGCAAGCTGACAGCTTCACTAGTAGTCAGTCCACCTTACATCATGGCCGCGCGCATGCCCTACTGGGCGGAACCCCAGATCCCTGGATCTCCTGACGGGGGACATCAAATGGAGGGCCCGGATCCAGCAACTCTCATTATTGAGGCCCTGAGTGAATGAATGGAAGGAAGGAAGGGAGAATACGACCGGGTCTTTATCGGCGCGCCGATCTGGTTGGGCGGGGGCGGGATCCCGTCGGGCGGGGTGCCTCCTGATTGGCGGGGCCCGGGGCCGCCATTCAGCCACCGACCGTTTGGGTTTGCGTCTTTCTGTCTGTCCCTCTGATGTGCCGGCCTCAGTGTCGCCATCTGCTTTTGCCATCAGGAGATACGACTAAAGTACTACCCCGTACTATTCAGATACTCTCCCCAGCGGCTCACACCTCCGCCTGGATACCCCCCCCTCACTGGGCTCACCAACACGTCATATCCACCCCTAGTCAGTCGGAACTGTGGTCTGATCGCCGCCTCCGTTCCCACCCCTGCTTGGCATCCCGAGTCGCCATCGCCGTCACCATCGCACAGGGCACAGCTGGTAACATGGTCGGGATGGCACCGTCGTGTCACCTGAATGGCCCAGCGCCGGATTGATCGTTTGCCTGCAGACTTGGCCCGGGGAAGTCGATTGGCCCGAGGGAGTATTCTGGGTCTGATGCTCACTGGATGGATGGGCTTCTAGACCAAGAGATCATCGGATACGGGCGTGTCCTCTGGATGTAGATCCCCGTACTTTGGCAGTCCGAAAAGACACGGTAACTACTTAGTACGTAGTAACTTGACTTGAGATTGGAGGCCTTGTTGTAGTGTACTGTGGTAGTGAGTCGTACCCAGCTGTTTATTTTATTTGCAAGCATTGGTTATTTCAATCTCATATGATGAGGCAAATTGCTTATCAAGGAAATGCCCACATTACATAGTAGGCCGCTGGCGGAAGTTACCGCGAGGTTGTGGCCAGTTGTGGCCAGTTGTGGCTAGTTGTGACCAGTTGCATAACAGTTCCTAATAGTTGCTGACTAAAATAAATAGTAAGCATCCCTATTATACTGTATATAATAGTTATTACACTATTTTGAAACTATATTTAAGAAAACAACAAGAAAGTAACTGTTTGAAGCTTATTTTATAATTATTTATTATTATTAAAAGCTTATTACTTTTCTATTTCTAATCTATCTACAAATAATTATATTACTATTTCTTTTTTTTTATAGTAAGTAAGTTCTCCACAGGTTATTCACTGAATCACTGTTACCTTACTGTCAATTCACTGTCAATTTACTATCAATTCACTGTTACTTCACTCTCTTCTTATATATATTACATCTTTCTCTCTTCTCATTCTCTCACTCTTTCTCTTCTCTACATCACTCTCTTAAGTTGTTTCTGTCACTTCCTCCCTCCCTCTCTCTCAATCTTTTACTATCTCTCTCCTTTACACTTCTTCTTCACAACTAGACCGTCATGGAGAAGGCTACCAGCATCAAAATGGCAGAAACGCCCGAAACGCCCGAAGAAACAGTCATCCATTGGTCGAGAGGTGAGCTGAAATGCTTTTGCAGACGACGCAAGGAGACAGTACTAATATGGAAGAAATAGGTAACAAACACAGCTTAGAACCCTCCTCTGCAAGCAACAATACAGCAGAGGTGACAGCGGCACAGGAGCTGGCCAAGAAAGGCAAAAGGGGACTGCTGGAGTTACTGAAACTCAATTCCGAAGACGACTGGAGGGAGTGGTTAGTGTCAGACTTAGTCAAACCGTACTGGCTAGAACTTTGGGACTATCTGGCGAAAAACCCGACTGCTAAGCAGAAGCGCGGAGCCGGGCTGGCCCGGATCCAGGAGCTAATAATTAAAGGAGAAGCACGGGGCGTCGCGAAATACAGCCGTCGCCATGTCGAGAAAACCGGATGGGATCTTAACGAACACCTCGCATACTTCGTCCATAATGTGAGATCGGAAAACACGCACAGACGGGGGGGAGTGTTCTTTCAGAAGAACCTCCCTGAGAACATCATGGACACGGCAATATGGACTTTGAAGAACATTCTCATACAGATGCATAGCCCGTCGCAAATAAATAAGCCAAGTGGCGGAAAGGCGATTTTCGGGGAGACCCTGCCAGGTAAGAATTCGGGAGCATTCTGGAAAAGGCTTTCACAGCTGACTCCAGTGATCAAAAAAAATGATAGAGTACAAATCCATCAAAGTGCACAACACTAGGGCGCAGCAAGCGGCCAAGGCAGGGGCTGATTCCGCAGCTAAGAGCAAGGCGGACCCGAAGGAGGTACAAGAACCAGAGTCAGATGGAGAATCATCGCTGTCATCACTTGCAGACACAACCGAAGATGAGTTCCCGGGTCCGTTGGGGGCACAGCAACCACGGACCCAAGTCTGGGAGCACGAGCCGTTGAGTGACCGACAAAGGCTGATCCTCAAACGGCAGTCGGAGACCTTTGATCTTAAAGATCCGTTTTGGGCCTATGCTCGCATAGAAGCCGCCCTGCAGTTATCAGGCCCTCAAACCATAGCACAGGCAGAGGAGATGGTCGCGACTGCTGAGAGTGCTGAAAGTGTGGAAACTGATGATGTCAGTGATACCACACCAAGAAAACCCAAGCGCGTCAAGAAAGCAGTGGATATGAGGAAAATGCTGGACAACCGCGTTTTCGAGTCAAGCGCATACCAGACCGCAGAGAATCTCCAGTGGTCGTTTGATACCAGTACAGATGCAAATGATCTGCTCATCCAACCAACATTGGAGGATTATGAGAGGATCTCGATGCATGAAAAGTGGCTAGACGCCCAGGAGTACCAATTCGATAATCACGAGGAGGCCTGCAGGAACCTGGGTATTGTTGATAAGGCGAACCCCCGAATAAAGGGCATGCAGCGCGGGCAAGAGCTGAAATTTTGGCAGCCGGTCTGCATCAATCGTGTGGCTGAAATCATGAGACTCGATTTGCTGCGTGGCGCCATCATTGCTGATGTTGTCGGCGTTGGTAAGACTTGGGAGGCCGTTGCATTCCTCTTGCATGTGAGTATTCTTCCAGAGATCGGCAGAAGGCTTTTGCAGCTGACACAATATAGCAACTAAACAAATTTAAGCACAAACATGCTGCAGCTGAGCAAGACAAGACAGAGCCTCCAGAGGGCCGTCCTGTGATTATTATTGTCCCACCCCATCTCATCGACCAGTGGATGGACGAGATAATGTCGATAACTGAGGAATTTCAGGTGTTGCTCTACTATGGTGATGCCCGCCGCCAGGTGGGAAGCTATATCAAAGACAAGCTGACAAAAAAGCACGAGATCTTCAAAGGCGGGCTCGAGAGTGCACGTACTATTGTGGTAACCTCATACCAGACATGGGAGGCACGCCATGGCCCCCAAGCAGTAAAAGCTTGGTGTGGCAGCAAGAAAAAGCCATATAACCCCGCCAATCCGCACATGCCCCCAGACTTCCCTGGCAATCTAAATGGACGCTTTGGAGTTGCTGTGTTTGATGAAGCGCATATGCTTCGGAACAGGGAATCGGGTATCTCGTTTGCTTGCACATGGCTACGTGCCGGGTTCCGCATCCTGTTAACCGCCACACCCTTCTATAATGATGTACGCGATTTTCTGGGATACATCGGACTTCTCTTGCGCTCGAATCCCGCTGCAAAGGCAACGTTCACCAGCAGCCGTGTACGCCAGATTGTCGAGGCCCCTCCCGGGACAGAGGACGAGCGGTTGCTCTGCAGCCAGGAGTTTGTCACCAAGCACATCCTTAGTAAGGAGGTACAGGACACGAATACCATTTCTTATCGCTTGAGAAAGATACTGCAGCGACTTATGATCCGCCGAACGCAGGGCTCTGCCCTACCGATTGGGTCCACCAATAAGATCGGAGCTGATATTCCCCCCGCCTTTAAGAAAGTGCTAACCCCGAGTTTCGAGCCGGAAGAGTTTGCGGCGTACCAGGCCTATGAAGCCGTGAATCGGCGAAACATCTTCATCATGGACAGGGAGAAACCGAGTCACGCACACTGGCACATGGGCCGGCTCCGCAAGTTGATTATGGGATCATCGTGGTTGGGCTTTATCAATGTGGAAAGCAGCCTGCCCGCTTCTGCTGTCGTGGAGTCCCTCGGCGCGGTCAGGCGGCACGAGTGGATAGCCTGTGTGCGCCCGAGCCTGGAGGCAAAGACTTTGGTGGAGAAGAATACTGTAAAAGGCTTTTACACACGAACCAGGGAGCATCATCATACCAAGATCTCACTCAGCAATAGCGATGGGGATGCAATACAACTTGACACCGGAGGCCTTGAATGGCTGCTGCGGGGCGCCCCCAAGATGCGAGCCATGTTACCGATCATTCGAGACCAGGTGTTTCTGAAGCAGGAGAAATCCCTCGTCTGGACCTATTTTCCCGGTGAGGAGGTGTATATTTCCGCCGTTCTGACAGAGGCCGGTGTCGATCATGCTGTCATTCATGCTGGGTTGACCGCCAGAGAGAGATCAATCATTGTGAAGTCGTTTACTCGAGACCCCGACAAGTGCATGGTATTGGTGATGAGTTACTTGGTCAGTTCAGCCGGTCTGAACTTGCAGAATCTCTGCCGTAATCTCCATCTGTTTTCCCCAGCCACCTCGAAAGCCGTGAAGGACCAGTCCGTGGGACGGGCACTGCGCGTGGGCCAAACTCGCACAGTTTTTGTGTATGAGTATTGTGTGCCCAAAACATTTAACGTCTATCTGGCGGAGAGAAGCATGCAGAAAGCGTTGCCAGGCCTTGTCACGATGATGTGTACCGGACTGGCCCCCGCGCTTGATAATTCTGAAGCCGGATTTTCGGTGGAAGGATGGGTTATACGGGATGGAGAACTGGTGGCGCTGGGCAATGGCGAGGAGCCCCAGGAGGGTGACATTACGGATACTGAATTGATAATGGAACAGGTGGTACGCGAGATTTCGTGTGGTTTTATGGAGGACAACTGAACTTTTCGCAGCTTCTGACTGTCAGTTATCTTAATTCTACTGATAATAATATGAAGTGTTCAGTAAAAGGCTTTTGCAGAATATACTTATTCTAAGCATGAAAGTGATCTTATATTATTGATCACTCGGGTATTGTATTGTATACTCCCAATCGAAATCATGTATCAGTACAGAACATGTGCCATGGCACTGTCCTGCTTGAGCTTGCCCTCCTGGAGGAGCTGGACGTAGTCCTCGCGGTGGCCATCCTTTCTGCAAGGGATGAGGTTGTTGTTATTACTGCAAAAGGCTTCTGCAGATGGTTGATTAATAGTTATAAAATGAACTAAGTAAGAGATATAAGAGGCTGGCAGATGTTGGAGGAAATATGATCAGCAGGAGGGGGGGTTAGTAATAATACAAAGACTTACTGAGAAGACGCGTGGTGCAGTGAGAGAGTGACACAGACGCGTATCTGTATGAATAGACGTGCCACAGTGTGAAACCATGGATTCTGACAACAGCTGTTTGTTCATAGTATGAAATACTCTGATACATTTCTTGTTCTCCTTTTACTTTTATCATGTAAAAGCACCTGCTAGGCAGTTTCATTCTTATGGCGCCATCATCACGGTCACGTCGGGCACACGGTGCTATGAATTCTCAACGACAGAGACCAACAGGTATATAATTATTTCAGATATATTATATTAGCTAATACTTACTTAGCACCCGCCCCACCTCCAGTTCACTCGGACCTCCCCCGCACCGGAGGCTATGTAAGAGATGCCAAAAGCATCCGTTATTCTGGGGCGAGTAGTATCTCTAGAATATCTCTGGATTATATCACTGACTATTATAGCCCCCGAAGAGGATATTACCCCCAGAGGCCGGTTCCGAGCGGGCAGCAAAAACTGCTAGAACAGAGACTGCGGTGAATCCATCATCCCAGGGCCAGCCTCCTCTGCAGCAGACATCAGATCAGGATATAAACATACAGGGTTCCTCGTTCTCCCAGGGCCGGGATTCGGGTAGCTTATCCCAGCCTGGAGATCCTGCTGCTCCGGCAGCCATACCAAACAGTATGCCGCAGCTGTTAGCGAGATCGCGGGAGGCCTCCGTGCCGACCTTCTCTTTCAGCGGGCGGGAGCCCAATCCCGCCAGTCAGAATACTACTGACAGTGGAAGTGGGAATTCTCACTCATACCAGCGGTCTTCACAAGAGTTAATATATATTGATGACAATGAGGCCGGTGAGAGTATACCGTCTAATCAACCGATGCCAGCCATTTCCATCCCCTCATCTGATCGAATCAAAATCTCGCAGTCAGACAATGAGGCATTTGAGCAGTTGACTCTTTGTGCACGGCGGCAGTTTATTGCCACATTAGACAATAAAAGAGTGACTTGGCCAGTCGAGCAGGCATTTCCAGGCCTCTCCGCTACCCGGGACATGTACAAGAATGCGGTAACCCGCGTCCGGGACTTATACAAAACCTGGAAGAATAAGTCCCTGGATCTAGCGCTGAGAAAATTTAATAATTGGATTCTGACACTCACACCTCGGCAGGCGCACAAGATTCGTGCCTCAATGGATTTTATTCTTGTGAACCAGGCCATAGCTAGCCGGTTTGAACTTAGCTGGGTATTTGATATTTTTCCTTGGGCTCAGCAGGTGATATCCATCGATGACTGCTCTACTCTGGGTCAGGACTGGTTGAAGTGTAAGTAGAGGAGTTGGTGAAAGGCTTTTGCAGATGATACTAATTAAGATTAGATATCACAACCCAGCTGATGACCATGACCTATTTTGCCAGTCTCACTGAGCAGGACTTTATGCATTGCTCAAAGCTCAGAACATATAATAAATGGAACCGCCACGCTGTGCTGCATATGTTTGATGACTTGCATACATGCAAGCGATTTCAAGATAAGCTTAGCATTGGAGACTTCCCCCAGCGATTAAAGCCTGCGTTTAGAATACGCCGTGGTCAATGGAAAATCAATATCAATGAGCTCCCAGAAGGTGATCCTGCTGCAGTACATCGGGAGGAACGCCCCCTTCTAGATGATTCTGACATATCAGGTTCGAGTGATGGTGAAACACATGCCACTGTGTCCCATTTGCCAGAACAGTGCCAGGTGGGTCAGAATCTGAATGGGGCGGCTGCAGCACTGCCTGCCACTGGTAGCCAGAGGCAGCAGCACCGAAAGAAGAATGCAGGTGGTAATGATGGTGGGAGTGAGTATGCAAGTGAGGATGGGTATGAGAACAGGAGTGAGGATGGGTATGAGAATGAGAATCACAGCACTCTATATGTGCAGGGCAGGGAGAATGAAGACAGCAACACTGGACCAGAGCCGCAAGGTGGCTACAGGACAAGAAAAGGAAAACAACCAGCCCGGAACTGAAATATACACACAGTATGATGTTCAAGGGTATACTAGGTGATGGAGCATATCTGGCTGTTTTGCAGTTAATAACTTCACAAAAGTTTGGATTTTAATGATGTCATTATCTGGATAATTTATTGAATCATATTCCCCCGGCCTGGCCCATCCCGCATCCCCGATAGTAACAACCTTCCCGAAACATTCTGGCACATCGATAGTAAGATAGTACTGGCTATATATCAGTTATATGTCAATCATGTACTCAGAGAGATGTAAACTCACTTGAAGTTTCCATTGGGCTTGGGCTGCCTTCTGCGCCTCCTTCATCTTGTTGTATGCCTCCAGAATTTCCACTGCAATGTCGGTGATCTTCTTGATCACCTCCAGGATCGCGAAAACTTTCTCCAGTACTTTGACCGAGAAATCCAGGAGTTCCAGGACGTTTTCCGCGGTGAAGAGGGCGGGCTTCTTTTTGTAGAGGATCACGCCGGCCGGAACGAGAACGGCCACAACAGTGATGATGGCCATGAGACCAGCGGGCATGGCGGCGGGCATGGCGGCGGGCATGGCGGCCGATCGAGGCAGTAGTGGCAGAGGGACTGGTTGGAAGCGCAGCAGTACTGGTAGGTCTTTGTAGAGAAGAGTGAGATTGAGGAGAGGGAGGAGATAGAGGGGAGATAGAGGAGAGGAAGGAGAGGAAGGAGAGGGGGGAGAGGCAGCTCTTACATAGCCCTAGGCGGCCCCCCCCCGGCGGGGCCCTGCGGGGCCGCAGTGAATGATACTAGTAGTAACGCAAGGATGAAGCTATTCAGAGGGCCACAGTGAACGGTACTGGTAGTAACACAAGAAAGAAGCTATTCAGACAGCCACTCCGAAGGCATACTTTACATAGGCGGTAAGACAGAGTGGCAGAATAGTAATCCCTAAGCCAGTGACAAAAGAAGGCTGATTCTTTCTATTATAGTTATCAGAGCCATGCTACTACTGCCATCCAGTAGTGCGACTGTAGTAGAGAGTCCTGTGAAAGGCATTTGCAGGACCTTCCTAGTAGCACTAAATAATAGTACTATCTAGCCCCTTGGCATTCAATTCTTCTTAGTACTACTAGTAGTAAGTACTTACTAGTACTGACTACTACTAGTACTAGTAGTAAGTGAGTATTCCTAGTAGTAAAGTACTTAAGAGTACTACAGTACTAAGTAGTAGTACTAGTACTAGTAGTAGTTGAACTGAGCTTACAGTAGTACTATTATATATCTTCACAGTTCAATTGTATTAGTCAAATGTATATACTAGAAAGTTACTTAGGTACTTTCAGTTATACTAGTACTACTACATGTACTCATAGTGATACTGTAACCAATTAAATACATTCAAAAACACGGCCATAACACTAAGATTTGATCTGTTGATAGATGTAATACCTATTATTCTATATTCAATACATCTGTTACTATGGATAAGTGTTACCCGCATATTAAACTTGTCGGGACATCATAAGCGTGTTCGGTAATGCGAGGTGTTGTTTACAGTCTTTGTCATCTTGCAGTACTACAGGCCATTTAGAGTTTTGTTGATATCCATAAGACGCGTCTAAGCGCACCCCCCATCTTCTGCTCCTTCCTGGTAGCCACTTAGAGTTTTGTTGATATCCATAAGACGCGTCTAAGTGCATCCCCCATCTTCTGCTCCTTCCTGGTAGCCATTTCTCCTCCACTTTGGAGTATTGTTATTTCTGAATACTTTCTAGGATAATATCACATCATCTATCATGCCTCGTCCTCGGAAGACCGGCTACCAGAGATTGGAATATAGTATAAGTCCGGCCCCGGCCACACAGTCAGGTAATATACTCCCGTGCCTTTTGAGAAACGTGTTTGACTTTTTGTTTGAGGGCTGACTGTTAGTAACAATACTGAACCAGAGGTGGCTGCTAATCGCCATGGATATGTTCATAGCATCAATTCAGATGGCAACACTGGGATGGACGTGAGCAGTGATGCTGGCATGGATATTAGCAGCGATGCTGATTCCCCCAGTGATATTGATGCTGGAATAAACATTGACAATGTCAGTGATTCTGACAGTGATAACAGTTGTAGTGATGTTGATATGCCTGCACATGGTGATGATACGCTCTCTCTTGATATGCATGATGAGGATATTTCCTCTTTTCTCGATGGACTGAAGGATCTCCCGGTCTTGCCCTCTCAAGATCTCTCCTGCTATCAAGGTAACAGTATCCTGTGGAAGCCTTTTACAGGGCATTCTAGTCTGATATTAATGTCTTCCAGATCCCCCCTCTAAGTTCACTGTGGCCCTTGGGTTGTGGGCTTTCAGTGCCGAGATCTCACGGGCCAACTATGCAGCACTGGTGGAGGTGCTGCGTTCGGCAACTTCACTTGAAGAGCTGCAGTCCATTCCTGCAAAGGTGGACACTCTGAAGAGATATGTACATGATTTTCTGCCTGTACTACCAACAAAGGCATGCACTGTGCCAGTTGATCTCAATGCCCAGAGTTCAGTGTCATCTGGCAAGAAAGATTCGTCAGCACAAGCGACATCCCTGCAGTATGTTTATAGTCTACCACATCTGTTCCACTCCATCCTCTCATCTGATTTGGGGTCAACCAAGCTACATTTCGGAATGGCAGAGTATTCTGATCATCCTGTTGAGCTTTGGCATCAGCGTGCATGGGGCTCATCCCTGATCACTACATCCGGTCAGTATGCCTCCTCTCCGGATACTGGGGACATCTTTCTTCCGAGCGAGTTTGTCCAATTCACCTCCCAGCCATGGCTCCGGCGTTTGAGTATGTCATTTCAGTATGGCAGGATAATATTTGTTGGTAGAGATACGCGGTCTGGCTCGCAGACACAAGGCCAGGTCGTTTGTACTGTCCAGCCTGTTCTTGAACCGCACCAGCTGGCTGAGGTCAGGAAAGAAAATGGTGGGTCCCTTGAGCTAACAGATCCCCACATCGACAGTGGTTATCAACTGGTTGAGGATGCAGTATTCGAGGTCCCTGTGTCATCAATTAGTAGCCGTGTTGGTTTCCAGCTTGTTTATACTCATCGTCCCCCTGCCACATTATCCGAGGATATCATCTTTATTTATCATGTCCTAAATTTGCGCGATAATCGGGCTCGGTTGTGCACTTTGATGCACCCCCTGCGAGCAGAACTTGAGCTTGAGACCTTTGGACGTGGCTACTTTGTCTGGCTATCCCGCCAGCCACGAGTTATGTCACTACCCTTCCTCCTTTTTATTGATGATTTCGGAGCCCACCGCAACATGTTCAGGGCATTGAAGGGGATCTATCTCACACCTGCCGGCTTGTCCTATGCCGGGCGAAGACGTCTGGCAAACTCGTTTACCGTAACGCTGGGTCCTCATGGGGCCTCCTTTCAGGATGTTCTTGCCAATATCCATACTGACCTTGAGACCGTGGCAAAAGGCTTTTACAGCACAATCCATGGGAAACAAGTGCTTGTTACTGCGTCCGTCATGGCTCTTACTGGAGATATGCCACAGCAAGCTAAAAATAGTGGTATGCTCAGCTATAGTGCTGATATCGGATGTCGGACATGCTACTGTCCACGCAGCAAACAGTATCAGTGGTCATATGATACTGTTTCCCATGGCCGATATCATTTCCAGCATCAGTATTACCGAACTGAGGGTGATCACAAGGCCACTGTTCCAGAACAGCAAAGATATTTTAATGCTGTAGGGATACAGTCCGTGCCTTCGCCAATCGAACGGATCATGCCAACTCTTGACATTGTTTTAGGCCGTCCGTATGATGTACCGCACTCTGATTGGAAGGGGATCGGCTATCGTCTGCTGGAGTATATCCAGAAAATTCTTGTGCCTTCAGGGGTTTCCAACTTCGCTACAGCCTTGCAAAAAGTTGTTCGGCCGGCTCAATGGCCTCACTTTCCTCCTCTGAAACACCTAAAAACCTGGACATTGTCAGACCTTGGTCGAGGGATCATTCTCTTACCTATTATTCTTCGAGTATGTGCCCGCCCCGACTGGTTTCACCCGAGATTCCTGCTGCGGATTAAAAATATTATACCACATCTCTTTCCAAATACCGAAAATGTGTCCTCGCCACAGATGTGGCTGGTCCGTGCTTGTGCAGAGATCGCATTGACAACCACCCTTATCTCAACCAGCCGCGCGTTGCCTCCTGCACTGGTAAATGCAAGGATTACTCACAGCGCCGAATCTTTCAGCATTTGGTGGTTACAGCTTCAGCCATGACTGATTCAGAGCTACAGGCATTCAGCATCCATGGTCTGTATCTGTGTATTCGCTGGCCAGTTACCTAGCTAACATGAAGCAGGAAAACTGCCACATGATTATAATAAGAAGCATAATAAAGATAAATGGTTTAAGTATCTTGGGGTGCCAGTTGTTCATGCTGGCTTTCATTTTCATACATTTGCTGCTGAGTATGGCCCGCTCATGAACTGTAATGTTCTAGCCGGTGAGTTGAAGCATAGGTAAGTACCTATTCTAAATTATAGCCAGCTGCTGATAGTATCACACTATATAAGAATATTCAAGAGATGGATAGATCGCGCCTCGCCGCCTCAGCTGATGACTTATCTCTTCCGGCTAGATCGGCTCCACCACTCTTTACGCCTGGGTCTTGCGGGTTCCTGGCGGGATGATCATCCAATTCTACTAGAGATTGTCCAGGATCTGTATATGTCCTGCCCACGTCTGATCCAGAAACATATTCTTGCAGATGAATTTATTACTGACCTGCAAGTTACAATGACACATCCGATTGAATGGCCTCATTCTTCGCTTTCTGAGCAGGATATACTGGACATGTTACCTTCAGCGTACCGGCAAGAATATTCAATCTCACTTCCTCGCCAGTATGATAAAACACAATTATCTTACTATTGTCAGATCAAATTCTGTTCCGTATGATTTCTTTATTTTTAAGGAGACAGCTGTGAAAGGC